CGCGGTAGAGGTGCTAGTAGGCGCGGTCGAGGTGCTAGTAGGCTCAGTCGAGGTGCGTGGTAGAGGTGCTGGTAGAGGTGCTGGTAGGCGCAGTCGAGGTGCTGGTGGAAGTGCTGGTAGGCGCGGTCGAGGTGCTAGTAGGCTCGGTCGAGGTGCTGGAGGTCTCAGTAGAGGTTGCGGTGGAAGTGCCAGTAGAGGTAGGTTGAGTGGTAGGGCCGGTGGAGGTGCTGCTGCTCGTGGGGGGGTTGCCGTTGCCACAAGGCTCATTGGACAGGAGATCCTTGGCAATGTAGACACTCAGACGGTTATTGCCACCGCAGATGCGGGATGCGTCGCCGCCGCAAGGAGCATTGCAGTCCTTCTCATCAGCCTTGCTGGTGCGAGAGAGAACGTTGCCACACCAGCACTCGTGGGCGTACTCGGTAGCGGCAATGGGGAAGCCCTGGGACTTGCAAGCAGCAATGCAAGACTCAGGGGTGAAGGTGGTGGGTTCGATGCTCTCGGGCCAGGGGAAAGCACGGCCCAGATTGTTGAGATTGTCGACGTAGCAGCCGCTGTAAGCGTAGTCGGCGACGGCGACCTCGCTGGGGGTCTTGGTGTAAGTGGGATCCTCCCAGATGTTGAGGGTGCCCTTGCCACCGCAGAGCTGGGCCTTGTTACCATTGCAAGGGTAATTGCAAGAGGCGTCGGCGGTCTTGTCAGCAGCGATCTCGTCACCGCAGTAGCAGACACCGTAGTAAGTGAGACCGGCATAGCGGAATCCGTTGCCCTTGCAGACGGCGGTACACTTCTCGACAGTCAAGTCGCTGCCATCAATCTTGGAGCGCATAATGAGAGCTGTGTCTCCATTGGTATAGCAGCCCTTGCTGGTGAAAGGGGTGTAGTTGTCGGTACAGGCGGGAAGCTCATAGTTGGTGGCGGTGGTGAAGGTGGCCAGCGACAGGACCGCGGCAGCAGCCACGATAGACCTGCGGAAGGTCATGGTGAAAGAGTGCCGGATGGAGTAGTCAGGGTGATGTAAAGAAAGGGTAAAGAAGGTAATATAAAACGAAGGCTGGCGCGTTGCAGAAATATAGCGGCCGGGATGAGGGGTGAGGTGGAAGAGACAAGGACCCGTGGAGAAGAGAAGACGAAAGAGAGCAATGAGACGGGGGTGAGGGGATGTATATATACACGAAAATCAAGAGATGAGAAGCAGAGAGGCAACAGAGCTGGGAGCCATCATCCTGGGAGCTGGACGGAAATCTGTCGACTGGCGTCGACGATGCTGGGAGACCCGCCGGACTAGAAGCAGGACCATATCTGGATGTGGGATGGCATGGCGGTGGCTTTCAGGGCCAGGAAAGAAAAGCCGATGCGTGCGTTCTAGCCTCAACAGCTTGGACCACAATCAGGTGGTGCTGACGATGAGCTCTGGGCCTGGGTGACGATTGAGGCCTGGCACTAGTTACGGATACTTGGCCAGCTTGTGGACCTTGAAGGTCGGCTCAGGTCTGCAAGAATGTGTGGCAGCCTAGCAAAGTGGCCAGGGGTGGGAGATGTGACATGACCAGGGTTCACGGAGCAGGAATTGGCCTATCCGCGAGGCTCAACATCGATGTCCGTGGCATTGGTGATGAATGCATGGCGCTGACTTGTTGTGGGGTGCGGGCGAAGAAGAGAGGGTAACGGACTGTTGGCCCTAGTTGATCTTCATCAATTTGAGCCAGTATTTCTTGCAGAAATACATTGATGCTGTACAATTGGATTAGAAGAAGCCAGTAAGAGAAGGAGATAGGGGGCTTACCAAGCGATGGAGGAAAGTTGGAAGTGAGCTTGAGTAGTGCTCTACCAGCAGCAGTACAGCGTTGACCCGGAGCAGTGGGTTTGCGAGCAGGAGAAACTAGCAATGTGCGTAGCTTGTTTGGGCAAGGCGAGGGGATGCAGCTAGTCAAGGACTGATGGAAAAAAAAAAAAACAGCGAAAAAGGTCTGAGAGCGGCGTTCGGGCAGGAGCCATAGCCATGAAGCGGAAGTGGTTGATGGGAAAAGCGCCGAGCGGAGAAGAGGAGAAGAGCAGAAGAGGAGCAAAGAGAAAAAAGAACCAGGATAGCTGCGGGATCGAGTGGACCTGCATTAGTGGACAGCGCAGGTGGCAGCTGTGGCAGTTGCCAGCGTCGATTGACGGCGGCCAAATTTAGATCGTTGCCAGATAGGTAATTATTACCTCAACTTAGTCTAGATGTGCAGGACACGAGAGGAGAAGTGGTCTGAATGATGTGGTTTGCAGGCAAAGCCCCTGTTGGCTGTTTGCACATGTGTGTTGCCGGTGTTGAGCGCGCAACGCCTGCTATGTTCTCCTCAACGCCGTTGCACTGATAGTCGGCACGGATAAATGTTTGACGAAGCGATATACACTGCACTAGTAGTTACCTAAGGTTTTAGATAGTGGTGGTTGTGCCACCGTAGGTGTGGCTTGACATTGTGGCAGCTTGGAAATTGCCCAATCCTACCCTGACAGCCAGGACGGGACCTATTTCGGGCGCGTTGCGAGAATTCTAATTATTACAAGTTACGTGCATCCTTGTTGCAGTTTTGGCTCCCGGGGCTGAGCCGATCAACCGGGTTACGATTTTTTTTGCATCACTTGAGAAACGTTTAGCGGTTTATCAGCATTACTTGCAGTGCTGTCGATGCATCGTCAGTCCTGCTCAGATGGGCGATACAGAAGAGCTCTGTGGGGACAGCGACCCAGCATTGGCGGGACCGGAAACCGAAATCCCACGGGGGCCAAAATTATTTGATTACTCCGTGTGGCGCTACTATTTCAATCCACCAGACCTCCAAGCGACCCAAGTTGTAGAGTGTTTTTCAAAAAGAAAGGACAAAGCAAAAAAATAAAACCAAAAATTGACGATACTTTGCGGCTTCAAAAGGGCCTCGCCTTATCCGTCCCTACCGTCTAATACGTTAGTGTGGCACTGGCCTCCCCACGCCTACAGCCACAGCACTTGCACGGTTTTGCGCTTTGTCTGCCATCCTCAGCCACTTCATGCAAACAGCCCTAGACATCAACATCAGCAACGAACTATACCAACTCTCTTCAATTGGGTTTTACAGGACCTCAACTTATCAACTATACGGGCTGAAAATAATGACCAACCTTACCCATCGATCAAATTCCACGACTGCTCCAGACAGTTGCGGCTGAAAAGGACGCGGGGTCCGGCAATTGCTGCTCTGAATGGACCGGGCTAGAAGCTGCATAACACGAGCCTCCAACGCCTCTAACATGCATCAGCTTGGGCGTTGCCTCTGCAGGTGCAAGGTGCAGGGAACAAGGGAAAGGGAAGCCCGATTCTTGCATCCCTGCCATTGGCCCAAAAGAAGACGAACAATAAACAACTCTCCCTCTGCGGATTGTCGGCCTGCACCTCGGCCAACGCGCAAAGTTGCCAAGTCAGTACTTTGTCATTCTTAGAAGAACAGACACTCCGACATGCTCTAATTAGCTTACCCTACCCATCCCGCGTCTCGCTGACCATGACCGAGCACAAACACCAACATCACCTGCGACTCAGTATCAACTCCGGCGTCACCGCCCACCGCCAGTCAGGTCAGGTACAAGCTCCGCCCATGATGATCCCCGTCCAGGAACAAGCGAAGAACAAAGAGCCCCGATGGAGCCGCGCTACCAACAAGAACATTGTCCTCAAACTCAGACGCCACCACGGTAACCACCCATGTGGTGAAGCTCTCTTCAGTGGAGCTTGGTCGCCAGTTCTTTTCCTTCCATTTCGCCTTCCTGCCAGACTCGGGAACAACACCTTTTGATCCAACGGGCTTGCTCGGAGCAGCAGCTACTGCAGACTGCAGTCGTCTGCAGTCTGCAACCCCCAGCCCCCAGCCCACAAGCCCGCCTGAAACACCGAGCATCCCGGCCTCGACAGTTGCTATATCGTTATATGGGTACTTGCCTGTCAGAATACGATACATCCTCTTGGCGATACTGAATAGATCGACCCTATGTATGGCACGGAGCCTTACATCTCTTTCATCCTGACTCTTCACTGCGCACTGACATGTACTCATGCTTGATCAAGAGGTGACAGAATCTAGGCCACGACCCAGCGAATACGAACCCACAGAGGGGGAAACCTTGTCAAAGACCAGCAAAGTTTCTGTCCTCGGTTGCGCATTGTCAGCGGGACCCCGGAGCTGTTCGCCTTAGCCGAGGAGGCCCCCCAGACATGCGCAATATGTACTATTTCGGTCCTTCATCACCAACAGCCCTCGTCGATGCCGAACATCAACTCTCTACAAATTAGTTGGCCGCCTATCTAATTTCGCGAATCGTTGCCCCCAAAAATAAACGATTTGTACAAATTAAACAATCTTATTGTAAAGAAACCTAGTCCCACTCACGTATGACTAAAAACGGTCAAGCCGGGTCTTAGTCTGGGTCCTGGGCCTAGATCTGTCAGTACTACCACTAATAATCAGCTAACTTAGCTCGTGGAACATCTTTTTTTTCCAACAATCTGGGCTGAAATGGACTTCTCGGAAGGCGTGAGGGCCGTCGCGCGGTGGTGGCCGACGACGCTCGCCTCAATATGCGGAAACCTTGCCCGCAAATCCTTCCTACACTGACGAGCAGGCCTATGTAGGGATACTTCAAGACTCCATGACGATCAATACCATCTCTGCTCAAGGATGATGAATGCGACGGCGGGAATCCCCTCTGGTTTCGGACCCCATCTTAACGCCGTCACTGGTCACTGGCATTGCCGCCCGCGTCGCCACCAACCTAACGTCGAACACGGGGTGACCGCACACAAACCCCTGCCAACCGCACAGCTAAAAGGGGTATAGTATAGAGATCAAAGAGGAAAGGCGTAGAAGGTATCCACATGTGCACTGTGTTTTGATTTGTTAGAAATTTTTAGCTAATTTCGCTAGCGGGGCTAACACGCCCTTAAGACCAAGGAGCCAGTCGGAGGATATCGGCCACTTGAAATTACTAGAGGACGCCTAGAATAATAATCTTCCGCTAGGGTGTGACCCTAACCAGTCTAGCCTAGTTAGGTAATGATAACAGGCCCTGGCTGTGCGGTTAGCAGGGGTTTGCGTGCGGTCACCCCGTGTTCGACGTTATGTACTTTTGGAAGCGCAGAACGTGCTGAAGGAGCGAGGTTGCGAGGACACAACCTTACAAAAGCCACTGCATGTCTCGGACCGGAAGCAACCCGCGTTCAGGCTGCCCTTTGACCTCTCCTCCTTCCGTCGCTCAGCCACGCCGCTCTTCAGTGTCAAAGTCGGCTCGAGATTAGACACATGTTGAACACGTAGTTAAAACTATCCTCTCACTAGTTGGAGCCCAGTGGTCTGGTTCACGTTCCCAAAATGAGTCTGGCGTGGGGTTCCCCCCCTCCCCTTTTGGCGCTCACGCTTGTCCGCCAACAGCTGGTGTAAGTCCGGAGCTATGCCAAGTCCTCAGGAACAGACCAAGCCGCCCCCGTTGTCCTCGGTAAGAGCGGACAAACTTCCGAAAACTCCCCGTAAACTTCGTAATCATAACTGCCTGGACGAGTTATTATCCGGGTCGATCCCGTAGCCACTGTACCCCAACGATCAGCAAATCTCGAGAGCGATGTACAAATCTTGCGCCAGTGAGCAGTCGCCGATCCTCTCCAACAGAAGACATGTTCGTAATTATCACCCTGGTCTTTCATTGCCAGACAACCAAAACACAACTTTTCCGTCATGTCATTGTGAACGGTGACTACGGGTAAAGACAGATAGGAGCCAATCCTGCGTGTGGGTGTCGGTTAGCGTAACTGTGAACACAGTTGATACGACGCAAAGCAGGGACTGCAGAGATGCTGAAAACTACAAGAAACCCCAAACCCAAAAACCACTCAGACGCGCCCATATAGGCTCGTGCAAAGGGAAAAACTAACCAGAGCCTGCATATGTACGGCTACAGTACCGCATGTGACGGAAACCGATTAACGATACTGGAAGACTACTGGTGTAAGCGAGCCTGAAGGCGGGTTATTACATTGGGACCGGCCGAAAAGAGAGAGCGAGCGCTCGGATGATTCCGCCGAGGTGCTCGCACTAATCGCCCAAAGGAGTTGGTCGTCCCCCAGGCGCCGCGTTGTTCAGCTATTCTCTTTCAACGTGGCGTGCAGCATCGCTTATTACTGGGGGGAGCGCATATTAATTACCCACTAGAATAACAACAATCACTATACCAAAAACCAAGGCTCAAGACCATGATCTATTTCAAGCATATTAGATGACAACACCACCCTCGTCCAAGTGAAGCCCGCGTGTGGCGCGCCATGCATCACGAATCCTATCCTCACAAGATTTGCCTTGTCTGGGGAAGATGTCTCAGCCATCTCGATGTCGGGAGACACAAAATAGCCCCGCGACCAGGACGTTGCATCGAGCCCGCCCGCTCCCGGCCGGTATTTTCTCCTGGACTCGTGTAGAGAGAGTACGAATGACACCTTGCCACATCATCCAATTGTTGTCCCCTTTGTCTCCCTTGTAGTTTTATGTAATAATAGTGACTCTCAGTCCGGTGTACAAACATGCTTACCGCCCCGCCAGCGATGTATGCGCCACGGCCCCGACAATCCGCAATCTTTGTGTGTTTTGCTTCATTGGGGGGGGGCTTTGTCTCAATTGTCCTGTCCATCTAGATCTTGGCGACTGCTTTGCACTAATAAGAGCGAAATCCGCTCACTGGCAGAGCTGAAAAGCAACAAGGAGAGAAGAGGACGTCACTTCGTAGCTCTGAAGGGACATTGCATAGTCTCAAAATAGTCTCACGACACCAAATGGCAGACCGCACATCCTGGCCATTAGCACTGCATTTGCAGCTGTTTACCTTTTGTGTTCTCCGAACTTGATCTTCAACTAACTAATCTAGAATTCTCCGTAACTAGAGCGTATCTTCAGATGCTAGCCTGATGGCGCTTTTCAACAAAGCAGCCAACACTTAAGTTGCACCTTTCCCATGGTGATCCGTCTAGTTTCTTCTCCCACACGCCCAGCTGCCGTCCTCCCATCATAGTAACCTCGCCGCAGAATCTCGCCCCCCCATCTCCAAATGAAATCCTTCGTGACGTGGTCTGCGCTATTTAGGCTCCTCGGGCTGGCGATGACCCCCGGTTACCGTCCCCATCCCTGTGGGCATCTGCAGTGGCGTGGGCTAATAAATAACATCGTGCTGTTTTCAGCTGGCAATATGCTGCTCTTGGCGTGGAGCTGATGGACGGGGGTTGATATTGGACCTCATTCCCCTCCTCTTTGCAGACGGCTATGTTGCGTACATAGTTATCGAGACCAAGTCCCGAGGCAAGCGTGCACCTTAGGTTGGGGGAACAGGGGACAGTCTGCCGGACCCTGCCGCTCGTGCGGCTCAACTGAATCTCTGACATTGGTTGATGGCGCACCGAGTCATGGGCTGCAGGCGGCTGTCTTTTTTTTAAAATCAAAAATTGGGTTGAGGCGGTTTCGACTCGCGCGCACTTTTTCCAGATGTACGGATGCATGGCAACCTCTCCGCTGTTCTGCTAGGCACGGCTCTTGGTGTGAGCCTGAGAGGAGGAGAGCGAGAGGAAATACCTCCAGCAGGTGCTCTTGAAGTTTGTCTGTCTTGAAGGAGACCAGCATATCGTAGACGTTGGCTGTCGAGGCATACTCACATCACAGCTCTAGAGACCTGCACATTTCATAGAACAAGAATTTTTAAAGTCAACCATTTATTCTTTTTTTTTTAGGTTTATATCTTCAGCCTGGTTGTGCTCCTGCCCATCCTCACATATAAAGACATTGGCAGCAAATTAATGTCAATTCTAGAGTACACCCAGTTTGCAACCTATGTTCATTCCCCAAAATGTCCAAACGCCATTGTGAAGTTTCGAGGCTGTCTTCTTTCCCTTTCCCACTGTTGTCTCCTGAGGAAGGAAAAGACGAAATAAGAGCAAGCCAGAAACCGATTCAAAACAGATGCTTTGCTATTTCCGTCATACTTTTTTGGCCAAAGCAAAAAAAAACAACAAATCAAAAACAAATCAATTAAAACCATCTATGCCTTGCCGCGCATATGGGGAGGAACCCACTTGCCAGCGGTGCGCGAGGGCAACTGCTCAGAAGGAGCAGAGTCGTGCTCCTGCGGCGGCTCAGCCCGTCTGGGAGGAGGAGCCTCATCACGCGAGGAGCCGCGACGGTCCATGGGGATACCGCGGGGAGGAAAGTTTCGGGGAGGAGGCGCGTTGTCCTTCTCCGACGACGGGTCGGCGCTGCCGTCCTTGGCCGCCTGGCGGTCGCGCCAGCTAGGCTTGCTACCGGCGAGGTTGAGACGGGGCGGGCCACCAGCGGAGGGACGGTCCTGGGAGTCGCTTCGTTCCATAGACCGGCCGCCGGCAGGGGCAGGGACAGGCGCGGAAGCGGAAGCGGCAGTCCTGGAAGCCTCTCTCTCACGCCAGCTGCCACCGCCGATTTGGGGAGGTCGGCGGTTGTCGCTGTCACCCGAAGGTTCGGCGCCGCGCACGGGACGCTCCTTCTCGGCCCTGCGGCGAGCGAGAGCCTCATCTTCTCTGCGTTGTTGAAGGGCCGCCTTCTCCAGCATCTCCTGGCGCTCCTTGTCGCGCTGCTCCTTGAGCTTAGAGAGTTCGGCCTTGCGGGCCTCGTCGCGCAAAGCCTGCTCCTCCTTCTCGCGAGCGGCACGCTCCTCGGCCTCCAGGAGCTCTCTCTCCTTTTCTTCACGTTCGCGCTTCTCGCGCAGCTTGCGGTCGCGGAACTCCTTCTTGCGAAGGGCAATCTGTTTCTCAAGCTCCTTCTCGGCGTCGCGACGACGCTTCTCGAACTCGTCGCGACGACGCTCGTGCAGGTTCTCCCTGAAAGACTCATACATAGGTACGAGTCTGGTCAGACGGTGCTTGAGCTCAACATTGGCCTTGTGCAACTCCTCAGCATCCTTGAGCTTCTTGGCCGTGTTCTTCTCATAGATGGCACGGTCCTGCTCGCACTGCTTCTCGTAGTCCTCAGCCAACTTCTGGCCTTCCTCCTTGCGGTAGGCACGCTCCAAATGGTCGATACGCTTGCCAGTGACTCTGAGCTTCTCCTTGACATCGTGCTTTTCACGCTCCAATTGGCTTAGCTTGATCTCACGGAGACGGTTCGTGTCCAGGTTGTCAATGTCGTCCAGATCAATGTCGAGACGCTTGCCGTCCATCTTGAGTTCCTTGATTTGCTGCTCGACCTCAGCCCTGCGGACCTTGTCGCGGTCTTCCTTGAGACGTCTAGCTTCGCGCTCTCTCTGGTCATTCTCCAGACGTTTGTCCTCAGCCTCCTGGAGAGCCTGCTCCTTGAGGCGCTTCTGGCGGGCGTTTTCCTTGTCCTTGCGGGCCTGAGCCTCGGAGGCTTCCTCCTTGCGCTTATGGATAACATCTTTGCGGGCGAGGATAGCGAGATGCTCCTTTTCAGCCCCAGCCTTGGCACGGCTGAGCGCAGCATTGCGGGCATCCAAGCGCTGTTGATTGAACGCAGGATCAATATAGTGGCAGGTCGTGAAGAGAGCTCTGGCTAGGCGAGTGAGCTGGGAGCGGACAATCTCAGAGGGGGTGCTCTGGAGACGTTGAATGGCGCCGCCATCGGCCTCGGCGGAACCAGCAGCGGAGCCGCTGTGGCCAGCCTTGGACGAGGAGAAGATGTCGCTGTCAAAGCTGAGAACGCCAGTGGCATGGTCCATGCGGATGGCAAGGTCACCTTTCTTATTACCGTTCATGATGAATTTCTCAATAGTGCCGCGGGTGATTTGAAACGGCTCAGGGAACTGAGCAAGGGTCTGGACGAACTCAAGATCAACGGTATCGTAGACCTGGGAGAGCTGCTGGAAAAGGCGAGTAAGAATGACCTGCTGCAGAGGAAGAATATAACGTTCCATCTCGGAATCATCGCCAATCTTGCTCAAAATGGGAGATATTTTTTGGCAGATGGAGAGAGGATGAAAGTCGACCTCGAGGATGTTGTAAAGCTCCTTAATCTCAGGGCGAACACGCTGAAGAAGAGACTTAGAAAGCGCGTCACGAAAGAGACGGGATCGGGTAGGAGCCTGGGCCATGCCGAGCAGGTGAGTTAGACGCGAGTTCTTATTCTTGCGGGCCTCGTCGAAGTCGACCATGGCACCACGAGAGCGCGAGGTGCTGATGACTGGGATGGCAAGAGCGGACAGAAGAACGAAGGAGGCAGCCTTCTGGAGGTCAGCCTCGGTAGCGGGCGGGTTATCGGACTTCTTGCCCTGTCCGGAAGCCACAAGAACAGCGGAGTGGCGGAGCAGGTTGTAGTATCTGGACCAAGCAGCAGCGTGGAACAGGTAGTTCTCGCCAACGAGGAAGATGCGGGTGAGCTTCTCGTAGTAGTTGGCCATCATGACATTCTTGGGAGGACGCTTGCTGAGGTTGAGTAAAGTGTGAATGTCCTCGACACTGCGGAAGGCCTCCTGCCAGAGCTCGAGCTCAACAGCGACATTGAGTTGCTGGAATCGGGTTTCCAGATGACGCTGAAGGGTATCGGCATCATTGAGGTTGATGGCGTGCATCTGGGAAGAGTACTTGGCAGCGGTCTGGACATGGTTGCGCAGAAGCTCGCAGAGTCTTCGGAACTCAGTCTTGCGGGTGTACTTGAGGCAGAAGTCGAAAGCCTGGGAGGCGGTGCTCTGGTAGAGGATCTCGAGGCGTGCGTTGTTGCGCAGAATGTCAAGAACGGTACGGTAAGCCTCCCAGAGAAACTTGAGCCAAGGAGTGACGATGGCGCGGTCGGTGCGGTCGCGCGACTGCTCGCCGGAGACGGTGGCGAGGAGAATAGACTCGGGAGTCTCGGTGGCTTCCAAATCTTCGACGTTGGAGTCACCACCGGTGGTAGCCTCGAGGCTGGACTGGACTTCGTCGGCCTTTTGCTGCGCAGCAGTGACCTTGTCGACGGCGAGCTTGATGAACTTCTTCAGGACGAGCTGTACGGGGTTAGCAATACGACGAAAGCGGAGCGTGGGATTTATCAGTTCACAAACCTCAATGGTCGCAATATTTGTGTTTTGGGAGATATTCTTATACTGGTAAAGGGCGTCCTTGGCGAGTTTTCCCTTCTTCTGTTCGACTGAGAGTTCGACCAAGAGGAGCATAACGGGCTCGAGCGACGCGATGGGGACATTTCGGGAACGTTTGCTGGTGATGTGCTCGTGAAGTAGGGTCAAAGCCGCCGGAGGCTGGCCGACTCCGATGAGCTCGTGAGCGCGCTTCAGCACATTTTCGGGCTTTTGATGCGGTGGAGGCGGCTGTTGAAGGAAGCGTGAGTTAGCATCTCGAAGAGGGAGGGGTAGTAGGGGCAAGGGGAGTCGACGCGGGTGCAAGCGACCGCGACGCAGCAGAACGCACCATGATGGGCAACTTCCTCTATCAGATTGCTTGGGCAAGTAGAGGGGAAGGCGGAAGTTGGTTATTTGTGTTGCCGTAGCGAGCCAAGAGTGATCTATGAACCGGCTCTGGCGTGGCTCTCTGCGTGTTAGCAATGGGGCGAATTTTTCACAATTTCTCGTGTGGACGCTATCCGAGCACTGAGGGGCTTTGAAGTGCGCAGGGTCACGTGTTTTAGTTCTGTGCAGGCAAAATTTGTGGCTTAGCGGTAGTGGAGGGAACGGGCAGGAGACATTACATAGTGACCTGATTAAATATAATAGAGAGGAAATACGTAGGGAATTAATTAGAAAGTATAAAAGGACTCTTTATTACCCATAATTCCATGATCGTTTTACAATCCTAATTTACACTTTTTGTTGATCTTGTGGTGGTTGGCGCCAGTATAGTCGTTATTCACTTGTCGTTGGCAATTTTGGTGGTAAACGTTGACAACCGACGTGGCTGGCGATAAGGTTAGCACATTCTAACGCTTTTCATACCTATTCTAATATATCTAGAACACGTAATAGATATTTAGTTGTAATATATGTTAAACCTAATATATTAGTTTTCCTAGCTATCATTGCCTTTTTCTCTGTTTTCCCTTTCTTAGGGTACTGCGAGTTTGCTTGACATTTCTCGGAGAGTTATCCTCGTGATTACGAAGGTATGACTAAATACATGGTTGAAATCTATAAAACATCACCTTCTTCAGGGAATGCGTTGCGCTGGGTTGATGTGCGGATGGCGGGGGATGAGGCGGGATCACGTGACATCAAAGCTCTCCTAGGTACCTAGGGTTGTTCGACTTCCAACCCAAGCTTAAAAGCTTCACATCCATCCACATGCACTTCACATAATTCGCATAGTCATGGCTGACTCTTCGCGGAAGAGGTCTCGCTCGAGATCGCCGCGCCGCGCACCAAAGGGCAGTGGCGGATTCAGATGGAAGGAAAAGAAATCCGGAGGGGGCAGTGATAGCGGCAGAGGCGGCCGACGAGACGACCAGTGGAACGACAGACGCAGCGACCGCCAAGATTTTCGCGGTGGGCGTGACAGAGATTTCCGAGACCGGGACCGCACTGGTGATCGCGAACGCTCTCCTCGTCGCGACAGGTCACCTCGAAGAGATGAAGGCCAGCGCCGCAGTTCAGTCGACAAGCCAGCCAAGGAGAAGCGGAGTGACGAAGATAGGAAGGAGAAAAAGCCCAAAAAGGCGGTATCCCTCGCTGGCAAGGAACTCATTGTGGTTCACATCAACGATCGTCTCGGCACGAAGACTGCTGTGCCGTGCCTCCCCGACGACACTATCGGCCAGCTGAAGCTCATGATTGCAGCACGCATCGGTCGAGAGCCTGGGCAAATCATGTTGCGGCGCCAAGGGGAGCGACCATTCAAGGACCCCATTAGCTTGGCTGACTATGGCATCTCGAATGGTGTGCAGCTGGATCTAGAGATTGACACGGGCGATTAAAGGAACTTGCGCCAATACGATGCGTGCCAGACTCCATGCCCGATGCCCTGTACAGAGCGTCAGATACAGCTGCTTGCTCCGGACGAGGACGGCAGGACAGGGCGCCTGACGACAGCATATCGTCACACTCGCATATAAAAAGACACCAAACAGGGCGGATCGTGTCACTCGCCTGTCGATGTGACGAGAAACTCTGTCTAGAGATGCATGAGGTGGTACTGCGACTGCATTCTGACATGAAGGCGACAGCCGGCTTGTGGTCAGGCTGATGCGGCAAAATGGTACGCGAAGGATGAGCGGGGGCGGGCATACTGGTGTTACAGGTGTATCGTAATATTTGGGGGCGCAAGGATAGTGCGTTAAAAGCGGCATGGAATACTTCCCTGCAAGCAGCGTACTAGTACCTGCCTGGAACTACAGATACTTGGACAAACAAAAGCTTCTGTGGAAGTAGTGCCGCTTCGGTAGATGGAGCTCCGATGTATTGCCGTTTACACAGACAATTCATGGCATGATCTTCGTCCCACCTCTGTGTACCTAGTTGTAGACTGTTGTGATTCTTGTGAACCATCTGAACTGGGTCAGAGCTCAGCTAGGGTAGCGCGGGACGAGACGTAGCTGCTGGGAAATAGATAACTAGGACGGAGCAGCAACGCGATGCTGCGGTTGAGCGAGTGGCGTTGCCAATGCCGGATATGACGACGGATAGTTTACTCCGTACATACATATCTACTAAGACTTGGTATGGATTTATTATCAAGGGACAGAGGTTTGGCCGGGCCAGTGACGCCTTTGCGGCGCCTCAGTGGCTCGCAGCCCGCGGATTGATGCCAGATGGCCCGTTTCTGTTATTGGTCAGGACTGAGGTGGCCGGTGGGCTTTTAGCAGCGTCCCAAATTTCCGTTGCGCGGGCGCACGAACCACACTGCAGGCGTCCGCCGTCCAGGCAGCCGGCTGACAAAGTGAACACCAAATCAAGGTACCACCCTGCTGCCATCCAGCTTCCCCCCCTCCAGTGGTGTAGCTCAAGGTACCTGGACCTGGACTGGGCCGCCATTACCGGGAGGCTGCACCCACCATCAACTGTGGCTAGCGCTCTCGTACCTGCACTGCCAGAGCTACAGGTAGGTACTAACTGGTAACAGGTAAGAAAAGCTCCCAGGTCACTTCGGCTGCTGCTAGCTGCCTTTTTATGCCTGTCTCTCTTTTGGGGCTCGCGGCTCTCTCTCTCAAAAAGGCCCCTCTGTAACAAGCCCCCCAAAGCCCCCCTAAACAAAGAGGCCGCTAGCCTGTTCCCCAATCAAATGTAGACCGTTTTGTACATCGCCATTTCCCACCACCTCTCTCGTCACCTCCCTCTCTTCCTCCCCTCCCGAACATCCTCTTTTCTTTTTTTCCCTCGTCTTGTCCCCCCCTCCTCCAACCCAACCGTCTTGTTGTCCCAGCGTCGTGTCGCCGCCCACACCGGCATCTCCAGAGTCTGTTTTCATTTCTCTGTAAGTTCGTTTCCCTGTTTCAATTGCGACCCTTTATGCAAGACGTGCGTGACGGGCTTTGTCTTGTGCTCCCCGTCAGCCCCAAGAGCGGCTCCCTCTGGTGGAGATTTCAGGAGTTCGGACACACATCCGCGCAAAAACACACCACAACCTGCCGACCGAGACGGCACGACGAAACGGCGCTCCTAAACGATTTATGTCGACTCCCCAACCCAATCGATTGTTGCAACCGTCATCGGCCCTAGGCCCTTTTTTCCCCGTCGCCCGCACTGCTCTTCGCGCGCCCGTTGTAACTGCTCCAAGCGCTGCATCTACCTCGACCAACGCCTGCCCCCGCACAAACAATCGCATTGATTCACGAGTCGGTGACAAACGAGGCTGTTTACTGACGAGCCGCCATCATTACAGAACGAAAGGCGCCACGACATTGCGGCGCGTAATCTTCTTCTTCCCATTCGTTACGAACCCTTGACGTCGACTCTCCACTCGTACCACGATGCCTCAGTACGCTACGCGAGACGGCGACACGGCGCAGTTCAAAAAGAACAAGCAGTCTATGGCCGATCTCAAGCTGCGCAGATTAACCGAGCTTAACAACCGTCTGCGCGAGGATCTTGAACGCGAGCGCATCCCCGTCAGCACTGCTTCGAGAAGGTGAGGATTCAACGTGGCGGCGCGCCGTGGGTTGGGAGGACCGCGGCTGACATTCTCTGACAGCATCATCGCCTACTGCAACGGCACGAGAGACTACATGGTGCCGTCAGTTTGGGGCTCCGTCGCGAAGGGCGAGGACCCCTACGCACCGCAACAATCTGGCGGATGCTGTGTCGTCATGTAAAGTGCTCGTCAAAACGACGACCGCTTGCTGACGGCCTCGGCGAGTCGCGACATCTTGAAAGAGAACCTTGTAGCGTTCTTGCCCACATGGGACGGCAGCGTAACATGGCCAGCGAACTCGACGCCTGAATCAGGCTTATATCCCGCGAAGGGAACCGAACGAGGTGTGCGAGATGCCCGCTTCACTGCTCATCAGCCAGCACCACAAAATCCGGCAGATATATACACAAGCCTTTTTCTTTGTTTTCTTATTCCACTTTGTTTTAGTTTTCTCTGGCTTGGCGTTGGCACCCTTTGTAATATCAGAAGAGAGGGCATGGACGAAGGCGAAAAGAAGAGGCTGCGCAACATGAACGACATGTTTTCTTTTTCCTTCTTTGTTGTTGATTTTATCGCCCTTTTCGTTTTTCGTTTAACTTGATTTCCTAGGTATTTTACTGCGATTGAAGAAGTCAAGAACAATTGGCAGCAGAGGAATGACTTGGGCGGCTTTTCAGAGGATCCATGACCAAGGGAGGCAGGATCCTCGAGCATGTATTATTTCGTTTTCCGTCCTATTGAATGGTTTATCTACCACATGTGCACACGTCTCTCTTGCAGCACGAAGATGAAAATACATTGGTGACGCCATGTGTGATGAAGAAGAAGATGTTGTGTGAAGGGTGCATACAGACGCAATGCAACCCGTCACGCGCTCTGTGCGGCATTCGTCCTGGGCTCTTGCGCGTGAGGCGATCATCGCGCGATGGGAAGCCGGGCGGCGCCGCGTTACCAGTACGGACGAAGTGGGCGCATCGACCATGGGTTCATCGAACAACGAACAAACGGCTAGGTTTTTGTCATACCAGCACATGAAGCACATGTTTCCTTTGCGACTACACCCTTGAAAAAATACAAAACAGTCATGGCTGTATCTCGAAACATGCCGAATTCATGTTTGCCTTGAAAACAAGAAAATAAGGGGAAAGAGGAGATGAACAGGTTGCTACATCGGTAGGTAGGTACATATCCCCTCCCTCGATTTGATGTGGGGAAGCAAACCTTCTTTCTCCCACGCCCCCCAGTACGATATAACTTTGGTTGCTTGACCCGTCTCTCTTTCTATTCCAAATCTCGAGGAAGCAAGACGAGAGGGCCAAAAAAGAAAAGGACAGGTATCCTCTTGAAACCCCGTCAGTTCCAAAGAAACGCCAACAACAGTCAGCGTCAGCCATGCCCGCCGACGGAGACTACGCGACGGCCGGTCGACAACGACTGCCCCGCGTTACCATTGAGTTTTGCACGCAGTGTAAATGGCTCCTGCGCGCCGCCTATGTGAGCCATTTTCTCTCTTGTTTTTTTTTTTTGCCCGATTTTTGTTCACTTTTATGGCTTCTCTCTATCCAGTAAAAAAAAAACAAAAAAGAAGAAAAGAAAACGCTGACAGCTTGCGCCGCGACAAATTAGTACGCGCAGGAGCTGCTGTCGACGTTTTCCACGGGCTTGGGGGAAGTGGCGCTGCAGCCGTCGACGGGCGGCACGTTTGTCATCACCATCCACCACGGGGAGGAGGCAGCGGCAGAGGCCGGGACCGGCAGCAGCGGCGAGGTGATGAGAAACGTGCTGTGGGATCGCAAAGTGGATGGAGGGTTCCCGGAAACAAAGGAGCTCAAGAGAAGGGTGAGGGACGTGGTTGAGCCCGGAAGGGACTTGGGCCACGTGGATCGGCATCACGGGAAGCCGGCAGCAGCGGCGGTGGCGGGGGACAAGGAAGGGGATGACAGGCAAGAAGAAAAGACGGAGAATACTGGTACTGGGAAAGAGTGCGAGGACTGCAAGTAAAGAATAACAGTACAAATAGCCGAGATGACTTGGTGATTCAAGTCGTGGAGACTGGCATATCAGGATCGCAGTATTCATCTAGATGGAGCATGTTGTACACGCCAACAGGGCAATCAATGCTTCACGGCAAGGAACAAGACAGTTTGTGAGTGAATTATTTTTGTAGAATTTTACATCAGTGAAGCTAAGAAACAGCCGTGTCGTTATCGAGCATTTTCGTTTTTTCGTTTTTTTTAACATTTTGGCGACAAGGTTTCAACTCATGGCATAAAGCGGCGACATGGGAATCCAGACATGGGCGACAAACACGTCCAAGACTCGGGATGCGGCGGCAGCCAGAGGAAAAGACGGGCGAGGGGCAACATGGAGTTGCCCGTGTGCGAGGGGGCGCAGATGGCGTCGTGGCGACGACGCGGGCCAACACTGTCAAGGCGGCAAGAGATGACGGCGAGTGTGTTGTGCAGCGATTGAAGCGTTGAGCTTAGCGGCGACCAAACCTGCGAGTAGCGGTTAGAAAAGGGCACATGGTGGATGGCAGAAGAGATGGAGAGAAACTCACTTTGGCTTCTTTTCGGCAGGCTTGAGAATCTGGAAGGAGCAGAGCAAGCTCTCGTCGACGCTCATCATGGCACCGGCATTGTCAAATTCTCCGCAGTAGTTGGGTGCAGAGAAGAGAGTGACGAGCTGGCGCTTGGAAAAGAACTCGTAGCCATCCTCGACGACTTGGTGAGCACGGCAGATGAGATCCATGTCATGCTTCTGAAGGAAGCGCGACACGACATCGGGGCCAAAGGTGAAGGAAACACCACGATCGTTTTCGCTCCAGCCGGTAATGTCCTTGTCGGGATCTGACCAGAGGAGATCGCAGAGGAGACCGCAGTCGGGAATCTGAGATAGGGTTAGCATTGGGATGGCAGGCAGCGGGGACCAAGGCGGCAACGTACGTCAGTAGGACGCATGACACGACGGATCTGCTCCATCGAGTTGAGGTCAGGGCTGAGGCCACCGTGCATGGTAAAGATCTTCTCGTCAATGATGGCGGCAATGGGGAGGCAGTTGAAGCAATCGGTAAAGGTCTTCCAGAGCTTGATGTTGTAGCGGCGCTTGCACTCGTCGTAGAAGCCGTAGATGCGGTTGATAGAGGCGCACTCGTGGTTGCCGCGGAGAATGAAGAAGTTCTCGGGGTACTGGATCTTGTAGGCGAGGAGTAGGCAGATGGTCTCGAGGGACTGCTTGCCACGATCGACGTAGTCACCGAGGAAGAGGTAGTTGGCCTCCGGGGGGAAGCCGCCGTACTCGAAGAGGCGGAGGAGATCGTAGTACTGGCCGTGGATATCGCCGCAGATCTGCGAGGTGCGTTAGCTGCCAAGTGCCTGGGGTGCGCGGGTGAGAGAATGAGACAATGGCGAGCATACCTTGATGGGAGCCTCGAGCTCGAGAAGGATGGGCTGAGAAATAAAAATCTCACGGGCCTTGGTGCAGAGATAACGAATCTCGGACTCGAGGAGCTGCACCTGCTTACCGGGGCGGCTTCCTCGAACCTCGAGAAGTCTATCGACTATGGAGTCAATGTCGACATGGTCTTGGTCTGCCATTGCGGTCGGTTCCCTATGGCCAGGGCTTGCCGGCTGAGGAGATGGGAGAGTGCTGCGCAGATGCGGCGCGGCAGAGCCGGGCTATCAATGGATGGCGATGGTTGGCTTAGCGAGAAGAGGCCGGGTGGTGGCAGAGAGGCCGGGAAGCTCTGTGTCGCGGAAGAGCGGAGCGCGGGCGTCAGCAGCAAAAGAGGAGCAGACGAGACAATGTATGCGCTTGACAAAATGGCCTTGTGGCAATCTGCATGAGGGGGCGTGGTCTGTTAGCAGGCGCATTACCAATGCGAACGCGAAGCTGAAAAAGAGCTGGAAATGGCTCGAGGCTGACAAGTTGCCTGTTGACAAATGCAAAGATGGAAGAGTGATGGAATTGACGTCGCCAAAAGCAGAAAATGAGCAGCGGAAGTGAGGGGACCACGGAATCGCAGCCGCGATGACAGCCTGATCAAAAGAGGCCACGGGTGCAGCCAAAAAAAATTATGGCGTGGTGTTGAGGGGTGAGAGCAGGGAGGGGGAGTCGAGCGAGAACGTGTTGTAGTGTGTGTGCTGAGAGGGGGACAAAGCGCGACGGGCGGGAAACAGAGCGGACTCACCTCGTAAAAAAAAAAAGTGACGACGGCGAAAGGGAAAATAGGGCGCGCGTCAAGTCAGAAAAGAGCAGCAGGTGCTCGATGAAGCGGGCGATGCGAAAACGATGCTACAGCACGCGAATGTATTTTCCCGCGGTGTGATGTTGTTCGATGTGGGCGGCAATGAGAAAAAAAAGCTCGCCGTGGTCGCCTTTGGTGCTGCAAACAAACTTGAACAGTTGTCGCAGGTCGTCAGGAGGTCGCCGTGGGTTGGTTTTGGGAAAAAACCAAAAGTCGCGGTTCTTTTGCTTCAAAAAGCAGAAGAAATCAATGTTGCGTCGTTGGATGAGACGCGGTCGCCGTTTGTTTTGTCGCTTTGGGGGGGGAGGACAGATAAGTGTCGCCGTTTGATGGTGTCGCAGGAGGAAAGAAGAACGAGAGCGCCGGTCGTTGCGGCGGAGGAGGAGGAGGAGGAGGCGGAAGAGGGGGGAAAGAAGCATGTAACGAGGTACTTTTTTTAGTCGCCTTTCTTTGCCTTGGCTTGGGTCTCTCTTTTTCTTCCCTTGCGCGGTCTTCCCTGTTGCGGGCGAGCGAAAAAATGTATCAGCGGCAAAGCGGGTGCCAGGCCCGAGGCAAGGGGCGCGGGGGGGCGCAGCCAGCACCAGCATCCAGCATCGGCTTTGGACTGATGGACATACATTCAAAGTAACTAGTTACCTATTAATTGGTGTTGCATCATCCATCTAAACTCACAACCTTTCAAGAATTAGGTCAGTGATTCGAAAGACCCCTGGCCGGATTGCCAGCCTACGCATTAGCTCTATTATTACCGTCTGTTGACCTGTGACCCTGCCGCGTTGCCACTCGGCGCCCATCCCCCCATCCCCCTCCCGCTCTTGTCAATCACGACCGCTGTACCGAGTTACAACATCACACATCTCGTCGTCGCAATTGCTTACACAACCCATCCAGGAAGCCTGATTGGCACGCGACCGCAGCGATCCTCTGTCCATTCTCCATGAATAGCAACAATCCTTCCATACATCACACGACGCCAATCCGACCAGTTTGTCAGTTCCGTCCCAAACACAACATCCTTGTCCACGGCCCGGCGAACCCCGACTCAGCAGTCTTCAACTTATCCGTAACTACGCACAGATTTGACTTTTTTGGCTGCACACCTCGGGCCGTGAGAGCGTCGTCACTCTTCTTCGCTGCTGCTACCCGCCTCGACTACCGATCTATTCGAGTCGGCATCATGACGGCGTCGTTCCCCTCCACGCAAACCACCGGATACCCGGAACGCCGCTCGCCATGCACTTAGCAGTGATGCAAACTAAATTTAAATCTAGACCTTTCTCCGCCTCCCCCCTGGACCGTCGCCGCTGACCCCTCCCCACCTAGCGCCCGCTGCTTGTGGAGGCGACGGTGGCTTGGAGATGCTGCAATAGTACCAACAACCCGGAATGACAGGGAGCAGGAACGCTTCTTTTCATCGTCAGCTTCATCATCAAAATTGAAAAAAAAAAAAATGTACCCGCCGTCGGGCTCTCAAACCCAATTCATCACTTCAACGGAACGCCTTGGTTGCTTGGGCATCTGGCATGTCTACCTAGGATATATGCCCCTGCCGCCGTCCCTTCATCTCTGGCTTTACTTTACATGATGCCGGCCAGGCGGCGACTGGACAATGCCAGGACATTCTCCCATGCCTGACGCGACACCTGTTGCCACGCCTGTCGTTTCTAAAAGGCCGCCGCTTGTATGACGCCACTGCGAATCTCCCCCCTTTGCATTACATGCGTCAAATCTAGTGACAGACATCTTTCATCCCCTCCACCTACGTCACATTGTGCATTCTCCTCCCCCCGTGCTCCGTACATGCACATGTGCCTCTCAACTTTTGCAGGAAACGGATGAGAGCCATGAGGACAACCCCCCTGGCCGTATCGAACAGTCTGCGCTTCCACCGCTTCGCTTCGTCTCTGCATCACTTGCGCGCGCTCTCCTGCGCTCATGTTGCGTCATCGAGTGTGGTACCCAGATGAAACTCCTCCGTCCCAAGTCCCCTGCCTATATAATTCCTTTGGCTCCTTAGCCGCCGCCCTCAACTTGTCTCTCTGTCCTCCAAAGTTGCCTTTCTGCTCCTTGGGCAGCAACAATGCTGCTTCGACATGGTTCCTACGGTTGCCAACAGGGAATCAAGCAGAGGAGAAGAAAAAGGCAACCCCTGCACGGTCATCTTGTAGATGCCCAACAGCCCCTCCCGCCAGGCCAAGGTTTCCATAATGTCTCGCTTTTTTTCCCTTCATCCTTGGCCAAATCGAACGATATAGCCCGGCATGTAATAGATCCTACTGGTCGCAGGCCGAGCTGAACGAGTTGGGCTGGAAGTCCCATCTAACCTGAAAACCTCGACTACACCAAGCCAGCCCAAGACGAAAGAAAAAATGGTACAATTGCGACGAGATTTCCTCGTCCGGTCTGATATACGATGACATAGAAGAGCGACAAAACGGCACATCCGTAGCGCCCGGTTCAGCTCGAAAAGGCAATGACACCCCAACTCGTGCACCATGCACGATCCCAAGGCAGAGAGACGCATGGCCCCCATTCGTATGCATGCAACCCACGGCCAGAGGCCCCATCCTAGAGATCCTCCGAGCAAGAAGGAATAATAAAAGAAGAACGCAAGCTTCGCAAGCTCCGCCTGCAGGCATGGCCTGCATACCGACGACGCCTCATGATCCTGGGGCTCTTGACCTTCCGTTGTTCGGCTTGCCATTTTTGGTCCCCCCTCGCCCGTTCGTCGCACACGGCGACTGAATTAATGGTCATCGTTAAAGTACTTTTCTTCGTAGTCACAGCACTATCGGTTGTAAACGAAAACCAGCCCTCTCTAGTTATTCAGACATGCTATATATATGTTTCGAGTATCAAGAGGGAAGAAGCCCCCCCTCCACAGAGCTAAAAAAAAAAAAACTAAAAAAAACAAGTAGCAAAGTGTCCTGTGTCCTTTTCCACCAATAGAGTAACAATACAGCCTTGCTTAGAAAAAAAAAGAACGGACAGAAAAAGCAGATGCAAGCTTCGTTCAACGATGCCCCCAATCCATGCCGTAGCATAATGGATATAGAAAAGAATTAGTCGCACGTCAAACGCCCGCAGAAGCAACAACATCGAGTCTATGCTTTCGTGCCTCCTTGCCGTAAAACGCAAACAATAGAAAAAAAAACAAAATAGACAAAGAACCGTGGAGTACTTGTAGTGTATGGAGTCTTGGTGGTACATTAAATCGCTTCTTCAACATGGCTGGCTTCAGACCGTCAACCTCGAAATACCAACCGTTCTTCATCATCGCTGACGGCCCGATGCGCGCCGCGTGCGCGCCCTGCTCGTTTTAGTCTTGGCCACGGCGACTTCTTCCTCGGCCGCCGCTTCCACCTCCTCCTCGACGCCTTCAGCCATCATGGCGCCACGGCCCCTGAGCTCAACCTCGTCAAGGTCCGTCAGGTCCTCGCTCAGCAGCCTCGCGGCGTCAAAACCGCCAGGGGCCGCCGCGGCCGCCGCCGGGTGCTCCAGCAGCGCCGACGTGCCCCGTGGTTCAAAGGGCTTGAGGTGCCACAGAACGCCGCCCTCAGTCAGCGGATCCGTGGGATCCCGCCGGCCTAGGCTGCCGTTCGATTGCGGCGGGGTGGGCGGTCCCTCCTGCGGCGGCTGGGCTAGAGCGGCATAGTCGTCGGGTGACGCTGAGGAGGAGCCCGCGACACCTCGTGTCGCCGCTTGGAGGCTCTTGTCCGACTTGACTGCCGTCAGCGTCGTCGTGTCGACGATGCTCAGGCCCGACGTGTCCACCTCAATATGGTCATGCACAACGTCGTCCTCAGCCGTGTCCATGGCATCTGGCTCCGTATAGTCGGCACCGTTCTCGCCAGCCAGGCTCTTGACCGTAATCTCAGTCGCGTCTTGTGCATCAACCATGACGGTATCCTCGCACGTCTCCACAGGCTTGGTCGTGTCCAAGCTCGTCGTAATGAGCGCTTCCAGTTCTGCCACCAGCGCTTCTGGCGCCTTATTACTAATTTCCGCTTCCACTTTCAGCGCGGCTTCCAGGAAAGGCTGCACACTCTTAAGGATGCGCTTGCCCAGTTTGCGACGCTCGCGGATATCGGTAAAGCCAGGTTTTGAGAGCGACGGAGCGATGCCCTCGAAACGCGAGCCCGAGGCGCTGGCATCGTCCGGCACCTCTGGCAGCGGCGTCCGGATGCCCTTGCTAATCACGTCGCAGAGATCTTGAGCAAACAGTATGACGGTTGTATAGTGACGCTGCCCAATGCGCTCTGTGATGACCTCGAGACCTTTTCCGAACAGGTCCTTGTCAAGCGAAATGGCCTTCTCCATGGCGGGCTCCAGCAGCTTCGCCACAGGAAAGTAGCACTCATCCACAAAGTCATTTTCCAGCTCGACGGCTTCCACGCGAAGCTCCTCGCGCTGCACAACATCTTCGGACAGCGCCTTCAGCTGCTCCAGATCCCTGAGGATATTCTGCGCAAACTCGACGCGCCTCGCCAGCCGTGTCCTGCCGTTGGGGCCCATCGAGGCAAAGTCGCGCCTAGTCAACTCCATCGACGAGAAGGCCTCCATCTGCAGCTGCAGCCGCTTCAGAAGGGCCGCCCCACGACGCGCCTCGCGCTTCAGCGTCCAGTACCGGCACGCCTCGCCTAGAAAGTCCTTGCGTTTCCGGAAAGGGAAGCGCTGGATCGAGGCCTCCACCACGTCATACACAGCTTGCGGGATAATCGGCGCGCCCGAGGGCAGCTTCCACAGGTTCTTGGGCGGCTGGCCCTGTCCCGTCTGCTCGTCCGCGCCGTGGCCGAGCATGCCTGCGCTCTTGGCGCCGGGTCCTTGGCCTTCGTTGGCAGGATGGTCCGTGACAGCAACTCTATGCTGGGCCGCGAGCACATTTGCCATGGCCTGGTTGTCCGCCCAGATGCGGCCGCGCATGTTGCGTTTGTAAAACTTCTTGGCCGCGCGGGTGGCCTGATGGACATTGTTCTCTATCGTGTAGTCAGGCGGGCAGTGGTTGTGGCAAAACGCCTTGAGGACCATACTGCTGTCCAGCACGGCTAGCGCGCCGTGGCTCGTCTTCATCTTAAGATAGAGCCTTGAGCGCCGCGCGCAGGTGGCGTGAAAGGCCATGTAGCAGTTCTTGTTGCTGCACTGAATGCACGCGCCCATCTTTTGGCGGCAGATGTAGCAGTTGAGTTTCCATCGCGTCTTGGGCACCTTCTCGACATCCATAACCGGTTCCATGAACGTGTGGTTGCCAAGCGAAATCTCGGGAATCCACATGGCGCAGAGCAGATGCGCCCACTTCGACGAGTTGGTCTGTTTAAAGGCCCCGTCCGTGTTGGGGCAAAAGATACAGGTAGGCACACCGCGCCCGCACAGCTGGCACTTGCGACAGAGCCACTGACCTTCAGGGATAAAGGGCACGCCATAGCATTCTTGGTGAACGGCCAGGTTGCATCCGTCACAAAACACAATCGCATTGGTGTTTTCGCAGTCGCCATCGTCGCAGATGACACACTTGCTATCTGGTTCATCGCTACCGGCGCCGCCACCACCGCCGCTCTGAATCTCGCCATTGACCGCCGCCGCCGAGCTTGACCGGGGACGGTGTGTCTGTGGCGGCTTGGGGTTTGGCTTGGGTATGCGCCGCTCGAGCGCGTGCCACTCTTTTTCAATCTTGGTCATGGTAATCTCAAACACCTCGCGAGTGATGGGTTCCAGGTCGGCCTGTTTGCGTTGTGCATTATAATGTTCCAGCCACATGTCGTCCTGCTCGTCCATGTCGTACTCGACACGGCCCAGCTTTTGCGCGTGCGGCGCGTGGCTGCTGCTGCTGCCGCCGTGCTCCTCCGATTTGATCGGTAGCAAGGCCAGCGACTGCTCCGCGTCGTCCTCTGCGCCGAGGTCAATAGCGCGCAGCAACGTCTCGTCAGGTCGGGGGAAATGGTCGCTTTCTTGATATCCTACATTGCTCATAGCCTTATCGACATAACGGGCCTGCCCAAACGTCTTACTTTCAAACAGCTCTATGCGGTTGGTCTTGCGGAACATGGGCTGTTTGAGGTCCAGCCGCTCTTTTGGCGTCTGGTTCGAGATGGGCAGTATGCGTGGTGTCCGGGGCGTGCCATTCATAGGTGTGTTGCGCACGCCGTAAAACGAAACAGACTCGCGCAGCGCCCTTCTTGAGCGTCGGGATGGCGTCGTCGTGCCTGCTGCCGATTGCGAATCAGGCTGGCTGTGAGCATCAAATTGGGGCTGCGGGTTCGGCGTATTGCCCGTCGACATGGAGTGCCCTTGTCGCATAGGCGTCATGGTCCCATTCCGAGGTGTACCTGGTGTATGCCTAGACGGCGTGCTCGGCGTCTCGTGCGTCCCGGAAACGCCGTCCACCTCATTGGCGGAGAAAACGACGAAGCGCCGTTCGATATCGAGGTTCGGGTGAAACTCCTCCCAACTGCGCTCCTCGCGGGGTTTGTAGTCCTCAGCCTGCTTGACCGAGGCGGCCACGGCGGCGGCGGAGCCCCATTCGATCTCCTCGAAGTCGTCGCCGGCCGTGGCGCGGGTGCGTGTGCTCCGGTCACGCCGCGGCAATGGCACAGGCGAGACGGCGTACGAAATATCCCGACTAGCTACAGAGCGGCGGCGTGACGACGACGGCGGGGCGCCGCCCGTCCGCGGTGTCGACGTCATCGCGCTCGCGCTCAGCAGGCTGTCCGGGTCAACGTATCTACCGCCGCCGCCAGGCCCGCCAGGCACGTAGCGCTTTTTACGCGCCGACACGGTCTGTCCCAACGCCGCCAGCCGAGCCGCCTCAGCGGCGCGGGCGGCGCGCACGGCATTGGTGGTGCCGGGAGGGCGGCCGCGGCGCCTCGGCGCAGGATTCTGCGGTGTGACCGCGGGCGATGCCATCCGGGCAGAGGAACGCTGCGCGCGGTTTGGCCTGTGTTTTTCGTTCTTTTTTTTTTCGAAAAGGAGAATCTATTTCGGTCTATTTCGGTATCGGGTAAGCGGGAGGGTGTGGCGCAGATTCGCGTTTCGCGTAGAGGATAATCGAAAGTCTCCGAGGCAACAAGCAGCCATCCGTATTCTACGCTGGCGAGGAGAGAAAAAATGAAGGTATGATGCTTTCAGCACGTGCATGAACCGTCTTGAGAGACAGACTGAGTAGGCATTTGCGTGAGCGTGTGTGAGTGCCCGTGACGTCGGACAGGGAGAGAGAGCGCGAGGTTTCGAGGGAAGGGGGGTGGAGAGGCGAAGCGGGATGGGCAAGAGGTGCGCCACGACGGGCCAAAGTCAGGACTTCTCAAACGACAGGACGCATCTAAAAAAGAGCGAATCTATCTCGAACGTGCATGCGTGCTTTGGAATCGTCTCGTGATCCCTTGTCCCCTAGGCGGCCGTAATAGAGAGCTTTCCCTTGTTGCGCAAAAACAGGCCAACGCGTGCAGACGTCGTCGCCCCGTGCACGGGCCTCCCTTTTGCGAAAGGCAGTCCCGCACGAAGATTGCCTTAGTCAGCGACATTCATGACCCACCCTTCTTCTCTAGCCTCTACTTGGTTTAGCGCCAGATCTGCCATCACCCAATTCTGGATTCTGGGGTGGCAATGGGTTGTTCGTCCAAACTCCTCAAAAGGTCGGCAAATGGGTCGCTCCTCCTGCGTCAGGCTGAACCAAAAGGAGCATTTGTCGCCCCTCTGTGAAATCAGGGTCCAAGTACTCTTTCTTTTTTTTTCAAACGCCCCTCTTGGCCATGTTTGACTCGCACGGGAGTCATCAATAACCCCGTGTAACATGCTGGCCGATGACAGTGACCGTCGGCGCTTAGTGCCAGACACAAGGAAAAGAAGCCCGATGATATGAGCGGTTCTGTTGTCCTTAGACAATGGAGAACAAGCCACTTGTGTAACATGATTTACGCGTAGCTCAGAACCGAGCCGTCGCTCCTCTTTGTCCATGACTAAGTCGGTCACACAGCTGTACTGGTACGAAAGCCCCAACCGTCTAGTTGGCAAACCCCATTAATTACAAGCTAGGTAGACGATGCTACAAATTAAGTAATCTGGGGTTGTCTAATAAAGAAAGTGCGGAAGCTGGGCCGGGACGGGACCACCACGATGCAACTCACTTCCCCAACAAACACTTGCTAGCTCCGTCAGTCAGTCATTCCGACCTCACCGCACTTTCTACCCGAGGCCCTTCGTGACCTTACAAAAGGTGTCTTCTCCCCAGCGACTTTCTTGGCTTCGTCTCTCATACGCATTTCACAGTCACCGACTATGGCAAGCAGGCACACAATTCACAGCAACTTAATATCAAAGCCAAAACAGTTGCATTAGTACGACCAGCACAAAGGCGTGGCCCAATCCTCCCAAATCTAGCTGCATGCTCGCCAGTACCGTTGTACGCCGAATCGACAAAGAATCGACAAACCCCTTTTTCAGATCCAGCCAACCAGGCAAGCAAAATTTCGAAATCCAGTCCAACTTTGCTTCGTCAGATTGAAAAACAACATCAACACAGATAAATGGAATAATTCGTCGACAACCGAGCGACTTCCATATGAATGCCAGAGATGAGAAGAATAGCAGTCAAATACCACACACCCGAAAACGCCAGTGCTATGCATTTCTTGCACAAGAACCAAGTCAAAGCAGAAACACGAGACGAACAAGAACAAATCACAACGCAAAAAGCAAACGCCAACAGGAAACTGACAACATGCAACACACATCTCTCACTACAAACACAGCGGCAAAAATCAAAAGCAACTCAACAGGGCATGCGAACGCGAAAATGCATCCAGCGCAACCCGCGCCAGCAAAAAAAGCATGGCTAGCAAAAAAAAAAAGACACGTAGGGGTATCACAGAGGTATTATCTTCATATCATGCTCTCTTTCAAGCACGCAAGAAGCAAGTAATGTTGCGTACCCGCTAGCCAAGTGTGCGTCCGCTGTGAACGGCTTGGACAGCAGGTACATGGTGGGGAAGGTGACCAGCACGGAGCGAAGCAACATTCGATAAGCCAGTCATGTCAAACCCAGGAGTGGATTCCCAGCTCTCCTCGCTGAGTGCACTCAAATACTCATCGCCCACCGTGTTTCGAAGGGCCTCGATTTTGCGTCGATAATAATCACCACTGGCATCCCAGTCGCTCGGCGCGGCCCAGTCGCTGTTTGCGGTCCTGGCCGGCTGTGATTCTACCGGCTTATTTGTGGCCGGCGCAGAAGAGAGAACCGGCGCAAACTCACTCTGGCGAGGTGAGAGGACTACTGGGGGCAGGAGCTGACGTTTGAGAGACAGGCCAGCGTCATCAGCGTCCAACTTTTGGACAGTCGCAGCAGATGTGTTGATAGGCTTGTCAGGGGTCCTTTCCAACGTAGCAGGTAGAGGCGAGCCATCGCGAGTGGCCAGATCAACGATTCTCCGTTTAGGTGTCTTTCGACGACGACGGGAACTCGTGCTGGCTTCGCTCGTTACTGCCTTCGCAACGGGGCGGTCCTTGCGAAGTACCGCCGGCTCTCTTGGGCCTTGGATAACGGCAGGCTTGCTTATTTCCACCGCAGGAAGCACTACCGGAGCAGGTTTGACGACCGGAACCGAGTCGGGGATCGGAACACGCTCAGTAAGTAGTCGCTTTTCCGCATATGTGGGACCGTTGCCATCAATCACCACATCTTCTGTGTAGCCGGGGGTTGCACGGAACAAGTTGAAGATGGTGATGCGGTAGTCCTTGTATGTACGAGCAAAGGGATTGCCTTCTACCCAGATCTCACGAATGTCCGGTATGCCAATTAGCCTTGCCAGTTCTCTGGGGTCTCCGATACGGTTATCGCGAAGGTCCAGGCGCTCCAAGGGGTACAACCGTTCAATGCCGGCCAGCGATTGGAGACGGTTAGCTCGCAGGTTGAGAGCTGTAATGGCAGGAAGCGGATTGCGAGTCAGAGAGTGGAGAGAATCTATCATGCAGTGTGAAAGATTTAGGGCACGCAGGGCGGTCAAGGTGGCAAGGCTTTCGGGAATTTGGTTAAAGAGGTTGGAAGACAGGTCGAGAGAGTAAAGCGTGTTAGAAAGCGGAGCCAAACTTGTAGGAGGAATGGAAGTCATGGCATTATCGGCCAAACTGAGATGGCGTAGAAATCTCCACTTGGAGGCTGGCAGAATACCCATGGCGAGTAAGTTGCCAGAACTGCCGCGAGTATGGTGGTGGTACCAGGAATCTGAGAGGCTCGAGTGGGAGCTGCCCGAACCGGAGCGAGTGATTCTCTGGGAGTTGCGGGTGTTTGTGCGGGACGTGGTTGGTCTCGAGGGCGAAATACTCCGAGGCCGTGAAAATTTTGCGGGAGACTTGGCAGGAGACTTGGCGGGAGACTTGGAGTAGTCCTCGCTCTCTTTCCTATTGAGAATAGGCCGGCTCTTGGGGCTCGTGGGGGGATCCGCTGCATCGGGAGGGGTGAGTGAGCCGACTCGGAGATCGGTACGGGGGTCCGGTGAAGAAGGAAGAGAAGCCGAGCGGGAGAGTTCCGGGTGAGCCAACGACGGGCTGCGACGGGGGCTATTTGCTCCCCAGGTCGTGGTGGGGGACGATTGGGCCTTGGATGTGCGTCGGCGTCGTTTATCCATGTCATCTAGAACAATGTCGATGAGGATATCGGCAGGGTCCTCGATGCCAGCGTGCCTAAGAGTCAGTGATCGCAGCTGGTCAGCCATGCGGTCCCATCCAAAAAACTGGCGAAAGTCGATGCTGTTGACCTCCAAGGCCTGGAGATTTTTGAAAGCGTAGAGGGGAACGGCCGAGTCAAAGGGAAACTCCTCGTATCCACGGATTAATCGGGCTCGCCAGTCAGGGGCCAGTTTCAGGCAAGGGATCTTGGTAAAGGCAGAGTAGAGGTATTTCATATCGGCCTCGAGTGCAGCCTTCTGACGCTCGGTTCGAGCAGCAGAAATGCTAGACCCGATACCTAGGCTTGCCCATAGGGAAGACATGCCAGACATGACACTCCTAACGCTAGAGACGGAATGGATAGAGGTAGTATCCGTGCTACGGGTCCTGGAGCGCTGGTTCGAGCCACTAAGGAAGGACACATAGTTGGCGGACGAGGCGCTGTCATGCAGATTCTCCAGCCGAATCTTCATGGGTCCGACGGAAATTCCAAGGTCCTCGAAACGGGAAAGAAGATAGAAAAGGTGATGGGGCGTCAGAGCCAACTTTGCAGACTTGACACTGTGAGAGGTGAAGCTAAGGTTGCCAAGTGAGAGAGCTGCCGCCAGAGTGCCAGTTGTAGAAGCGGTAGAGGGGCGCTCCGAGACCATTGGTGGCGGCGGGAGCGTGGCGGCGCTTGTGCTTTGAGAGGGTCTGTGGCGGCTCTGTCGTTGAAACTGGAGAGCGTTGGCGAGGGCTTTTTCGTGGGTACGCACGAATGTGGCCAGTTGCTACATGGTATGTAAGTATTCAAGTCGGATGCAGATATTGTTGGATCGTAATTGCAGCGTACTTTGATGAAGAATTCACCATCTTCAGAGTCCATTTTGGCGGAAGAGGACAGCTCGGCCGGGAGAAACGTATGCGAGGGTATATATGCGAGGGGCGCGAGGCCAAAGGAACGTGTGCGGGAGTTCGGGATTGCGAGACAAGACGACTTTTAACGTATGTGCTTATCCGGTGCAACGTGCAGGAACCGATCGGCCGCAGGCTTAGAAGGCAATGCCGACCTGGAGAAAGAGGCGAGCGTTAGTTGATGATTTGCTTGACAACAAGAGCTCGAGTCTTTGTAAAACGTGGTTCATGGTACAGCAGGGGCGGTGACGGGTTTGATTGACCAAGCAGGGCAAGCGGTTGGCCAGTACAGAGGAGCGGATGCAGGACATGCATGCGCAGGCACATTGTTTCATGGGACATGCTGCAAGAGGGGATACAGTGGGAAAAAAGTCAAGAGGGCGGTAAGCGAAACGGGCGAAGAGCAGAGGGACTAATATCCGATGCGGAGAGAAAGAGACGCTGCATGTGCGTCTGGCCATGGACTCGAGTACAAGCGAGAACGAGGCAACAACGGTGAGAGGGTGTAAAAACGTTGCACCAACGGACTCGAGAAAGATAACGGAGTCGAGTTGTGCCGGGTACACAGCAGCTAGGAGTTTTCACAGAATGCAAGGCAGGGGAAAAAAAGAGCAGTAAAAGCAAGCAACAGCAGAACGAGCAAGAAGGAGGAGTGAGAAGACATACCTTGCCTGGAGAAGGGAGAGAGGAAGACATCCGTCTGGGGAGAGCAAAGATGACTAGACGGACTGAACGACTGGACAGCTGCGCAAACCAAACACAGCAAATTCCAGTATAGACGCTTTTCTCGCTGGCTGCGGCGGCCAGAATCAAGGAGAAAAGGAAGGAGGAAGAGGAGAAAGGGCCAAGCACGACTGGGGACAAAAGTCGTGATGCTGTTTGTGTGGTGTTGACAGAGGAGAGAGGACGGGCAGGGTCCAGGCGGCAGAGGAAGAAGGAGGCAGCGGAGGGGTTCGTTTTAGCGGCTGGCCGATAAGGAGGAGCAAAAGAACCGCCCAGGTAGCACAGCCAAAAAAAAAAGCTGAGGCAAGCAAATGGATGGTTTTTAGAGTGGAGGGGGTGTGGGCACAGGAGCCTGCCCGGTGGGCAAATGGGCAAATTACAGTGGTGCATGGGAGAAGACAGGTGCGCCAGATGGCCATTTGTAGGGGGGCCGTAGTCTCGTGGTGGAGGGGTGGTGGTGACGGGGTGTGGGGGTGTCTAAATGGGCTTCTGATGGGCTTGCTTGACGGGCATGGTGGCGCCCCGAGAGAGCTGGCCGTATATTCGACTTGCCAAACTATTACTGATATAAAATTACAGGCGGATTTTTTTTTTGGGGGGGTATGAGGAAAGCGTTGTGAGGCCGAAGGAAAGGTCAAAGAGCAACAAGAGGTCACCCGTTGCACCCAGACGGCGCGGGCGGCGGGGCGCCGCTACAGCTCGACACGACCATCTGACACGGGGCCAATGATGGCGACGGGTTGTGGAATGTTCTGAGTGATGGGCACATGTGTCCGTCAAACCACTTGGGGGTTTTTCTGATGAATGTTTTTTTTTTTCATCCGACAAATAATAAACAAGGGACGACGTCCCATTGTGCCGAGACACCACTACCGCTCTCCCCAGCGACTCAAAAGGCGTGCTCCGTCCTAGGCGCCCTCGGCAAGATCCATAGTTGGGTATCGGTAGTCCGCCTGTGCCGGCATCTTGCTGCGTCATGTCTGTCATCCTCCATCATGGGAAAGGCAAGTTTCCTCTTCTGCCTTTTTTTGTCTTTTCCCAACTTCCAGGTTGTTATTGGAGCTGAGTTGAGCGAGGCCCATGCTCGCCCGCCAAGCGCCGCTGTGGGGGGGAGGCTCTGCAGCCTCAGACAACCCTGACCTGCTAACCTGTCTGGGTACGTATAAATACAGGGACTTTGCTTGCAACTATCAGGGCCACCCTTCACAACATCACAGGGCCGTTCTCCCTTGCCTTGAACAGTTCCGTCGTGGTCATCAGAAAACACGAGTGTCTATCTGTTTCTTTCGCCCAGCTCTTAATTACTCCTTGGTTCCACGTCTGGAACACCAAGCCTTGGCGTATGCTACCTACCTGTAGGTGATATCTCGGTTTTAGCCGCTGCCGTGGGCACAACCCAATCCGGCTCCGAAATGGGCTGCAACCTTGGTTCCTCACTAGTTACGGCGGCCCTCGACGCCGTGAACACTCTGTAATATCTGTAACTAGTTACGGGAGTACTCTGGTAAAGGCATTTCCCGGCACCAGACCAGGGCATCCTCGTCAACCAGTCACATTGTTTCCACGGTGAATTTACCCTTGAACTGGCCATAGCGCCCATCTCGACAAAGCCGCCACCAAATCCTGCAGCTGCGGCAACCTCTTTTCAAGGTTCATACATAACTAACTTAGCCCATAATGAGCATAATGAACCCCGGCGCCGCTGTGGGGGGAGGGGCAGCTGCTGGTCCGGGGTGTCTTGGCCCAGGTAGGTAGCTAGGGGTAGGTACTCAAGTACTTAAAGGTACTTACCTGATGATATCATGTTGCTAATTTCCTGAATAAGACAAGTAACCATGATGTGTTTTTTACTTTTACTAACTAGAATTAATCCGGACTCCATAAATTTGTACGATTCGACAAATCTCGGTTACCATCAGAATGCCAAATTGATTCTAAAATACAACGTCACCCTTTAGATTCTATCTTTCTTTGTTTACATTCTTTCTCTTGTTCCAGCTATTTTGAGCATCAACTCCAAGACATTTCACAACACACCACGCGTCGTGGCTGGGCCCCTCACCTCGACTGGTATGCAGGGAGCGTCACTCATCGTACCGGTCGCCCACCAACGCCTGCTCCATGTATTGGTCCGATTCGCCATCTTGGAACGGACGAGGAAAGCCGGAAATCCCCAGAGTCTCCTGGCTACCGGCGGCGAACAAACGCGACACAACACACGCGCCACTCAGACCACATCACCCTGACACACGCGCACGTCCTTGTCACGGACAGGTTCCCAATGAGCGATGGCTGATCCAAGACATTTCAACTCTCCTCTGTCCAGCTTGTCCGCCTGGCGCAGCCAAGCGCATATTCATTTATCCCAACGACACACAAACTTGATCGTTGCGCCTCTGCCCAGACGGATGACGCTGCGCTGCATCCCAAGGTTAGCGCTGATCTTCACTGCATCGTACCTACAGCCTACAGCCTACAGCCTATTACAGCCTACATATGCGCGTCTCTCCCCCCTCGCGGTACTTGGCTGCTTCAATAATCTTGCTCGCCTGAAGCCCCGGGCCCGGGCCCAGGCCGCTCCAGACTTGACGCCGCATGGCCGCAATCGTTTCTCGGCTGTGATGCCGCCCGGGTGCAACCACAAGCTCCCCGCGCCCAGACTCTGTTATGTCGAAGCTGAATAATCTTGCTTGAGAGATGTGCTCCTGCGCCGCGCGCAGGGCCTCGCATCTTGGGCTCCTTTCTCAATTTCCCCTCGACGTCCAATCAAGGCTGCGCCGCCACCTGCCGTAGGCTAGGGTGCCCCGGGCGGCGTCGTGGCGTGCCCGCGCCGACTCGCTCCAAAGTGACAAGTCGTCACGCGTTTGCGCCGTACGCTCACTGGGGAGAAGTGAAATGCGCCACGAGGACAATCATTCGTCTCCAATGTTTGCCATGCTCAAGGGTCTTTTCCTGGAAATCCGCTTGGCTCGTCATCCGCCACTTGCCTCACTAGTTAACTAGTTACTCACTAGAGTGTGTACTCGGGACGTCCATTCTCGGTACTCCGGACTAGTTACAAGGAGAACCAAGTCGCTGGCGTCTTCTTTTTCTGAGACCATTCCTCGCTAAGTCCCTCCGGGCCGGCATCTTCAGCGCACGGCAGTGGCACAGACATTTGTGCAGTGTGGTAACTACCCTCTTTTCCCAGCTGTTGGTGATGGATAACATTTCCGTTGTCCGCTGTAAACTCCCCTCGACCAACTTACTGTCTTAGTCTTTGATGCTGAAAATCATTATCTATAATGTATTGCACTGTTGATATTCTTCATGCTCGAATCCACCCGCCGGTAACCTACGCCCGTCGCCTTTTTCTCTCTTTGTCGCAGCATTCTTCCTCGATACACCCCGCCGCCTTCAAGACGCACCCCCCTCCACCTTGAGCGTGACGCTACTCTTGTCATGAGCATGCATACGTGCTCACCAGCCTGTCCATACAAGTTTCGTCATTTCCATTGCAGCTTCATCGGTCCATCTCGATCACCACGCCGTTTACCCACGGGATAATACAAAATGGTAGGTATAGTCGTGGTCTTGTACACCCTTGCAGCTACAAACATGACGATAACTGCCCTTATGGTTCATGCCCACTGTTGGTACCACCAACAAGGATAGCAGATGTCGCTTCGTTTTCTATTGCCTCTCCCTCATGCCCTTGCCACTTGACGGATTGCATTTGCAACCACGAGTACCGACTGGCCCGCCTTGGGGACATCCGCCAAGACTCGACTTTGCCGCCGAGTGACATCATGGCTCCAGTAACGCATCACGGAACATGGTTACCGCACCTGCTCATTTGCTCGACTTTTGTCAAGACTTTTCCGCTGGCTAGCTGCGTTGAAGATGGTGGGAGATGGACTGGAGAATACACTGCGGCCCTTGATCACGGATGTGACGCCAACTATACTTGAACGATGAAAGACGCATCATTGCTGCAAGGGATAATACCGGGAGATGCAGTATCAGTATCAGACCCTGCGGTAGTTCCTCTCCTAGACATGTATGCAACCCACGCCTTTCACAAGCCAGCCGCCTTCATCCACGGACCACGTCGACGGTCTGACCAAGATGCCGGCGAGCAATCGTGTGGCCCCCCCAGCACCAGACGGGCCCCCGTTAAAACTGTCTCGCTGCTATCCTGAAAGAGCTCAAGTGTGCAACTGTTGTACCGAGTATCGTGTTGTGTGTTGTGGCAAGCCTGAGGTTGGAGTGGATCGGCCACGCCCACACCCTATTTTTTTTCGCATGATCCCGGCCTGTCGCCGTAAAAGGAACGGCTGCGAATTCCTAGCCCGGTTCACGTACACCGCTTCTTAGCAGGAGCGGAGGACGCCCCGAGCTATTATTACTAACCAGTAAGTAACGTTGGCTGCCTAGATATTGCGATGCCCATCTGGTGGTGGTTGCATTTCTGTCTTGTCCCATATCTCTTTGTCAACATCAGTCGTCACATCCGAGAAGAAATATCCGTTACCTGCAACGCTAGACAAGCAACTAGCCAAACACCCTGGGCATCAAGCGTGTTGAAACACTGGTCAGTTGGTTTTGACGATATCAGAAGTGATTTTTTAGCATTATCAGGTGATTGTCCTGCGCGTCAGAATAGCGCAGTTTTGGGTTCTGCAGAGCTAGCACGGTTCGTGCATGTATATTGCTGCTAGGGTTTCTCGATGCAACTCGATTTTCCTCACTTTTTTTCTTCTTTTTAATTGGACTTGTCATTTGGCGTGGCGAAGATCCCTGCTCAGCCCATTGAAACTCGGAGAGCCACTTATTCATTCCGTACATGGACCTCACCCGGAATCTGTACGGAGGAGAGCGTCAAGATGCAAGAAAGCAACAACCACTAGTTCGCTACCTACTTGTCCATATCTACATCGACAGCGAACCCAGCTAGCGCCGGTCGAGATAGTTGCAATCCGCAGTGGAACCTGTCTTCCCGCCCCGACTAGCACACCAGCTGAAGGCACTGACTAGTACGCAAGCGTACGGGGGCTTCGTCTATCTCGCTCCATCTTCTTGTCTCTCATTTCTGGCTTTAGTTTTGTAACATGACTATCATGCAGTGTCCAAGTCAGCGAAGCATCGCCAAGTACCTCTACTTGGAAATGAGTGTGTTCTCTTCATCTTCTTGTCCAGCATCTCGGGAGTGGCAACTACCTTTTGCTTTACATGGCCCCAATCTGCAGCCACACACACCAACCCCCGCCTTTGCACCAAGGGACCAAGGATGTAACCTTGATTCTTGCTCTGTGATCGTGTCCAACTAGTTATTCTACAATGCTCCCTTTAGCACGGGTCAACACTAGTTAGGGCCAATCATATACACCTCGACATCTTGGCTCTGATGATGGAATTATGGGAGGCATATGTATTGTACCACACAAGGCTGCATCTTTATCGGAGAGGATCGACGTCGTAGGCGAGCTGTTGGTGTAAGCGTGGCTCACACTGTCTCTGACAACCCGGGCGCCGTGGCTTTCTTAGACCGGTATTCAAAAGAACCCTACATGCATTTGCATTTTGCATCTTGAGTGGCGCCAGCCAACCAGAACCCGCCATACGTGCATCATCCTTTGAACTGGATTCGGGGGGGGGGGGCGGGTCTCAACTCCAAGGCGCTACGTCAACTCGAATGTTCAACGTGGGGTAGTCAAGGTCCCCTTCTCAAATGATGACGATCGAATTTTAATGCCAGACGAGAAGAGCGAGTCTTTCCGAGCTCTTGTTCAAATCCCCTCCTGGACAACTCGAGATGCGCCATTCAGCACGCCAGGTGGTCAAGGGCCTGCGTTCTCGCCAAGACGTGCATCCCATCCGCCGCAATGACACGTCTGTCTGGCCTTGTTCTTTCGATTCTCAGCCCCGCCAGCTTGCGCTCCAGGGTGGTTCGACCCTTGAAACTCTCGAGGTCAGCGCCGTTCTTGGTACAGATGTCTCATTCGCGCGTCATCTACACTCTATTCCCGAACAAGCTTGGCGGCTATTGTACAATTTGCATTTCACACCGCTAAGCTAACAAATTGGTCATTTTATATCTCCAGGACTTGTATCTCACAATTTGACCAGTGTGCCAGCCAAAGTCTATTCTGCCCTATCACAACATGACTGTTAGAACCCCGAGTCCACAAATTTGGGGTGATCCAGGGTATTTGCTTTGTGGCTCAAATAGAACGTAGCAAAGAGGGCAGAAAGGAAGTCATGGGGATGATGTTTGATTGAGGTTATCACTATAACTATGTACATAAATCTAAGTCTTGGTAGTGGCCTCAAAGTCCCCGTGGTTGCTTAGTCATACGTGGCCAAATCCCCTGATTTTGACGGGAATTTTAACAGAGCACCGCGAACAGGTTGGCGCCTGACGTCATGCGCCTGGACATCTGCATAACGCCAGAGCCCGTCCCTCATGCCGGATCACCTGGATAACGTGACTCCGACCGATACGATCATGGGAGAAGCAACGCCGACCGAGGCCAGCACCGCGTACACCGACAATGCCATTCGAAACGGCGTCGCATCAGCGCAGCCCACGATCTCAACTCGCCTCACGTTCCATATGAGCACATGGCGCTAAATGAACATCACGACCATGGCGATGACAGTCCCGCGATCCCGCCATGCATGATGGCACTTTGTCGACCTCGACGACCACGGCCCATGCCTACACCTACGCTAGCAACGGCCTCTAGATCCCACAGATCCGAAGACGCGACTGAGGCCCTGCACCAGCCAAAATTGCTCCCCGGGCTCCCAGCAGATGCACTATTGCCACACGATGGGCCATGCAATGATCAATAGACGAAGATGCTTTGGTCGTGGCTTTGACGGTGGATTTATTTGTCTACCAAAGCACCGTTGCTAAATACCTAAGTGGAATAACTACCTGCTGATACCCAGGATGGAAGGTCAATCTTGATGCGCAGATGAAAGCAAAACTAGATGCTCGCTCGCTTTCGAAAGTATCTCTCATTAACTATCCATCACTGGTTGAGGTCCTTGTATCCCGCGTACGGCACATAGACCTCGTTGAGGGATGTCTCAATGTACTCTAGCTGCTCAGTCAAGAAGGCCCTCATGGCTGCAATGTCAAAGGCCTTGCGCTCCACCTGGCGACGCTTCTCCTGCTGAAGGGCGCGGCGGAAGCGTTCCTCGAGGTTGGCCAAGCGGTATTCCATGTATTGGGGGTAAAGCTCGCCAATATTGCTGATGACGCGGGAGCCGGTCAGGATAGTCTCGTCGCGGACGAATGGGCTCTTGGGTCGGAAGGCGGTGACTATGGAGATGCGCTCGCGACCACCGCTGGCCTTGAGAGCCTGATGCTGAATATATCGGCCTTGCATGACCACACAAGTGCCCTGGGTATCTGTCAGCCAAGTCTCGGGGATGTTGAAGAATGCCAGAATCAAGGGGAAGATCTCACCATGGCCGGCCCGCGGACCCTCCTCTCTTCGCCGTTGGGTAGCATGATAGCAGTCTCACCGCCAACCATTCCTGTGCAGTCAGCGGCCATGGTGACGCAGACAAAGGGGAAGCTGTCGTAGTGCCAAGCAACGGCAGAGCTCATGTCACCGTATGTGACGACCTCGACGGCGTTCTGGTCGTTGATGGAAATGTTAACGTTGGCAACCTCATAGTCAAAAGCTGGAACCAGCTCGATTCCGGCAGCCTCGGAGACCCTGGCAAGAATTTCTGGCGACCACCAGGCGCCATAGGTAAATGGAGCACGCTCATGTCCCATGCCGCGGATCAGGTTTGCATTGAAGTCGGATTTGAAGCGGCAGTCGCGGAGTACCTGCTCACTGAAGATCTCGCGGTGAATTTGGAGGATTGCCTCCTTCGTAAAGAGCGGGAAGGGATCGGTGACGGCGATCGGGGAGACGCCCTGGCCTTCAAGGCCAATGTCCTTCATCAGGTGCTGGACGATCTGTGTCTTGGGGGCGACGTGCCTCTCGGGGTTCCATCCTTCGGCGGGGACGGCGCGCGCCTCTTCAATGATCTCCTGAGGAATGGTAGCTGTCGGGCGCATGGGGCTTGCCTGCTTGGGTCCGACTACCTTCGGTGCCTTGGGAGGCAGGGAGGCGGGGATGCTAAAGAGACCGGGCATCGTGATAGCGAGGTGGATGGAGATGGGTGATGTGAAAGTAATGCAGTGAAGGTATAGTATTTCTGGACCTTGGCAACGTTGAAGTCTTTTGCTGATCTGGATTGAGGTCAAGGAGGGTGTTGCTTCTTGTCATTCTTATAATCCGACTTTTCCATCGTGAACTAAGGTGACCGACCACGCGACCTCGCAGTCTCGAAGGTCTTGCTACGTCCCTCCCCTCGAGTGATGGCCAGACGAGACCGGTCTGGCCAGTCGGCATGCATACGCCTTCGGAAGGACATTCCTTCATCATGCCTTCGTGGCTTCCTAGGGAAGCAGTCGATTACCCGAGGTTTGTCTGGTCTAGACGTGTGCAACACAATCGAACGCGCATCTCCGAGACACAAGAGCCGTGTCCAAGTTGTCCATCCTCGGAACACTCTCGGTTGTCATTTCTGCTTAGGACGCCGTCATCGGGTCACTCGGCTTCAGAACCCGATCCTTGCACAGACCAAATACCGGGATCGGCTTCTCGCGGGTGTGACGCCGGGGACCTGATCCGACTACTATGCCTTGGACACAGGGGTCGGTAAAGTCGGACCATAAACCTTCCAGCTCCAGACTTGACATCCATGCCTGGCGTTGAATGATGGAATGTAGGCGCTCTGGGGTGTTGTCCTCCTGGCTTGGGCCCAGAGCATCTCGTCAGCTACTCATGAGCCAGCAATATTGCTGATTTGTTATATAACTCTACGTCATTGTCAGTCGCAGAAATGGCATCTCTGTTGGGACTTAAATTCTAGTCTCAGGGTCGACGGCGGCTTGTCAGCCTCAGCTGTTGGTTCCGCTTCCTCTCCACCCTGAGTTGTAGATCTCTGGGGCAGAAAAGCCGGAGAATTGTGGAGTTTCAAGGCTGTAAATCAGGTACCCCAGAGATTTCTCTTCCTTCGGGAAGCTGACTCGCGCCAGCGCCGCCAGTCGGGTCTGAGGCCAAGATTGGTTTGCAAGGCTGCTCATTGGTTGTCACCCTCTATAGTTATGATTTAACGGCCATTCCGAATGGCGTAGTCGGACCCATTACCCCAGAAACTACTACATGGAGCAAGTACCTTTCGAGCGCGTTGGTCAGCCCAGACGAAACCATCAAGAGCCCGCGTTCTACTTGCTGGTTCGAAAAAGAAGGCGTTCGCTTAGCATGCGCGCTTCGCCGATGAGAAATACTTTGCCTGCGTGGCTCTGATCTGTATAAAGCTAGAAGGCATCACAGTCGGCTTTCCCCTTCTCAGTTCCTCTCGCCTCCACACAGCACCAAAACTCCCTCGAGTCGACCTCCCATCTTCCACCCCCTTCCTGAACAGTCACTTGGCGATCAGTCTCCAAGGCATACCCGCAAGGATGTTTGGCACCAAGAGCAGTCCGCCAACATCTCGAGGGCCTTCCCTTCGCACATCCTCGGAGAAGCCTGGACACACCTCGCATTCCGAGGGTGCAGATGAAGGAACCAGTGGGCTTTATCCAGCGACGACGGCCGGGGAGCTCCATCGTGAGATGTCCATCCGGACTATCTTCATGCTCGGCATCGGAGGAGGCATAGGCACTGCGCTGTTTGTTAGTATCGGCGGCGCCCTCAACACCGCCGGTCCCGCCAACCTTCTTCTCGGCTTCCTCGTCTATAGCATGGTCCTGGCCAACATCAACAACTCAATGGCTGAGATGACGACCTACATGCCCATTAGCGGCAGTTTTATTCGGCTAGCCGGCCACTGGGTTGATGACGCTCTCGGGTTTGCAGGTGGCTGGAACTTTTACGTCTACCTCGGTCTCATTATCCCTTTTGAGATTACAGCCCTGAGTCTCGTACTGTCTTACTGGAGCCCGCACATTCCTGTGGCGGCCATTTGTGCCGCTTGCATCGTGCTCTACATGTGGGTTCCTGGACCTCGGTGTCGTCGCTTGGAAATCGCTAACAGTTACTTTGCCCCCAGCGCCATCAATGTCTTTGCGGTTCGCATACCTAGCCAAACACCTTCAACTAAAGCGTTTTGGAAAGGATTTTGGGCCACAGGTGTGAATTCATGTGACCTCAAGGGTGTTGAGTTGAATGACAGTTACAAATTAATAGTAGTGTCTAATCTTGACAATATGTTTTACTACCACTCTGGCAAGCGCCGGACGTACTCGCCTGATCATAGGCGCTAGTCGAGCGACGATGCTCTGGGTTCCTTCCGTGGTCACCAGGCGGTCTCTTTGGAACCATATTTGTCGCAGTACGAAAATCGAGATAAGAACTGGCGGGGGCCTGTGTAGTAAAGAACTTGTGTTTTGCATTGAAGTATCTCGAGTTGTGTAGAAAGTCCAAATTCAAGTCTAATGTGCCTATTTTGTAATACTCGAATCTCAAAGCCACACTCTTCACCGCTTGTATGCGGTTTGGATGCCACCGATCACGACAGACTTGAGCACCAGATAGTCGTCCACGCCGTATTTACTGCCCTCGCGACCAAAACCAGAGTGCTTGACACCACCGAATCTGCCTCCTATTGGTGAGTTGTCCTACAACATGGGTGGATAAACTTACGGCGCTGCAGGATCGGAGATGACGCCTGTGTTGATGGCGACCATGCCAAAGTCGAGCTTTTCTGTGACACGGTATTGCCTGTTCAGGTAGTTTGTCATCACATAGGACGCCAAACCGACCTCAGAAGTGTTGGCTCTTCTGATCACCTCGTCCTCGGTCTTGAACTTGGAAAGCGCCGCCAGGGGGCCAAATGTTTCCTCCGTCATGACCGCCATCTCGTCCGTCACGTCACCCAGAACAGTGAGGTCGAAGAAGTTCGGTCCGAGGTTCGTGAGACGTTTGCCTCCAAGGAGCACCGACGCTTTTTTGTTGATGGCATCCTGAACGTGCTCCTCGGTCTTCTCGACACCAATGGTCAGGGGACCATGGGTGACTGAGCCGTCAGCACCGTTGCCGACGCGGAACTTGCGGACCTCCTCCACAAGCCTCCGACTGAACTTTTCGTAGATCCCCTCTTGCACATAGATTCTATTGGCACAAACGCAGGTCTGGCCGGTTACCTTGAACTTTGCGATGACGGCAGCCGCAACAGCGGTTTCGACGTTCGCATCGTCAAAGACGATGAACGGTGCGTTGCCGCCAAGCTCCATGCTGAGCTTCTTGAGGCTATCGCTGGACTGTCGCATGAGGATCTTGCCGACCCTGGTCGAGCCGGTGAAGGAGATCTTCTTCACCTCGGGCGATTCACAGAGGGCCAGGCCTAGGCGCGGCGTGTTGTCCAGGGCGGTAACAATGTTGAGCACGCCCTTGGGCAGGCCGGCGCGCTCTCCGAGAACGGCCAGGATATTCGTGGCAAATGGGGTGACGCCGTCTGATTTGAGGACGAGGGTGCAGCCGGCGGCGAGCGCGGCAGCAACCTTGCGAGCGGCCATGGCGATGGGGAAGTTCCAGGGCGTGATCAGTCCACACACGCCTACGGGCTGCTTGAGGATCTGGATCCTTCCATTGGGAGTCGAGTGCGGAGCGACGTCGCCGTAGATGCGCGGCGCCTCCTCAGAGAACCACTCAAAAAAGCTGGCAGCAAACAAGGCCTCGCCCTCTGCATCGGGTTTTGCTTTGCCATTCTCGGCCGTGATGATCTTGCCAATGTCTATCTTGTGTTCGACAATCAGGTCAAATAGTTTCCGAATGATGCGGCCGCGCTGGCGGCCGGAGTACGCCCTCCAGGTTTGGAAAGCGTCCGAGGCAGCGCTGATGGCGGCATTGAGGTCCTCGACGTCGCACTCGGGGGCGGTTCCGATAACCTCGCCTGTCGCGGGGTTTGAGACTTTGAAGGTCTTCCCAGAGTTGGCCGCGACCCATTGTCTGCCAGGTGTTATCATCTCATCAGACCACGAGGAGGCGAATGACATACCCGTTGATGTATGACCGCTCCTGAATAAGGGACGGGTCGCTCAGGCCGCTTGCAATTACAGGGGCCATCGTAAAGGATTTAGAAGAATTATCTCGGTGCAACGTACAGGTGGAAATTCTGGGAGCCAATTGTTGTTAGGAAGCGTATAGATTGACTCTGCAAGCGTGCCACTTGAGAAAGTCGCTTCGCCGTTATAACCATCCATCTGTCACTGCCTGTTATTCAACTCCTTTACATCTCCAGGCCATGGATCAAGCGGGATCGGCAATCTGGGGTCTCTCGGAGTCGGAACCCGACAACGGGTTTTCGTCCAGTGGCATGCATGCAATTCGCACTCTGGCTGCAGGAAAGCATCGGCTGGCCACAATTCAGAACCTTCGTGCTCCACATATGAAGCCACTTTGCGAGCCGAAATGACACAACCCCACGGGGCGGTTGCTCGGGATCGTCACGGGCCCGAGCGAGTCGTGTCCCGACAGCCATCGGCTCGGATCGGGAGCCAACCACGTACTCTCAAGTAACGAGTTGAACAGGTGGTATGAATGATACCAGCTTCGACGTGAAGCTGATGATGGGAAAGATGAGTAGCACATTTCGGGTATATATCTGCTAGAGAGAGAGAGGGAGGGTCGTGAATGAGAAACACTGCTTCTTTACCATCTCCCCCAGCTTTGCCTATTTTCCAGCGACAAGGCAGTACATTCACAGAAATGAGCGCCGAAGAGCTGCACGATATTGCCGCTGCCTTGGCAAAGGCACGCATCACGCAAACACCGATCGACCCCCCGAAAACCACATATCCCGCTCTCACTGCCGATGGTGCATTCGAGATCCAGAGGATCACAGTCCAAAACGCGGTCAAAGGCGGCGACCGGCATGTTGGGTACAAGCTGGGAAACATCGCCAAGGTCATGCAAGCCGCCTTTGGTCTCGACCACCCAGACTACGGCTTCCTCCTGGGAAGTCTCTTCCTGCACGAGGGCGAGAAGATCTCCCTGAGCAAGTTCATCAAGCCGTACGTTGAGCTCGAGCCCGCCTTCGTGCTCAAGGGACCTCTCAAAGGCCCCAACGCAACCGTCGCAGACGTGGTGCGCGCGATTGACTTTGCCATCCCTGCCATTGAGATTATTGACTCGCGAGTCAAGAACTGGGCCATCGGTCTCGAGGACACGCTGGCGGACAACGGGTCTCAGGGAGGCATCATCCTCGGCGGCACCCCACGGCGCATCACCGACCTGGACCTGCACAATACAAAGGGGGTCCTCCGATTCAACGGCACCAAGATTATAGCAGGCAACACGCAAAACATCCTGGGAAACCCCTTGGCGGCTACTGCATGGCTGGTCAACAGTCTCGCTGCGTACGATGTCGAGTTCCTTCCGGGCCAGGTCATCATGCCTGGCAGCTGCCTTCAGGCGATGCCAATGGACCGACCAGGACGGTGGAGCTGCAGCTTCGAGGGCTGGGGGAGTATTGAGTTTGACGTTGTTGAGTAAGGTAAATAGATGGCGAGAAGGGATTTTCTGGGCTGGCGTTGGCAATAGAGTTCTGGCCTGTCAGTTTTAATATATACGCATGACTAATACCTATTGGAAATCCTGCGGTCAAGCCAGTGTGACCAACGAATGCCCGGGGCTGTATGTAGTTTTGATTGCTTTGATGATGGCTTGGGGATACCATGAAGTCCAACACTTGACAGGATCAGCCTCGGAGTTGATCAGGGGGCGGCTGACATTCAGGTCAATTCAGGACCCCCGCTGGTGGCGGCGTGGGTAGTTCCAGAACACTGCCATTTTGCCTAACTAGGCCTGTCTGCCTCGGCTTTGGCATCCGATCCCTGCTAGTCGTTTCTTCTAGCGCGGTCACTGTATTCGTTAGGACCCTAATAATATGTACCTACCTATGCAATGTAATTCGTATTCCACCTTCTCCAGCTTCTCAACGGTCGTCGAATGTCAGCGGAGGGCAGCTAACCGCACGGCCGTTCGCACATGATTGGCAATCAAGTACGCAACTCTCGTCAACAAGGGTACCTGAGAGAACAGTACAGAACCCCACTGTAGGAACTTGTTACAGCTTGTAGGCTTGTACCCAGATACCCTGTAGGTACCTGCCTGTAACTTTTCATTTTTGATACATTTTGGCCGGGTTTCTAGTAGGATCAACGAGCGCTATTGTAAACACTGAAAAGTTCCTAGTAAATAAAATCCCTAGCCAGGGGTGCACTTGGATATGTTAGGTACCTAGATAAGGTTTCGGTCGTTGTATTACAAGCCTTCTGGCTGCTGCCCCGCCCCGCGACTTCGACTTCGACTACCTAAAATTTGACCCAACCTTGATCCCCTCTCTCCCCGCTTGGTTTGACTTGCAAAGATGGAACGTTTTGCCAGCTCGCAGCGCCGCCATGCATCTCTTGCTGACCCCATGTTTCCCCATATCGGATCCCCCGCAAGGCCTTTATTATGCACCAGCACTTCCGAGTCTGATGAGCCCTCTGGTCGTCATTCGTCATCACAATGGAACGAGCCACGCTCCGGAAGCTGAAAGCACGGCGCACCACGAATGCGTGAGTATTTCACCCCTACCAACATCGAGATATGGCACACTTGAGTCCTAATACATTGCAGGTGCTCCCCTTGTCGCCAGAGCAAGATCAAGTGCTCCGGCGAGGAGCCGTGCCAGAACTGCCAGAGGCGTCTGGTTCGCTGCCACTTCACTCAAGGAAATAACAAGGTCGTTGTCACCGAGAAGTAGGTTCAACACCCGAAAGCGTTCCCAACCACCTGCCTCGGTAGCTAATTGACCATTCTAAGATACCTCCAGGACTTGCGAGAGCTCGCAAAAGGGCATCGTCGGGCCTCGTCGGCCGCAACGGCTGAAACAAGCAACAGCGGCGATCAACCGCCAACTGGCGGCAGCCAGCCCAGTCCACAGGATGGTCCTCCATCAGTCGTGTCCGCATCGTTCCAGGCCGCCCAGGACAGCAACACGCCTCCCCTTTCAAAGTCACCCATTCACCATGGACCTCTGCTCGGACTGAAGCCCTCGACTGAAACCGTGTTTGGTGCTCACGGCAGCGCATACGGTATGAGCGGTCCCGGGATCAATAGAAGTCCAACTTCCCAGTCAATTCTGCCTGGTAATCCATTTGAGCGGTCGAATTGCCAGCACGAGGCCGGCCCCGACGTGTCTGCAACGGGGCCGAGCCCAGGTTGGATGCCCGCAAACCACCTCCAGGCCGTAAGTCCCTTGAGCAGAATCTGGTCCAGTACATTCACGATACCCGCCAAGACCATTAAAAACCACCAAAGAAACAAAAGAGCATGGAGTGGGTGTCTGCAGCCTCTGCCCGCTCCGAAACCAAGCTAACCCCGCGCATAGTCTGGTTGGCGCCCTGGTCCACATGGTCGTTTACAGTTCGCCTAACCCTAATGCTTTCCGACAAGCTGCGCCCGGAAGATACAACTCTGCCGCCTAGTCTACTCGGTACCGAGACGTACATACTAACGTATAGAACATCCTCTTCGAATGACCTCCCAGATGTTAGCAACCTCCCTTCGCTAAGCCATGCCCTTTATCTCTTCAACACTGTCAAGTTTCACCTTGGTCAGACGTATCGATTATTTGATGAAGACGAGTTCGAGCAACAAATCCGAGACTTTTATCCCAATGCACTGCCAAAGGCTGTTGAATGTCCTTTGTGGTTCAGCAAGTTCCTCCTTGCCATGGCCTTTGGAACGGCATTTCACGCACCTCCCAGCAACAGTCAGGATCCTCCCGGCAGCAAGTTCTTCGCAAGAGCGATGGCCTTATTACCAGAGCCAAATTCTCTCTGGAAGGACAGTTTTATGGCCATGGAAGTCTTGGCACTGGGAGGCTTGTATTTGTATTCTGTTGACCAGCGAGAGGCTGCTAATTTTGTTGTACGTCTTGTTTCTTTTCCCTATTGAGCGCCCTTGCTGATCGGCCCTCTATAGCTCGGCCAAGCAGTCCGAATTGCGCAATTGGAGGGGATGCACACCAACTTGCCAGAACATGAGCTCGGCACTGGGCTGACCACCTATGCCCGCGACCTCTGGTGGACGCTTTATATCATGGATCGGCACTTCTCGTCATCGGTAGGGCTACCAATGTCGGTTCAGGACAGCGACATCACAACGCTTGTCAGTCCGCCGGGAACAGGCACGGCAGCAGACAGTGCGCGCAGCCTGCAGGTCAATCTCTCACATCTGATGTCCGTAATCCTGACCAGTAAGTTCCATCTCATAACAGCTCCATCCACATCAGCTGTTTCACCCACGCATGTCTACAAATCTGATGGTCAAAAAGCGGTCTACAAGCCTAGCGTAACTGAACTAGCAACCTTTCTCGAGCAGACCAGGTCAATCCTCCACACGCTGGCTCATCATGCCCAGGAAATTGAGGGGATAATCAGTGTAAAATTACAAGCTTCTGCGGGTACAATGTCCCGAGATACACGCCTACTGATATTACTGTATCATCAGGTTAGTCCCATTCCTGTCGTCTAATCTCGTGTGTTGTCACTCAATGGTTCAACTCTAACACGAGGACAATTGCAGTGTGTGGTCTTTGCAACCCGACCTCTTCTTTTATCCGTCATGAAGGAAAGGCTTGACTTGCTGGGGTGTCGGGGCGATGAGGACTGGACCGACTTTTTAGCGCAGACGGGCTCCGTCATCTCCACGGGCATCAAATCGGCTGCGAAGACGCTTCAGATTCTGACCAGCGAATACAGCGTTCTGGGTAAGGATGGCCGAGATCCTAATGACTGCCTGACGTGGCTCACCAACATTTCTTCAGATTCCTTTCTTCCATACGACGTGGAGTTCACGTTTGGGGCTGCCCTCAATCTCACTATGGCTAATGCCGTATTTCCTGGCGTGGTAGATTACGAAATTTGCCATGGGATGTCACATCAGATCCTGGATGACCTGGTTGCTAGGGGAAATCGGGTGGCTCTCGCACGACGATCGGAGCTTTCACATCTAGAGGATCTCTGCCATGAGTTGATCTCTAGAGGAAACCAGCAGGGACTGGCGACATTGCAGCTACTCGGACCCGAGCCGCAAATGATAGACATTGGTAGAAAGTCGGGCGGTAACAATGACGTGATGGACGAGTCACATCCGCTGACCAGCGACATGGACATGAGCCAAACCATGCACCTGTTACCACACACACACCCAATGAGGGATTCCGAGTTCCTCGAAAATATTGGCATCTCTTCCGAAGACTTCCTCTCCATCGTTGAAGGAATGGGTGACCCTGACACCTTCCCCGACAATATGTTGACGTTGAACTGAAGCTGAATCCTGGGCGAGACGAGAGACTACTTGCTGACCACCAAAAGTCGGCCTACGAATGTAGGGGAAAGGCTCGACTGCATAAATCCGCAGATAGCTCCTCAGGCATACATGTGCACGGCACGTCTATCGCCGAGATGTTCAGTAACATTATCTGACTCGGTCCCACCCTCTCAGCCTCTGAGAGAGCTTCCATCTTCCATGCTGTTCCAGCCAAGTTAAACAGCACCTGAACCCTCGGGCCTTGACTCGCCCGTGGCAAATCTGACCTCTAACCTAGTTATGTGTTGGATTGCAGTGTAGTCTTGTCACGGCGACCATCATGTCATATCCCTCTTGGGCAAACTCGCGTGGCTGCGTCGAGTCCTTGCAGTAGACACCAGTCGTCTTTCCTGCCTTTCTAGTAGCAGCCAAGATTCGATCCATTCCTGCCTTCAGCTCGGGGCCAAGCACTCCATTTTGAACAGGGTAGCTGATGCTGTTGCCTGCCAGCCGAATGCCAGCCGGCATAGTTTTGCAATTCTCAGCTAGGTTTCAAGCACAAGTGTTTGCTACACACCGAGGTCGAAAGGTCTTTAAAAGACCCTCGCCGCCGTCGACGGCAGCAACGTATTCGACGCTATCGATGGCCCCCCGTTTCTCGATCTGAATGAAGGTGACGAGGGTGTCGTTGGCTTGGTATAGACACTCAGTCAGAGTTTGGTTGGGCCCGAAACGCTCAAGGGCTATAAGGAAGCCAAATCCGCGACGTCTCGGCGGCGGAAATCTAGCGTCAATGATGAGCTTTTCTGCCTCTGCGACAGTGTATACGAACCAGAATCTGACATGAGAGATTGGTCAACAATCCGTGAGAAGAGAGCACAAAATTGGACTGTCCAAAGCGCCTGCACAGAACACGATTAACAAGCACTCTTCGGCCATGATGGAGTCCGCCATCGATGCTCACGCTAAACATCCAAACCTTGCATATCAGGTAACCTAACTATAGCAACTGCGGCGATGGCTGGCACGGCCTCGTGCATAGCAGCATCTATTTGCATTGTACTTTTTTTTTGCTTCAGTCGGCGGAAGTCGGGATTCGTCAAGTTCACCATCAATGTTGCCATGCTCACAGTCAACGAGAACTCACTCAATTGACACCAGACCGAGCGAGCAGCCGGGGACATTCGACCCTGGGAGTATCTACCAGGCGCCGAAAGTCTGTTTTCCATTCAGGAAATATTTTCAGAAGGTTTGCTTCTTGCAGGTTGGTGACATTGACCATCTTCGCGGCCAACGGGGTAGAAAGGGTTGGGGGGCGACTTTATTTTGGAAACGCTGATCTGCGAGACTGACGTCGTCAAGAGTACAAATGACCAGGGTAGACGAGTGAGGGCTCTGTAACGGTTACAACTCACCTACTTCATTAGTTATATAAAACCATAACCGATACGCCGGTACTCTCCACCCCGGTGAGTAGCTTGCCACTCCGCAGACTCCCGTGTCAGACTTTCCGGCCACGGATGCGTTCCGAGCCGGCGGAAAGATTCAGACTTTATCGGTCGTGATTTGCCGCCCCATATGAAATCTCATGACCCATGCTCTGCTCGTGACTATCCTTCTCTTCAACAGAAGTGGGTGAGGGATGTTAACACACCTCTTGACCAGGTTCGGCTCGGCGGCCGTGTTGTCCGGACTCCTCAACCCGAACACGCCCAAGACAATGCGATTGAGCGGCGGCGGCTCTCCCTCCATTGACACGTGTCAGACAGACGGGACCCGATGTGTACCGCCCGAAGGGCCGCTTCGGGATCCCATCCGAGATGGAGACAGGAGTCCTCGGGTAATCCGAGCCGGTCCTAGGCACCACATGGGCCCCTCGGACGTCACAGCCGGCCCCCTGAGTCCTTCGAGAGGAAATAACGACCTCTATTTTGGGAATTTTGACGTCTTCATAGAATTTCAATTCCTTCTCGCATCGATTGTAGTTGTTACATCCCTCAAGTCTTACCCCTGCTTTCCGTCCAATACCACATACCTGATCACAAAGAACCATGTGGGACGTTGTGGTTATCGGAGCAGGATTCAGCGGCCTTCAAGCGGCCTATTCTGCGAAGGCCTCGGGCCTTTCCGTGGCTGTAGTCGAGGCACGAGATCGTGTCGGAGGCAAGAGCTTCACCATACCGCTGGCCAATGGACGTGGCACGGCAGATCTGGGAGCTGCTTGGGTGAACCAGCACCTGCAGCCCCGCGTCTGGTCCCTCATTGAACGGTTCGGGCTCGCGGGCAAGGTCGTCGAGCAGCGCCTTGGAGGCACTGCCGTGATGGTCACAGCGGAAAGCGAAAGGATCGAGTTTCCTTTCGGGATCACCCCACATGTAAGTATGCCTGCGGCACAAGACATGGCCCATAGACTCGGGAGTAACATCTTTTACTTGCAGTTCACCGCCGAAGAGCAGGAGGATCTGGTCAAGATTCGTGATCACATTCAAGCCGAGTCTCTGAACCCGACCGGTTTCCGGAAAGAGGACGACGGCTTGAGCTTGGATCAGTATGTTCGAAACCTGGGGACGTTGCCCAAGACGCTGGCGATGGTCAATCTCTGGACTCGTGTCATGCACGGACTTGAGTCGACGGAGGAATCGGCGGCGTTCTTCATTGACTACTGCCGCACAAACCATGGTCTACTTTCCATCCGCGCAGACGACCGTACGGGCGGAAACTACATGCGCTTGACAGCAGGTGAGCTTTATTTCGCTCATCTTCCTCATATCGCGGCTAATACAGGCCATCATAGGCACACAATCTATTGCGAAAGGTCTGGCACAGCTCATCGGAGCGGATAGCGTCCATCTATCGTCCCCTGTGTCGCTCATCGAGGACAAAGGGTCCCACGTGGTGGTCACGACGAAGAACGGCAGGACTTTCGAAGGGAGGAAGTTGATTGTTTCCATCCCAAGTGCCTTGTTCCGAGAGCTAGACTTTTCTCCTCCTCTGCCCGAGAGACTGGAGCAGGTTACGAGGTCCACAAAGCTCGGCCACTACAACAAGGCCCTGGTATTCTACCATCGACCTTGGTGGCGGGCCCGCGGATTCAATGGCTTCATGATGAGCTTCCAAGGCCCGGTCTGCGTGGCCCGAGACACCAGCTTCGACGACCTGGGCATCTACGGCCTGACCTGCTTCGTCAACGGTCGCCCGGGGCAGGAATGGGCGAGGCTGCCACCGTCGGAGCGGCGGAGGGTGGTCCTCGAGCAGCTCGCTACCGTGTTTGACACGGGAGCCAGCCCAGACGCACGCCGCCCGACCGAGTACATGGACCAGATCTGGCAGCACGAGGAGTTTAGTCGCGGCGCCTTGGCGCCAGTGCCGGCGATTGGCCACTACGCTGCGTTTTCCGACGTGTACGGGAAGCCAGCCGGCAACATTCACTTTGTGGGTACAGAGTACTCCCGCCATTGGAAAGGATATATTGAGGGCGCATTGGCGTCGGGTCAAGCAGGGGCCAAGGAGGTGCTGGATGCCCTGCAGAAGCCGAAGGAGGCCTTGAAGTCGATGCTGTAGACAGTCAATGTTGCAGAAACCCATGGGATTAAATTTGAAGAATTGATGATAGGAATCGGCTAATTCAATATCACTAGCTTCATCTGTCGAAAAAATCGCTTATCCATTGAATAGTCAACCTTTGCCGAATCTTCTTGATCTAGAGCTCTATCTTGACGTGACATGTTTGCCTTAGATCTCACGTATTCGCAGGCAATCTCAGCCATGACAAATCAAACATAATAGAGATAGGAGAACAAATTCGTGGAGATGGTGATTGATTGAGGCTCTCATGATAAATCTAAGTCTTGGTGGAGGCCACAAAGCCTCTTGTGGTTGCTTAGGATCCAGGCCCCAACTGCCACCCAGAACACCAGTCTGTTCAACAGTTTTCTCTGCTTTCTAACTCATTGATATGTAGCAACGGGCGCGCCTAGGACCTCTGTTCGGATGGTAATTCCCAGACCAGGCGATGAAGGGGCTGTTATGCGACCATCGACAATGTTGAAGTCCGAAGTTCGGGGGTGCTAGGAATATAGAATGTCGAACCCCCAACACTGGATCAGGCAGGGACTTGATATCTGGGCCAGCCTGGCGTCTGATGCTCTTCTTTACCAAAGTTCCAAGCCTCACCATGGGCCGGGATGCAACCTGCCATGTTGTTCGGCACCAAAGATCGGGCCTGAGAGCCGGTCTTGCCGATCCATGTCCCGATTTCACACCCGACCCATGTCGGAACCTTATCCGAAAATGATCATCGCTCCATTCAAGTGAATTTGAATCCTACAGTAATTTATGTTTTCGAAAATTATTACTCCACTTTCAATAACGCGGGGTCATCGGCCATCATGCTTAATCGCTGAATCAATCGACCTGTTTGATGAGGTGATTTGCTATCCTTTCCCAGGATGGTTATACAACCTAGGTAGATAATTTCCATCTCTTTGCCTTCTTGGAGATCTTCATCTTCTCTTCTGTGCTTACATATCTCTCGGGCTTACACCTCAAACCTCACCCTTCAATTAGAAAGTCCTCTAACTACGTATACTCTTCAGAAATGTCTTGCGGGCACCCCACGACTCGCCACTGCTGGCGCCGCACCGACGACTACACCCCCGGCACCCCCAAGCTCAAGCTCGTCGTGGAAGAGATGCCCGCCACACTCCTCCCATACCAGGTTCTCATCAAGGTCCACGCCGTTGCCCTAAACTACCGCGATGCCAACATCTCCAACGGCGGCAATCCCTGGCCCGTGACGCCAAACGGCATCATCTGCAACGACGCCGCGGGCGAGGTCGTCGAGGCAGGCGAGGCGGTGCGACGCTTCAAGGTTGGTGACAGGGTAGCTCCCAATACGGACTCGGAAAATATCACCGGGCGCGAGACCCAGCGCTCCTGGCTCGCAGCCGACGAGGACGGCGTTCTGGCCGACTACCTTGTTTTCGACGAATGGAAGGTCGCTAAGCTTCCGTCGCATCTTGGCTGGACCGAGGCCTGCCTCATTCCTTGCGCTGGTGTGACCGCGTGGTCTGCGCTCAAGGGTCTCGAAGCTGGCCAGACTGCTTTGATCCAGGGTACGCGGCGGCTTCGTTTCCTCCTCCCGCTAGTTTTCGCAGGAGACGGCTGTCTAAGCTAACCATACTCTCAACCAAGGTACTGGTGGTGTCGCCATGTTCGCCCTTAAGATTGCGCAGGCTGCCGGGTACCGAGTCATCCTCACCTCCTCCAGCGACGAGAAGCTAGCAGCTATTCAGGCGCAGTTTACCGCGGCCCGGATCCTGACGGTCAACTACAGGAACGCGACGTGGCACGAAGAGGTCCTGCGCCTCACCGATGGCGTAGGTGTCGATCTGGTCCTCGAGAACGGGGGTACCGGATCTCTTGTCCAGAGCGTGCAGTGTACTCGTCGTGGCGGCATCGTCAGCCAGGTCGGCTACCTTGGCAAGCAGAACCCCGAGGATCTGAAGGAGCTTCTTCCCACTCTTATCGACAGGAGGGTCAACCTCAGGTACGTCATTAAATCCCCAGCTCCCTGAGAAGTCATGCCTAATTGTGGCGATGAGTAGGGGCATCAACGCTGGCTCGGTACAAGACTTTGAGGACCTCGTCACCGCTATTTCTGCTATGAAGATGCGCTTTTTCGACATTGTCGATACTGTTTTCCCTTTCTCTCAGTCTGAGGAGGCCCTTGAATACCTCTGGCAGGGCAAGCAAGTGGGAAAGATTGTCCTTGAGCTGTGAATGTCGGTCACTCGTATAGTTCCTTCCCGATAACTGGTAAAACGTATTGATTTCGCCGAGCTTTCCGCCCATGCGGCACAATCACATGGTCTGCCCGTGAAGACGACATGTAGCACAAGACGGACAGCAGCGGAATCACTGCCCATTCAGCTCGAAAAAAAAATCCACCTACTAGTACAGGGTAGTTGTGACAAGCGCTGGACAAACCTCACATCAATCGTGATGTTCTTCTAGTTCAAACGGCACCCTAGATACCCCGTAGCTATTTGTCAACTATCGAGTTTTGCCATCCCACTTTATGACAGGTTGTCTATCTATTCTCGGAGTGGCGTGCCTTTGTATGCCGTTGGGTATCAGCTGAAAAGTAGAACGGCCTAGGTCTACCCACCCATGCATTCATAAGATAAATCCATACCTCCAGGCTATTTTACACGGATACCAACCCGACATGGCCAGTTCATCAATAATATACACTCTACGCATGACATCTCTTTCCCGTCGCCTGTTGCCAGTCGTCCCAACAACTGCCCAGCATACATATCTTAACCACTCTTATATCCAACAGATACCAACCGTTCCAACGTCTTGAATCCCTCGTGAGCAAAGCCCCTGGTGACGTCCACCTTGAACTCCTTGCCCCCAACCTTGATCGTAGCAAAACCCATGTCCGTCCAAGCCGCGCGCACGCCCCGAAAGAAGCCGGACACAGCACGTGCGATATGTCGAAACGGTATCGTCAGCAGATGCTGCAGGTCAAACGTGCGCTGCTTGGCGCGCGTCTCCTCCGCCGCGCGCTGCTGCTCCAAGCGCTTCAGCTCCGGCACGTACTCATCCGGCAGCGAGAAGCGCGACTTGAGCGCGACATTGTCCAAGCTTGTGACGAGAATCTTGGGGCTCAGCATGGGCACCATGCGATTGACTGTGACTTCGAGCTGCGGCATGGCCGTAGCGGCAGCCGTGGCTGGCAAGGCGGCTGTGAGGGGCTGAGCGGCGGCGGCAGCGGCACGAGGGGCGACGACGACTGGCGCTGGTGATGGCACGGCTGGCAGCAGGCGAATCGATCGGACGACGTTGGGGGTCTTGGAGAGGATATAAAAGGCCATTGAGCCCAGCAGCACGTAGGCAGCGCCAAAGACGTAGCCGACCCAGGACGGGGTGCCTTCGGGCTGGTGCACGACCGTGGGCCCTGTCAAGGCTGTCCATGCCAAGATGGTGATGCCACTCGACCAGCAGCCAAAGTAGAACCAGAAATGGGAGGACGATTCGTACAATATCGTCGGTGTCGTCTTGGCGCCCAGACTCTTGATGAAAGCATATCGTGTCGGCGCCGGCGTGCCACGCGCTGGAGGTTGTGGTTTCGCCCGGAGCACGGACGCAGAAGGCTTGATCGTCCTAGGCGCCGATTTGGCGGCCGCATTGGGTCGAAAGGCGGTGCTGCTGAGCAGCCTCGATCGAGTCGCATCGAAGAGGCGAGGGGTCGCTGTTCGGCAGGGCGTCGCGAGGAGCTGCCTCCGGAGCGCAAATAGGCTCGTGCCGAGGCCGAGGCTGGCCATGGCGGGCGGAAGGGGGGATTCGAGATTACAGAGCAAAGGAGAAGAGAGCCACGCGGACTGGAAAGGAAAATGCAATCGGGAGGCTATGTCGTCAGGGCCATTGTATTATTATTGAAGCTAACTGGAGTTTTGGTTGGCCAACAATTTTTGACACGCCACATGGGTAGCGGTAGATAGGAAATGGCAGGGGTTACAGTGGGCTATGCCTAAATTGGACAGGAGAGTGACGAACGCAGGATCCAAATATCACGCCCGAGAGGTCAAAGTTGATGGAATATTGTCTAATTTTGGGAAGATGGTATAAACTTGAGCCTTTGTACGATATATGTTATCAAAATCCCACCAAAAAAAAAACTGTTTGTGCTGTAGATTATCATCTCATCATCCGGTACGTACCGGCGGCGCCCCACCAAAAAACCACGGACTCGTCCGCCCTGTATCGGCGGTCCCCCAACAGCTTCGAAAAGAAAACTCTCACCTTTTGTCGCAGGCAACTCCCCCCTTCAACGCCTCCATCAGAACAGTCCAATCGGCAATCGGGACCGACGATGGCGTCTCTTGCAACGGCATGCCGTGCCTCTGTGCGTATGGCCAGCAGCCGCGCCATTGCTCGTAAGCGATTCCTTCCGATTCCCCCCCAAGATTGCGTCCTTCACTCAACCATGTCCCCGTTTGCTGACCACCGCTCATCGCAGGCTTTTCGACCTCTACGCGATGCCTCGCCGCCCAAAACTTTATTATGCCCGCCCTATCGCCGACCATGACCGAGGGAAATATCGCCAGCTGGCGCGTCAAGGACGGCGAGAGCTTCAGCGCCGGCGACGTGCTGCTCGAGATTGAGACGGACAAGGCCACCATGGACGTCGAGGCCCAGGAAGACGGCATTATGATGAAGATCATGTCCCAGGACGGCAGTAAGGCCGTCCCCGTCGGCACCCGCATTGCCGTCCTCGCAGAGGCCGGCGACGATATTGCCGCGCTCGAGATTCCCGCCGACCAGCAACCCAACAAGCAGACGTCCGCCGCCTCGGAATCGGCCTCGTCGGATCTCAAGAGCGAACCTGCGCCTTCCAGTGGCAACAGCAGCAGCAAACAGCAAAAGACCGCCCAGGGCGGCCAGTCATACCAGCAAAAGTATCCCCTTATGCCCTCGGTCGAACATCTCGTCAAGGCCAACGGCATCAGCGAGGGGGATGTCACCAAGATCAAGCCGACCGGCCCCAGCGGCCGACTGCTCAAGGGTGACGTGCTGGCCTACATTGGCACCATCAATGCCGAGACGCCCGCGGCCATTTCTGCCCGATTTGAGCACCTCGCGCACCTTGACCTCAGCAACATCAAGGTTGCCCAGAAGAAGTCTGCCCCGGCCCCCAAGGCCGATACCACCGCCTCTTCTGCCCCTGTGGAAGCGCTCCCTCTTGAGATCAACGTGCCTGTCTCACTGGCCAAGGTCACGCAAGTACAGAAGAAGATCCAGGACACATTGGGCGTTTTCCTGCCACTGTCGACCTTTATCAGCCGCGCTGCCGAAGTTGCCAACGATGCGCTCCCCCGTGCGCAGCAGGAGCCCACCGCCAGCGAATTGTTCGATGCCGTTCTCGGCCTCGACAAGGTCAAGGCTGCCAAGGGGGCTCGTGGCATCTACCTGCCGCAAGTATCGGCGATTCCTGCCGGTGCCACGTACAAGCCCAAGGGCACACCCACGCTGCACGTCAAGCACGATATCATCGACGAGCTGGCTAGCCGCCCGCCCCAGCCACCGCCCTCCAACATGGTGACGATTGACACGGTGCCTGGCCTGTCGTCGGGTGGCAATGTATTCACCCTGACTGTGCCCAAGGCCGAGGAGGAGCGAGCATATGTATTCTTGCAGCGCTGCAAGTTTATCCTCGAGGACGAGCCCGGTAGACTGGTGCTGTAGAGACGACAGCTGTCTGCCTTTTTGCGAATTGATGACAACTACTACTACTATTACTACTATTACTACCATTCTGCTGTACCTGTATATCACGCACTCTAGACAATCAAGAAGAAGAAGATTATGAAGAAGAAGATTATGAAGAAGAAGATTATGAAGAAGAAGATTATGAAGAAGAAGACGAGGCAGAAGCAGAAGCAGAATTTTGCAACGTCTCCTGTTGTTTTCGCACGGCGTACGTAGGTCTCGGAGAATTAGGCATCGTCGAGGCAGACACTGCAGGCCGACTTGCATTTTCTTCTCATGCAGGCGGTGCATGCCGCGGCAATGTTGTGCAACACATCCTCATGCGCCTCAAGATGCACATTCCGCGGATGGAATTCCGCTGCGTCAGGATCGTCCAGGATGCTACGCCAGCGACAGACGAGTGGGAGAAGCCACCGACTCGTCGCCGTCGTGAGGCTGAATCTGGCGCAGCAGCCATGTGTAGCAGCCCCTGTTTGGGTAAGCAGATGGGAGTTGGGAGTTGGGAGTTGCGAAGTCGGGAGCTGGAGCTGATCCCAAATGGCTGAGGGGAGGCGTTGAAGCATTGGAATCTGAGGCCAATTCTTTATCAAGTCAAACATACAGATGAGGAGGAAGGGGACAAGGAAGAGTGAGAAGAAAAAAAAAAAAAAAAGGTACTCGGCCGTGTGGCTAGCTGACCACAATCTGGCTCAGCCGTTGAGAAGAAGCTACTAGTTTCCTTCTCGACGTTACACATGGTGTACACACCAGACACACCTTACAGACGATAATCTTGGTCGATAAAACCCTGGTCCGGACAAAGAAGGTCCAACACGAGGAGTGTGAGTGCCCAGAACTGGCGCAGCCTACAGAACAGTGCGGACTGTGTGCGGAGGACTCTGTACAGAGTACGGATGACCAGTACTGATGCTACCGCCATTTCCTAGTCGTCGTGGAGAAACACGGGAGGGTCCATGTTTGACGCAGAAGCCCCAAAACGAGACGAAATGAACGAACGACTGGGAGGGAGAATCCCGGCTCGTCCCAACATTCGGCCTTGCCTGCAGCGTGCCCGCCGATTTGGAACCGGGCCCAGGTTCTGCTTCATCATGGATTCATGCCGTTCATCGGCCCCGGCAAGCTAGCGTGTTGAGCATGGATGATTCAAGTCGGGGGGGGGGGCTTGATGGGAGATGGGATGAAATGACGAGAACCGGACGTGTACTGAGCGTGCTGCGTAACCAGTCGCGTGGGATCGACATGGAGTTTTGCCTCGTTTGGAACATACGGCAGCCTTTGACGACAGCTTTATATATAGTGTTTCGTCACACAATGCTGCCTTGTCTTTCAACTCATCACCCCATTTTGCAAGTCGCTGCTGCAGACAAGCTCCCCGAATGCAGTCGGGGAAGAAAGAACAAGGGAAATAAAATTGAAAAATCAAATAAATAAAAATCAAATAAAAATGAATAAAAATAGATTTAGATAACAGAAAAATTTGCAATCTACAAATTAGAGACCTGGGAAAAGCACAAGTCCATCTTTTGTGTAACGTATACAAAGATAGACACATGGAACGATGCCCTGTCTTGTCTCTTTTCTCATTTTATATTCGACCGAGTTGCATATGCAGGCCAACATGGCAGGTACTGACTGATACTCATTCGTAGCTGGAGGGCGAGTAAATGCGCCCTTGGCGACGACGCTTGCGCTTCTCAACTGTCTTCGTTGCCTTGACAGAAGCGGCGGGCTATTGGTTGGTCTCTTGTCGTCTTGTCCACTTTCCGGCAGGCCGGGATGCGGGGAGATGGCGCAAGGGCATATGCATCATCGTGATTTCAGGACCTTTTTGAGCATCCAGGAGAGGCGAATGTTTCGTCGTCGTCGGAAGGGGTGCAGAGAGAGTGTCCTCCTTCGCTTTCTCTCTCTCGCACGCGCGCGCTATCTCTCTCTCTCTCACACACACACTCTCCATCTCGCACCCTGCAGATCATCTGATCGTCCCTCATCGCCAACCGGGTTTTGAAGTGGACGAGTCGTCATCTCCCATGAACCCTCGCTGCACATCCGGCAAACGGAACCGGCAAAAGGCGGGCGCAGCCAATATACCAGGGAGTCACGAGATGGGGAGCTCGGGCTGCCTGTTTGAGTCTATTCGGGCCTTTTTTTTTTTACACATCTTATTAGGGCTGGGTCGCCTGGCAAAAAAAAATAAAAAAGCCATGTTCCAAATACTCCCCTTGTGAGATCGGTTTTTGGGGGAAAGGGAAGGGGGGGGGGGGGCGCGGACACCCATGTCCTGGGATAGGCTAAGCAGCGATGCCCGACCGAGTTTTCTTCTGCCTGCATCTGGATGGCCTCTCCGGGGGCCGCAGGACAAGAGAAGAAAACGCTGGGGGGGGGGGGGCAAAGGCCCTAGTTAGAGGGGGGAAAGGAAGAAAAAAGGTCTTGAGTTCTTGATGAGACGAGGGAGCCTGTGAGGAGGGAGCGGCGGCGGCTGGCCTTTAAATCGACCCAATGAGGCCTTGGTTGCTCGCGTGCGTCAATGGTTGCTAGATTGCGACAAGGGTCTATGTCTCAGCCCTTTTTCCTGGCATGATTCACCTTGTTCTTGCCCGCCACAATATATGCACGCACAGCGTCGTGTTGTACGCCTCTCCTGTACTCTTGTACGCCGCGTAAAAAACTGGACAATCCCCGGGGGAGGAGGGAGGGGGGGCGCTCACGGCGCTCAAAGGATATTGGATATTGGGCCTTTTTTCGTGAAATCAGAAAAGGGTCCTTGAGCGTCCGCCATGGGTGGTTGGGTGGGTGGTTGGACGAGGTTGCTTGGTTGCTTGCTCGGATGGGCATGGAGCCGACAATCTTGCAGGGTTGACTGCCTTCTTTCCTGATAACCTTGATCAGATACGATTCTCTTGGACACCAGGGGGGGCCAGTCACATTGTCTTGCGGCCGGCAGGCTGGCAGATCAGTGACTGGGAAGAGAAGCAGACAGACTTGACTGGTATTAGCTACATACTGGTATCCGTATCCGTACGTTGGCATCCAACATTGCCATGCCATTCTCAGAGTCGCTATTTTTAATGCCAGGCTTGGGATGCTCGCTGCTGCTGCCTCCTCTCTCCCTCCCTCCCCCCCCCCCTGCCATCGAATATGTCACTTGCCACAATCTACCCTTTTCGGAGGCCCAACATACAGGTCTCAGGCCTGTCCAGGTCGTCGGCGTCGCACAAGCTTCGTATTGAGGTCTCGTCGCCTCGAAAAAGCTGTACACCGGTCTGCCTGCTCCGCGCTATTGGTGACCCCGTGCCAGCAATGGCCAAGTACTTCTGTTTCCTTTGTGTATCCAGCAACGCAAGTCATCGGTAAACTGGCAACTGGCACCTATTCCAGGACAGGGAGGGGTGGCATTAGCTCTATGCGGCCGTCATCAACATTTTGTCTGTTTTTTATTATTATTTTGGCCTTGTCCTCTTCTAACCACTAGTTCTCTCATCTAAACAGCTTTGTCCTGGTGGCGTAGGCGAGGAATGAGGCCGCTTTGCCAGATGTTTAAAAAAAGATGGTGTCCACTCCGATACAAGGTCTTCTTTGGAGGCGTCCTTGTCAAACCTAGTATAAATGGAGGGGGATTCAAGGCCACCGCGTCCTGCAGATCTCATTTCTCCAGACCGTCTCCATCCTCGTGCAACTGTCCGTCCAGCTGCTCTCTTATACTTGTTGTACCCTATCCTGTATCCCCTCTCGGAGCTCTTGGAGGCTTTTCGTCTTTTCCTTTACCATATCCACGACTCCAATCGTTTGAACATTCCACAAGTTGTCCTTCCATCAGTTCCTTGACCTCCCCTCCCCCCAGACCGTCGTTATCCTCAACTTGACCACTTACCAAGCAATGACACGCTCCAAAGTCCTCGACGAGCAGCGAAAGCGCATCGGACAGGCCTGCAAAGGCTGCCAGAACCGCAAACAAAAGGTACACTTTGCCGATCCCACCTCCTACTACTAACCTTTGGGGGACCCCCGAAAATACATGCTGATGCCGAGCAGTGCGACGGACAAACGCCGTGCTCAGGCTGTGAGAAGCGCGGCCATGTATGCGTCTACGATCCGCCGCGGAAGCGCAAGAACGTGCCTCGCTCCGCCAAGCAGGACGGCATCGTCCCGTCTTCCAAGGGCCTCGCGAATGCGTTCACAATGGCCTACATCAAGCCGGAGCCGGGAAACTCACCCCCCTTGCCGTCGCCGCTGGGCCACGGCTTCTTCCCCCATGCATCGTATCACTCGCCGTCGGCCATATCGGAATGGAGTAATGCGTCGGAGGTCCCGTACGAGTCTGCTATTGCTACAAGAATCCCCAATCAAAATTCTGTCTCCATCTGTACGTATACGTAACCCTCACCGTGCCCTCTCAAGTATATCAAAAACGCTGACTAGATAAACCCCAAAATTCGTAGGTGGCTCCTCGTCGGCTAGCTTTCTTGCCGACATCAAGAGACTAATATTGCCGATATCTGGATCCTGCCACTTCACCCAAAGTCATGACAATCTCACCAGGTTAGGAAGCAACGCTCATCCACAGGGACTGCCCAACTCAGTGCCGCTGCCTGATCGAGACATGGCAGAGCAGCTGGTGAAGCTGGCCCGCCAATACGTACGTTCCCCTCTTGCGCATCGCTTTTCCATTGACTAAACAGTGTGTGTCCAGAGTATCCATTTGGTGGACATCCTGGATGAAGTCACTATTCATGAGCTTCTGCAGACCTGCTACTCCAGCCTTCCGCCACAAGACCCCGGCAGCCTCTGCTTATTATATCTCCTCTTCGCCGCCGGATCCGCCACCCTCGAGGCCCAAAAGACGGCCGAATACCCCGACTCGGGACTTGTTCTCTCTGATCATCTCCGACAGGCCGATGACTACTTTTACTTTGCAGAAGCGACTCTGATGCGCATCGGCGGCTTCGACACATTCGAGGTGTGGATGATACAAGCATGGGCGCTCATGACGACCTACTCCCTCGCTGCTTCCAAATGGAACGCAGCGGATGCCTATATAGGTAAGCTACCCAGCTACCAGTCAGCTTGGAACATGGACCCAAGCACCACAAAAGCTAACTCTGGGACCAAAAAGGATTGGCAGTAAGGGCTGCGGCTGTGCTCGGCATCAACCAGGCGGCGCAAGGGTCTTCTTCGTTGCGCGCCGCGGCAGTCGAGGGGAAGGCAAACGCTGTCCATTCCAAGCTTTGGAAGTGTCTATTCGTTCTTGACTCCCTGGTGGCCGCGCTTCTCGGGCGGCAACCGCAAGCTCTCACAGAACAAAAATGCAAGCCAGTGGCGCCGGGAGACTACTCCTCCCCGTCCAGCAGTCCCAGCGGCCGTGATGAGTGTCTCGAGTACAACGTAGCCTCGGCCAAGATGATCCGCAAGACCATCAAGCTCGTCTATAACCAGCGGCACTTTCCAGCCGAGCGAGCGTCGACGATGCTGCAGCAGGCCCAACAGTATTCCCCTCCGCTGAGCCCCGTCTGCAAGCAGGAGCAGCCGCACGACGACGACGCCGAGGAGAGCCTCGCCACGCAGCACGCGCTCCTGTTTCGCGACTACGCAAAGATGCTCCTCTCCAGACCCTTCTTCGTCCAGGAACTGTGCCAGTCGTCCAAGCAGAAATACGACACCACCTGGAAGTACATTTCCCAGGCCTGCGTCTTCACCGCCCACCAGGCCGTCGAGCGCATGTACGAGGCACATAACCAGTCGCGACAGTTTCAAAACGACTACATGTGGCGGTGAGTATTTCCTCTCCCATTACGAAGGGAAAAAAGCAAGACACGCAACACAGCAAAAAGAAAACTAACACTTACCTCCTCCCACCTCCCCCCAGACCGTGTCTACATACGGCCGTCTTGGTCATTCTGACGAACCAGTTCTTCGACTTGTACAAGTATGAAAACTCAGACGCCATTGTCGGGCAGGCTTTCTTCATCCTGGAGCTGGGGAGCCCGCGGAACCCCACCGAGGAGGGCGATCTCAACAGCCTCTACGCTCTGCGCCGGCTCGTCGACGAGCGGAAGCGCCGGTCGCTGCCCATGGGCCGGCCGACGTACCTGGAAATGCCTCCTCCGTACGGAAACTACGAGGTGCAGGGCGACGGCGTGATGAGCCCCCCCGCCTTCCCCACGCACGACTTCGCCGCCGCCGTCGCGTGCCCGGACTCGACATACTGCGGCCCGGACGGCCGCCGCTACTCGGTCCAGTCGATGCCCTCGTCCGACTACCTGGAGCCGGCGACGGGCGTTGGCATCGGCCCGCTGAGCGCATGGGGCGGCGGCGCCATGCCGGGCATCAATCTGGCCCGCTGCGGCAGCGATGCCGCCTGCTACGGATTCGCGGTGCAACAGGACGGATACGACGGCGACGCCATGCAGGTGACACAGGACTACGCCGCGTATCCGGGGCAGCAACTATATTTATCTTAATGTATAATGAAACGTTTTTGCTTCTCCAGAAGCAACGGCTGCTTCTCCAGAAGCAACAGCATTGTTTTGGGTATCGGATTGGGAAAACAACACGCACGCGATGTTCATTTTGGATACGTCAGCGTAATTGGAGTTATTGAAATTAAATAAACAATTCTATATTAAATTGAAAGGATCATGTGAATATTTCCCGGTTCTAAATTGCCTGTTTCCCAACCCAAACGCCGTTGTAGCCCAATATACGCTCGATGCATCGCCCATGACAGACTCTTACCAGGTCAGAGGGCCAAACGTCTGCCCATCTGCCACGAATGCCTGAATCGCGGTTCCCTTGAAATCCATCGTCTTCTCCACAATCACGTTCCCCCACCACTGCGGCGGTTCAACGTCGCGGAGCGTAAAGGCAAAGAAGAGCACGAGCGTGCCAAACGCGAGGCCGAGGTCGAGGCCGCACGAGGTGAGGAAGTTGAGGCGCGACCACCAGCCAAAGTGGCGCTTCTTGATCCAGAACTGGAAGACGAAGCCGACGATGCCCCACGAAAAGTAGTTGAGCGGCGTGGCCGGCGGGATCGCGCCGGCGCCGCCAAAGATGACGGGCGCCATGAGGTACTTGGCCGCCGAGCCGGGCCAGCGCTTGGTCCACAGGTAGATGGCGACGGGCGTGACGCCGCCCAGCACGAAGAAGGAGAAGAGCCCAGAGTAGATGCGCCCGGGCGAGAAGATGCGCGCCGGTCCGATGAGACCCCAGATGATGGAGGCTTGGGGGTTTTAGCAACGGTGAGTATAGACTGAATGGGAAGAGGGGGGGGGTTACGTACCGGAGAAAAAGACGCGTCCGCCAGGGCAGGTGAAGCGGTCGCGCTGGCGAAGATCGCAGACATTGTCAATGCTGACGAGGGCGAGGTTGAGGACGGCAACCTGGACAAAGCAAGACACGGTGGTGGCGACGACTTGGGCCATGAACATGGTGCGCGGAGGCACCTTCATGTAGTGGCCAAACTTGAGATCAGCAATGAAGCCAAGCGACTGAGACCTATGTGAGAGTTAGCTTCTATTTTGTTCCTCTTCTTTGTCTGGCAAAGGACTTGCATTGTGACGTAGCCGAATGTCTTGAAGCTTATGTAGGGGCGCAAATGTTAGCCAGAGTCATTAATGCCAGATATACAGGCGGCGACGTACAGCATGAGACCAAGAGGACGGCCGGGCTGGATGTAGCCGTAAATAAACTCGGTCAAGACGTTGAGGCCAATCTGCGTATTGGTAATGGCCTGGATGATGCCAATCGGCAGCGAAAAAGCATACGAGATGAAGATGGCCAAGAGGAACGCCCACCAGGCAAAGTTGGTCGGGTAAGCGACGACGGTGTACAGACCGATGCCGAGCATCTAGGGAAGATATGTGTGAGTGATCAAAGGCACAGCACCCGTCTTGTCCTCCGGGAGCGACTCACGACTAAAAAGAGCGACAGATACCACCAGTCCGGCGCCTCGGGATACTTGCGCATCAGCTTCATGTGAATGTCGGGCTTCTCCGTCGTGCTATTGCGGTACTGCTTCCAGATGGTCTTGCGGCTGTGGATCCAGGTGTGGACGAGCAGCGCCGAGATGGAGGCAAACGAGAGGCCGTAGGCAATGGCAAAGGTGGTGCTGATGAAGAGGGGCGAGTACGCCGTGTACGCCTGCACGTCGAGGGTGAGCTGCGGCGTGAGGATCCTTGTCGTGTTGTACGCCTGCCCGCGGTTGTCGTACGTGCCGGCGTCGCTCATGGGCAGGTAGGCCGAGTACCAGACGCCGCTGTAGTGCAGCAGCGAGGAGAGGAAGATGAAGAAGACGACGACGCCGAGGAGCGTGTTGGCGATGGCGTGCCTATGGGGGGAGGGAAGTTAGCGGATTCGTCATTCTTGTTGGCGGGAGGAAGGGCGATCCGTCGTTGTCTGTGACAAGAACAAAAGCCACCCGTCGTTGTTTGTGATAGGAAGAAACACGCACCAAGGCGGTATCAGTGGCGAGCCGATATAGCCTGCTACCTGGGTCCAGTCAAAGGTGATGGGCAAGATGGACAGCCCAGACACGCCCCCAAAGAGCTGGTTCACGACGGCATTGTCCGGCGCAATCCATGTTGGAAAGGCAAAGACGCTGAGAAAACGGGCAAGGAAGCCAGGAATGAAAAAGTAGAAGAAGGACCCGATGGACACGAGAGCGAACCACCTGAGTCGAGGCATTGATCCGCCGAGGACTTTGTGGTCTGGAGCGCTGCTCTGCTCATACATGGCGTTTAAGAGGGTGACGCTGACGAGGTTTTCAGGCCAAATCATCGAGGCCGGGTAGACTAGACGGCAGTTATCGTTAGCGACGATTCAGACACGACCGGTCAGCTCTCGACTCGACTGACCCAAATACTTGCGCATGACGCCAGCAATACCGTAGCCGAGCGACTGGGTCGATATCATCAGCAGCAGCTGAAACAAGATGCCAAAGTCCTGCTTGTAAAAGACGCGCTGCGCGAGGATGATGTCAGTCGAGTACGCGACCGAAAACGAGACGCTGGCCATGACGGTGATGACGGCGTGCTCCTTGATGCTGAACGGGCCCGGGTTCAGGCTCCAGCGGCGGCCGGCCGTGCAAAACTCCCTGGCCGGCACGACGCGCGCCCAGGCGTGGCCGAGGGGGTACGCGACGATTTGCGCGACGAGCGGGCCGATGGAGATGGACGGCTGCCGCAGGGAGAAGAGCGTGTTCATGGCCGCGCCCGCCACGGTGAGGCCGAGGCCAATCGTCCACGCGCGCACCGTGCTGGCCGGCACGGCCACGTCGACGTTGCGCACCGCCGCGCGCACTTCGGCGTACGGCGAGTCCTCGGCCTCGGGGTCCTGCAGGAGGAGGCCGGGCCGCTCGCTAAGCTCAAACGCTTCCCCTCCGGCGGCGGCGGCGTGGTGGTCTGCGTCCAGCAGGCGGCCGTGCTCCTGGGTCGGCCCGGCGTCATCCTCGTCGTTGGCGTCAAAGTCGGACCACTTGCCCAAGTCGACGTCATGCAGGTCGTCGGCGCCGGCGTGGTGGTGGTGCCGGCCCTGCTGCTGGAAGGAGTGCCGCGGCGTGCGCTCTGTGGCGCCGAGGTCCTGGTCTCGGCCGCTGGTGTGCGCCTGCACCGAGGGACCGTCGCGCTTGTCGTCGCTCATGGCCGATTGAGGCCGGGACGGGCTTGGTCGCGTTGAAGGTGAGGCGGCAAGCGGAAGCGTCTAGCGCTGCTCCCGGCGCGCACAGGGGGGGCGCCGTGAGAGACGAGTCTTGGAGACGGGCAGGTGCGCGGGTCAATGATCAATGAAATGAAGAGCGAGTTTGCTTATTAGGGCGATTGATTGAGACAGCTTTGCTTCCGGTTGTCGGGGAAGCGTGAGGCTGAGGACACATGCGAAGGAGGTGTTGAGGGTTGGACCCTGAAACCGACGGCCAGTCAATGCGTGCGCGGGTCGTCTGAGACGGCACTGGCGTTGAATAAAATGGACGGATAATTTTGATAGCTCAAAGTAAAACAACCAATAGAATCAATAGAGTCAAAGTACATTTTAAAATTAATTGATCGCTAGCTGCACGTGCCCGTCGCGACTCTCATTCATAAGACTCACAAGGCCTCAGGCGCAGATATGAGCACCCCTGTAATTTTAGCGGCTCGCGCATGTTTCTAGCGCTCCCGTCCGCTGTGGGGAGCTGAGCTTTTACCTCTGGCACCATTGAAAGTTTCATCACAGAAGCTCTCTGCTCTCTGCTTTTCGCTCTTCTACGCCGCCTCCTCCTCTCACCTCACCACCCACCAGGACATGGAATCACGATGCGCCGCGTCGTCGTGACAGGCCTCGGCGCCGTCACGCCGCTCGGGGTCGGCGCCCGCCGCACGTGGAACCGCCTCGTCGCCGGCGACTGCGGCATCACCAGCGTAGCCGACCGCGCGCCCAAGGAGCGCTGGCAGGAGCTCACGAGCACCGTGGCCGGCGTCGTGCCGCGCGGCCGCCTCGCCGACGGCGGCTGGCATGCTGACGACTGGCTCACCGCCGCCGAGCAGCGCCGCATGTCGCTCTTCACCCAGTACGCCATGGCCGCCACGCACATGGCGCTCCAGGACGCCGGGTGGGACGCCGTCGCCGCGGAGGACAAGGAGGACACGGGTGTCTGCCTGGGGAGCGGCATCGGCAATCTCGACGACATGTACACGACGAGCGTGGAGCATCACAAAGGGGTGAGTCGCGAGCATGGACCGAGAAGCAGGACTTGCAAACGCTGCTAACACCCCAATTGCAAGGGATATAAAAAAGGTGTCGCCGCTGTTTGTCCCCAAGATCCTCACCAACATGGCCGCCGGCCACATCGCCATCAAGTACGGCTTCCAGGGCCCCAACCACGCGGCCACGACGGCCTGCACCACGGGCGCGCACTCCCTCGGCGACGCGGCGCGCTTCATCGCCTTTGGCGACGCGCGCGTCATGGTCGCCGGCGGCGCCGAGTCCTGCATCCACCCGCTGACGTTTGCGGGCTTTGGCCGCGCCCGCTCCCTCGCCACCGCCTACAACGACCGGCCGGGCGCCAGCTGCCGGCCCTTTGACGCCGGGCGCGACGGCTTCGTCGTCGCCGAGGGCGCCGCCGTGTGCGTCCTCGAGGAGCTCGGCCACGCGCGGGCCCGCGGCGCCCGCATCTACGCCGAGGTCAGGGGCTACGGCTGCAGCGGCGACGCGCACCACATGACGGCGCCGCGCGCCGACGGCCAGGGCGCCTTCCTGGCCATGAAGAGGGCCCTGCGCGCCGCCCGCCTCCGGCCCGCCGAGGTCGGCTACATCAACGCCCACGCCACCGGCACAGAGGTCGGCGACGTCGCCGAGACAATGGCCATTCGACGGCTCATGCTGGGCGAAGAGGGCCTGTCGTCCGAGGGGCAGGTCACCGTCAGCAGCACAAAGGGCGCCGTGGGACACTTGCTCGGCGCTGCTGGTGCCTTGGAAGCCATGTTTGCGATACTGGCCATCCACGAGGGCGTTGTGCCGGCCACGCTGAACTTGGAGTCGCCCAATGTCGGTGCAAACTTTGACTTTGTCCCGCAAAAGGCCAAGGACAAGGCTATTAGCGTGGCCATGAGCAACAGTTTTGGCTTTGGCGGCACCAACAGCTCGCTGGTCTTTGCAAAATGTTGAATTATTAGTAGCTGTAGTGTTCGGTCTATTTTGCCACACTGGTGGCTGTATAGGAACTCGTGTGCAGCAAACAGTTCACTGTACTTTAAAGAGAAGATGTAAAATTGTAAAATTTGAAATGTAATGTATATCAATTCTCTCACCTTTTATTTTATTTTCATTCGTTTTCCTGATGCTGTCCTCACTACCTAGGTAGGTAAGTATGTATACAAGTACATGTCTCCACTCAAACGACCTGTCAGGTCACCGATATTCAGCCGGCAACTTTTTAAATTTTAGCATCATCGATTAGTTGACTTCCCCTTGGGCGCTCAAAGTCACTACGCAGCGGCGTTCGAGGCCAACCACGACAGCCAATCCCACCAGAACCGCAATCACCAAACACCATGGCCTGCCAGACGTGCCGGCTGCATGCAAGGAGCATGCTGCGCTCCGCCCTCGGTGCTGGCGTCGCCGCTGCTCCCTCCCCTGCCGCGCGAAAAGTCGCCACATCCAGCGCGCCCGCCACAGTACGCTCAACGACGACGACGACGAGAATACAAACGGCGCGCCACTTTAGCAGCTCGTCACCACGTCACATCCTCGGCCTCCGGGACTCGTACCGCGTCGTCGGTGCCTCGGAGCGCTTGTTCAAGGTCTGCGCCAAGCCGGCCGATTACCGCATCACAGACGAGGAGCGCAAACAGGACCGTGTCCAGAAGCGCGACGACGGCGAAGAGATTGGCAAGGCCAAAGACGCTGAAAATGCATGGAACAAGAGTAAGCGCGCTGCCCCCCCACGCATTGTCCTCTTGAGAGAGCTTCCCCCCCAAAGCTGACAACAACTCTTCCTTTCAATAGCATTCGGCCTGCAGCCCTCCTTCAGCACGTGGTCGCACGTCACTATGCTGCATCTGTACCTCATCAACGCGCGGCTGCGCTGCTTCGACCGGGACGAGTACCGCAACTGGTCGCAGCAGCTGATTGACCACTTCTTCTTCGAGTGCGAGAAGAAGATGCACCTCGACCACAACATCACCTCGAGCGCCCTGCGCCAGCGCTACCTCAAGGACATCTTTGTCCAGTGGCGCGGCCTGCTGCTCGCCTACGACGAGGGGCTCGTCAAGGGCGACGCCGTCCTCGCCAGCGCCGTCTGGCGCAACCTCTTCAAGGGCGACCCCCACGCCGACCCCCGCGCCCTCGTCGCCATTGTCGGCTGGATCCGCGCCAGCCTCGCCGCCCTCGAGGGCGCCTCGGACCTGACGTTTGCGCAGCAGGCCGCTGAGATCTTGGAGAAGCCCGTTGACGTCTTTTGGACGAGGCTCGAGGCGCCGTTTTTGAGCGACCAGGAGGGCGGCGACAAGACGTTGCCGCAGACGCCGCAGCAGGTCAAGGCCAAGGCCGCCGCGGCGGACAAGGTTGCTGCTACTCTGTAGAGAGCCGTCGTTGGACTTGGGAAAAGAGCCGAGATGAGCACGAGATGAAGAGTGCAGCAATGTAACGCTAAAATCCCGACATGACATGCATAGCGACTGCATGAGCGGGTATCCTGTATCAGTATTGAAGGGAGGAGCGCATATAAATTACATGTATATTATACCGCGAGGGTTGGTATTTCGACCATATAGAGGCGACCACAATTTAATGAATTCATTCTCAGCAAATTCAACAGCATTTAGTTCTCAGCATCTTTCAGCCAGCTTCTGATTATGGTCCTCGGTATTATTAGTATTATTTTATTGATCGCTGCCAACCGCCAATGCTACTCTCTCTCCCACATTTGAAACTCGTACTTGACGCCCGCTTCTTCTCTGCGCCCCTTCTCCGTGTCCGGCTCGCCGGTCCAGGCCCTCCACTGCTCGTCCGAGCGCCTCGTCCACCCCGGCTCTGTGCCGTCGTCGGCGCCGAGCTTAATTGGAAAAAACGTATCGCAGTCGTACTCGGTCTCGATGCGGGTGAGCAGCACGCGGCGGACCTCTGGCCGGCGCAGGACGGCCTTGTACACCTGGCCGCCGCCGATGACGAAGATGCGGCCGCCGCCGCAGTGCGCGCCCGCATACTGCAGCGCGGCCTCGACCGAGGCCACGCGCACCACCGGCCCCTGCACGCCCGGCGGCGGCGGCGGCGTCGTGGCGGCGGCGCGGCTGATGATGATGTTGAGCCGGCCCTTGAGCGGGCGGAACTTGGGCGGGATCGAGTCCCAGGTTTTGCGGCCCATGATGACGGCATTGACCGCGCCCGAGGGGCACTGAAACAGCCAAAGACAAGGATTAGGCTAGGTTGGCAGCTGGGCTGGGGGGGGGGGACGTACGGGGGACGCAAGCTGCGTCGTGACGCGCGCAAAGTACTTCATCTCGTTGCGCAGGCCGTTCCACGGCATGGTGCCGCCGGCGCCGATGCCCATGCTGCGCGTCGCGGCCACGACCAAGGTCAGTTCTAGGGACTGCATTTTACGGGTTGGTTGCTCGGTCTTGACTGACGTGTGTAGGTGGCCAAGATGGGTGCTGGGAACGGGTGGTTTTGCGCGCGACCAAGTGGGACGCGCCGTTCCACCATAGATGAGTAAAACATCACATCTGTTCTTCTCTTTATATTTTGAATCATTCTACATTTTCATTTTTATAGCTCCACTTAATTTATTTATGCCATCTTTTTTAATATTATCATTCTCTCATTCTATTCAGCGCTCTTGCAACATACACATGCGCAGCCTAGCGTCTAAAGAGGACTTGAAAACAATATGATGAAAGATCAGGAATACATATTCACCAAAATGCTCAGAAATAGCTAGCTCGAATTGGCCTAGTAGTAGTGTTTTAAATACCACCAACGCGTCGTACTTTTCTTCCAAATCACAGCTTGTTGGGACTCAGAACGGTTACATCTTGAAAGGGAATCTCCAGGAACGCGTATACGTGGTTGAAGCTATCCTTCGTCAGCCACAAGACCCCTCCAAAACCGCCCTCCCAGCAAATGCACTTACCGATCGCTGCCGAAAAAGGGCTCCTCCTGGCCCTTTGCATTCGTGGCCCAGATCCAGGGCGCGCCAAACGCGCCCCTGCTCAGGGCGACGTCCGTCTCCTTCTTGACGCTGTCCTTGAACGCGGCGCGGCCGTCCATGATGCGGTCGACCTCGTCGGGCGCGAACAGCGCGCGGCCGCCGGAAATAGTCTCGGTGGCCTCGGCGAGGACCGCGCGCAAGACGTCGGCGTCGGCGATGACGCGGTTCGGCGCCGTCCAGGCGCGGTCCATGAGGAAGTGGAACGCGGCGAGGAACACGGCCGTCGGGTAGTGCGCCTTGATGTAGTGGATCGCGCGCAGCGGCTGCACCGTCATGCCAAAGGCCATCATGTCCGAGGGCGTCTGCACGTGGCCGAGGCCGACGCGCCGCAGCGCCCGCGGCGTGTCGAAGCCGAGGTAGGCCGCCTTGGCGGGCAGCGTCCACGGCGGCTTGTTGCCTGCCGGGGATGGGAAATGCAGAGTGAGCAAAACAGAACAAGTGAAATCGGAGTATGGACAAGGGGAGTTAGGACGGGATAATCGTACCGGACGCAACGTTGATGCCGCCGAGGAAGATGGGGTGGTATCTAGAGGGTCCATGTCAGCGCTCCACGGCCAGCAGTCGCGGAATGACGAAAAAAAAGCATACTCAATCGTGACGCCATTCGCGGCGAGCTTCTGCCTGTTGGCCTCCAAGTCGACAAAGCAGATATAGCTAAACACCGACGCTGTGGTGTAGATGCAGAATTAGCCCCTATGTCAAGAGCGCCCATCGTGTGTCCCTGGGACATACCAAAGTCGAGGTAAACGTCAATTCGTGCGCCCGGCATGCTGGCGGGTTTGATTCGTAACGGCTGTGGGGGGGTGGGCAAAGATCTGTCGGAGTTTGCTATGCAGAGCGAATGGCGCAATTATACTCCACGGCAATGGCTATTGCACGCTTTTTGTTAATCGCTCTAGTCGGGTGTGATGACGAGAGCAAACAGCCGCTTTCCTTGTGATGTGGGGGTTGTGGCAAAGGGGGGGAAAGCCGGATCTACGGGTAGCGAAAGCTGGAGGAGACTTGGTTGATGCGTTGACAGAAAAGGTGGAAATCGTCGCCCGCGGAAGATGGCAAGTAATTAATAGTAGAGGAAGGTAAGACAAGCCAGCCATTCGGGTCACACTCACCGCGGGGGAGGAACCGGGCTTTGAGAAGCTCCAGTGGGGTCGCAACCTCGGCACCGCGCGGCCCCACTTCCCCGGACCTTGATATTGTCATCCGAAAGCTTCACTGTAGTTCTCTGATTTTTCGTCAATTGGTCTTCTTTCTCTTGGAAAAAAACATATGAACTCGGACCTCTGTCAACGAATTTGAGCTCCCCTTCTTCAAACCAATTGAAGCAGCGCTACTCTGCACATCCGGCACCCCATGGCTCCCTCCAGCAAACCCGTCGCTCTCGTCGTGGGCGCGTCCCGCGGCATCGGCCGGCAAGTCGCCGTCGACTTTGCCGCGCATGGCTACGCCGGTATGTTCCGACACACACACACACACCACCACCACCTGCCTCTTTCCCATAACGTGGCGCATCAGTTGGAAGAGATAATTCTGACAAGGGGAAAACACCAAAGTCGTCGTCGCTGCCAAGACAGTCAGCGATCCTGCCAAACCAATCACAGCCATACCGGACCCCAAGTCCAACGATTCCACCATCACCACCGTCAGCTACGAGATCCGGCAAGCGGGCGGCGAAGCCCACCCCGTGCAAGTAGACGTGCGCCATGAGGAGAGCGTCAACGCGCTCGTCGAGCAGACCATTGCCGTGCGCCGCCCCCCGTCCCTTCTTCCCCTCGTGTTTCCCCCCTAGCTAAAAACCAACCAAAAATCACAGAAATACGGGCGCCTCGACGTGCTCATCTACAACTCAGGCGCCATCTACTGGGCGTCTGTGCAGGACACGCCGCTGAAGCGGTTCAAGCTGATGCAGAGCGTCAACCCCGAGGGCCTGTACGCCACGGTGCAGGCCGCGCTGCCGCACCTGCAGCAGCAGCCTGGCGGGCGCATCCTCGTCGTCTCGCCGCCCATCTACAGCCGCTTCTTCCGGGGCAAGACGGCGTACGCCATGGGCAAGGTGGGCATGTCGGTGCTCACAAAGGGCCTGGCCATGGACTTTGCCCGCCAGGGGCTCGTCGCGCGCGGCATGGCCATCACCAGCCTCTGGCCCGCCGTCGCCATCGAGTCGGCCGCCACGGAGCCCATGGTCAGGCTGCGCCCGGACGAGGCCCGCGACCTGCGCAAGCCCGCCATCTTCTCCGACGCCATGCTCGCCATCGTCCACGCCCCGGCCGCCGACGTCAACGGCGAGCTGCTGCTCGACGAGGACTTTCTGCACGACTACTGCGGCGTCCGCGACTTTCGAAAGTACAACGTCGTGCCCGACAGTGAGCCGAGGCGCATCATGCCGGCCCGCCTGCCCGACCTGCGCGTGGCCGAGCAGGACGACGAGGGGAAGCGCGTCGACAGCACAAAGTTGGCCAAATTGTAATACTAGCATCGATACCTGTCAAGTAGAAATGATACTCTTGATAATTCGAGTTTTGGGTGCGTCAGGTTTGAGGCGAACTACAGTGCCAGGAGATGGAGTAAACATAAGAGTGTTAGCAAATCTGGTTTCCTGCCGCCCACATGTTAAACGCTTCAGACACAAGAAAAACAGCAAAAAGTCTCGGAGCTAGCAGTAATACTAAAAAATATTAAAAATGAAGCACAAAACTTGCGTGATATGTAATGTTGTCTAAAATATTACACACACTTATCCCCCTAAACATCCATATGATGATGGTGCATAAAAAAGTCCATACTTGATGAAAAATACGAAAAAAGCAACATGACTCCAAAATGATGATACAGTCTTTCCAAACAGTGTTTCCGCACAAACACCTTTTCAACAATGAAACCATACCAATACTCAAACCGATAGCCACGTCAACTCAAGGGCTGCTGCCGAGTGGCGCTTGCTGCAACGACTCCATTTCCGCAAGTACTCTATCAAAAATGCCCTTGACCGAATAGTACGCGTTCAGTCTGTTCCACTCGTTACGCGACTGCCAAAGCTTGTCCATCATCTCGCGATTAATCTGTTCCAGCTGCTCGACGGAGAAGCCGCTGGTGTGGTCCGCGACGTAGTCTTCCAGTTGCGCCACATACGGCTCAAGCTCCTTAGGTTGCGACGGTGACGGCGGCTGCAATTTGGGCTCGCCTGAGCCCTGCAGCTGCGAACTCGATATCGGCCGGGCGAGAGAGCTTGCCGCGCTTATAATATCAGCGGCCAGGCCTGGTATCTGAGAGTGTGGCCAGGGTTCCTGGCTCTGAGGCGTGGGGGTCTGGCCAGGCACGGTAGGGAACGTGTCGGGGATATCCGGATCGTCCCTACCTTGAGAAGAGTTACCGTTTGTCTGAGGAGTGCCCCAGTTCGATAAGCCTTGCTTGGACGAAAGATCAGACGTCTTAGTGGTCGATGCGTCATTGGCTACGGCCGAGGGTGGCACACCAGGTGGGAGAGAGGTGACAGCAGATCGCTGTGACGGCTGCGTAGGACCTGGGGACTTGAAAGGTGGCGGACCCATCACTTGCGATACCGACTGGGTTCCTTCACCTGTCCCGCTCATCTCAACGTCCACATCCTTTGAAAGGGCCGAGTCGCCATTGCTCAGGACATGTGCGTCTGCTGCAGGTTCGGGACTTCGCAGCTGGAACCTAGCTGTGGTCCTGGTGTCCTCCGGAACTGGCACGCCGAGGGTGACCGGGCCTAGAGAATCACTTTCGTTGCCGCCACCAATATCAGATTGAACTCGCTCCAGGGCCAGGTTTGTAGCCTGGGCCTTTCTTTGTCTCTCTTTCTCGGCCTTCTGCTTGGTTCGTTGTAGCTGTCGCTGGTATAGCGCCTCCCAGTCAAACATGCTAGCAGTGCTGTTCTCAATGCTGGCGATATCAACCTCCACATTGCTCAAGAGTTCATTCGCCTTAAGTGTCCTTTCCTTGTCGCCAATATTCTTCGCATCTTTAGCAATTGCTCTGATGTCGAACAAGAAGTCTTTGGGGCGAGCGTAGTAGCCGTTAGAAAGTCTTTCTTCGATGGTTGTCGTTTCAAGATTATAAAATGTCTTTCCAGTAACGGTGTCTCGCAGCACATCGATATCATTCTTGTCCTTCACAATCTCAAAGGGACGATTCTCTGCTGCTCCAATATCAGGCCGCACAAAGTTGGGGTCCGACTCGGCAAATAAGTATTCAATCTGCGCCTGAGGAATGACGGGCTGGCGGAACTTTTTGTACCTGCGATTGATCTGATCCATGATGGGCTGCAGCTGGATCTTGAGAGCGTTGAGAAATTGGTGATCCTTCTTCTTCAATGCTTTAATTTCCGCCTTGGTTGGTGGGGCGGGCTCAATCTTCGGTGCTGGAGGTAGCTCCTCTAGTTTTCGCTTCTCTCGCGTGTTCGGCTCGGGGAACTTTTTAGACGGGAGCTTGATGAGCTCCAAGGTCTTGCGAAAGAAGGCAAATCGAGCTGGTCGCTCTAGAGGTGCAATCTCGATGCGGCTGTCGCGAGAGTACCCGAAGAAGTCGGAAATTAGGTTCGGGCTGGCGGCAAATTCCTCCTTGGTACGTTCTGCTGTTGCAAGGAGAAGCACCGGATCTGTAGGTGCTATGGATTTGAGCATTGTCGTAAAGGTAACGAGCGCAACTGTACCAGCCAGTGTATCGTACCAGACATCAATGTTGGGAATGTAAATGACACTCGGCTTGTGACGTCGAACTTCAGTAAACAGGCCGACAATGACTTGCTCCATAGCGCGGCCGTCAGCAAGTAAGCTGGGCAGATCAAAGTTTTGCACGTGCACGCCTTCCAGATAATGCAGAATACCCGCAGCAATGTAGCTTTGGCCCATGCCTGGGCTGCTGTGGATAAGCAGTCTAGGGCGGAACACACGAGTGCGATCAAAGTCTTGGTGTAGAGTTTCACGCCCAAAGCCATGGTCGTCGTCGGCATACGGCTCGTACATGGCCTCTTCCAGAGCAGTCGTCTTCTTCCGGCGCGGCATCACCACATCGAGGGCCCGCTTGATCTTCTCAAACTGATCCTGCAATAGAGGTTGAATGGTAGCCGGCAGTGGGCTAGCGCCAGAGGTGGCAGATCTCTCGGACGACGGAACCAACTTCTTGATTGAGAGCATGAAGTCGGACGCATGCACATTGATCTTGGAAGGATCGACCAGCAACTTTTCCTCTGAGGCGTAAATCTGAGGATAGGTTCGCTGGATGGCGTTGAGCGCGGCCTCAGTACATAGCGCGCGTAAGTCAGCACCGCCATAGCCCTTTGTCTTTTCCGCAAGTGAGGCTTTGAAGTCTTCAGCCATACCCCAGTCTTTAGTATGAATATCGAGAATGGAGCGTCTGCCGTCAATGTCGGGCAGTGGAAAGTAAAATTCTCTGTCAAATCGACCAGGACGTCGAAGCGCAGGATCGATGTTGTCGGGTCTGTTGGTGGCACCAATAACAATGACCTGGCCACGGCCGTCCATGCCGTCCATCAGTGCCAATAGCGTGGAGACGATGGAAGCATGAATTTGTTCTTGCTTGCTTGATCGAACTGGTGCCAAGCCGTCAATTTCATCAAAGAAGATGATACTGGGTTGGTTCTTGCGAGCTTCCTCAAACAGGAGACGAAGCTGCTTTTCGGCTTCACCAACCCACTTGCTCAGTGCATCGGCACCCTTGCGCATGTAAAAGGAAATCTTACGGCCTCCATGGCCGGCCGAATTGGCAAGTGCTCTTGCGAGCAATGTCTTACCAGTACCGGGGGGTCCATGAAACAACACACCGCGAGGAGGGGTGACGTGAAACCTCGTAAAAAGCTCTGGGTAGAGCAGAGGTAGCTGGACCATTTCTTTGAGTTGGTCAATATGACCTTGTAAGCCACCCACTTTGCTGAAGTCGACATTCAGGTCGACGCCGAGAGGATCAGCATCGGCCAACGCCTTGCGGTCCTTGATCAGGCCGACGTTCGGGATACCCCCATCTGCGTTCATGGCGGGCAAGCCAGGTAACAGGCCGCTTGGAGCAGCTGAGGTGGGAGTCATGCCGGGGTTGTTGGCAATACTGGAGCGGTGCACCATTTCATCGTCACTGCTGTCCGAATCGACACCGCCAGTAGCACCAGTGCCCCACGGGCCGTTGAGCAGGGAGCCAACAGCACCACCACCACCAAAGGGTCCGAATGTAGTATTGAGGTTTCGGTCCCATACAGTGCTGGCAGCACCGCGGCGTCGGCGGGCGGGGGTGGGAGCCGGGTCCTCACCGTCGTCCTCGATGTTTGCAGAGGTGAGGGGAGGCATGTAATAGTTGACCCGGGCGCGGGAGCGGCGCGTGTTTTCTTGATATGCAATCGGCGTCTCTTCTCGGCGTCGGCGGGACCGCGATGATTTTCTCAATTCACGGGCTTCTTCGTTGAGCTCATCCAAGTCCAGGTCAGCCTCTTCGTCACCAGAGTGGTGGCGGGATGCTCCTGCCGAACGAGACTGGCGTCCGCCTCTTCCAAGCGGGGTAGGACTATCGAGGTTATCATCCGCAGCATCTTTTCCCATGTCGGAGGCGGCATCTTCCGAGTCGTCGCCAGGTTCAAAGTCACTACTAGGTTCTTGTGTGGACTTGCGGGCGCTCGATTTACGCGTCAGTCGTCGATTGGGCCTCGAAGTGGCACCCTGATCCTCCTCCTCGTCATCTACCACAACTTCGGCGCGTGCAGCTCGCGTTCTGCGGGTGGTAGGGATATCGTCGTCATCATCGTCGTCGTTGGCGGCACCAGTGTCGTCAGGATTTTCGACCTTTTCAATGTCTTGCATAGTTTCATCAGCATCCTTGGGTTTGTGCAGATTACGGATGTCCTTTTCCAGTTCATCAAGGTCATCATCGTCAAGACCAGCATCCTTGAGACTGCTCTCTTGTGTGGCTTCGTCAATAGTCTCGGGAGGCAGCTTGACGCCCTTGGACGCGCGAGAGCTTCTGCGGGTAATAGGTTCTGGGCTACGGCTCGCGGAGCCCCGGGATACAACAGCATGGCGGCCAGAGATAGACAGTTCGACAAGATCTTCTTGATTAGCCGAAGTGGCCCTGGTAGCACGGCGCGGAACGTCATAGAGGGCGGCGCTGGAAACCTTGAGCTTGACGACACGGCTGGAGGACCGGGTTGGTTTTCGATCTTGCGCTTCATCGGCGCTTTCCACTTGGTCGACATCACTAATCTGGGCTTCTTCCTCGCTGCTCTCGGCATAGTTTTGGGGGTTGGCGGCTACTTTGCGGGTCTTGCGACCGGCGGCGTTGATGGGGGCGTCCTCGTCGTCATCCTCATCCTCGAGAAATGAATCTTCTTGGCTATCGGAAAGCTCTTCTCCATCATCTTCAATGTCGGATCCTCGGTACCTGTGGCCCCTCTTTCTCCCAGGACGACCTCCAGCTGGGCGTGCCTTCTTGGAGGTTCTGCGAGGACCTTCTTCTGTAGGGTTGAAATTTTCATCCTCTGGATCCGACTTGTTCGGGTCGAAGTCTTCGAGGACCCTCTTACGCTTGCTGCTGACCATGTTGAACACCGGATAGCCGGCGGCTGTGATGAAAGGGTTGGGACACGGGTCGGGAGATTTTGTCTCGATCTGTCTCGACGTGAGCTAAATTTGCTGGATCTAGGCGCGCAGAAGTCAGCACCTACAGGTCATTGCATCGACCTTTATAGCGCGTTGATAGGGATGAAGCGTCCTTTCATGCTATTGACGGGCTTGCCGGGCAAAGGAACTTACCGCTGGCGTGAAAAACGTCGGGCGCAAAGCTGACGGAGTCGGGGGCAAAAGCATGCAGGCAAGCTACCGTCCAAGATGACAGCACCGGAGCGAGAAACAATCAAGAAGGAAACACCAGGACGACAGGCATCGGCGCCGATGGAAACTTGGCGATTGGGCAGGTTGCACGACAAGCTTGTCGAATTTTTGGGGGTGATGAACTGAGCGAGTTGCAGACGGGGGCGCGTTGGCGTGTCGCGAATCTGGTGTCAAGGGAAGCTGGCGTGCGCCAGCCAACTGCCTCACGTGCAAGGGTACCAAGAAATAGCTGTGGGCCTGCACGTTGGGTCATGTACCTCCGACCGGGTCGCAGGCAGCTCTCCACCACGGCGATTGTGCTGCCGGCGCGATTTAACGCGATTAAAGACGTGATGAATAGATTTACGATGGAAGCAGTTGATGTGTCTGGGTACTGAAGACGGAGACTTGAATTTTTTTTAAGCTTCCATTTCAATATCGCTATTGCCGCGGTATCCTAGCAGCGGATTGATTGGCAGGACTGTAACAGGATGGGTTCGTGATTGAAATGGGCATCATTTACAGACCGGAGTTCAACGTCCGAAATTATAACCAATGTTGGACATTTCGGGCCCTTGAGCTGGAGGAAAGCCGGCGCCGTTGTTGAGGTGGGAGCCGGAGGCCGGAGGAGCACTACTGTGGAGCTTACATAACATGAAGCAACTGGCTGTGACACGATGCTATTTTGGGGGCCAGAAAAAGGAGAAGACAGGCGGGGCGCTGTTTCGCAGCTAGTTGCGTGCGATATGTACTATGATAGAATAATGAATAAAAATAATGAGGAAATGGTCAAGTAAATTAAAAAGAATCTAGATGGAAGAGAGATTTGGTGGTAAAATAGCACATCACTAGATTACTAGGTAGTGTAAACACACTGATAGACTGGTAGAGCGCTCCATTTACATGTCCGCCTGTTGGCAGAGTTGCAAGGCTGTGTCGTCATTCGCTGGTCACTTTCGGTTCCGGAGGCGTCTGAGTTGAAAATAAAATAAGAAACATAAATGAAAAATGAAATAAATAAATAAATAAGAAGAAGAAAAGTGAGATTCGGCTTTTTAATTTGGCACCATGCACACGGCGCAAAGGAGTTTCGTCGGTACCTACTCACCTGGCAGGAGAATGACTGAGCGAATTCCAGGCCGTCACCGAGGGAGGGGGTACATGACTACCGCAAGGCTTGTCCACCAAAACGCCAACCTACAAGGCTATCCGAGGGGCGCCGGCAGCTGAGAGGTTGGCGGCGTTTTCGCATCGAAACGGTGAGAGGCCTTTGTTTCTTTTCTATTCGAGACACGGCAGCGGTGAACAAGGTGTGCGGACCATTTACTGGCACGGAGCACATGTTTCAATCAAGTCTGTATTACTCCGCAGTTACAAGTTGATCGTCTCTTGGACCAGCCACCCACCGGCTGAAGAAGAGTGTTCGGATCTTCCCCCTGATCATCGAGGCCTATGTATCGTGTGACTGGTTTGATTGGACGTCTGGATAAAAAAGCTTAAAATGCCTTGGTAGAAGAGGGTCCTGGTCCTAATTACGACAGGGCTCCGGGGAAGGTGATGTAAGAGGTGGTATTTTTATGGCTCGTGCTCTTTGTTTTTCCTTGTTGCTGCTTGGGTCAATATTCTGTCATTATGACTTATGGTTTTTGTCGCTGTATGAAGTGTTTATCTATTTTTAATGCATCTGTACATCTTGCCCGTGTCTATTTTGCGACCCCCCTCAACTTGTAGCTCGGTCGATGGCCGCGGAACCGACGCAGGGCCATCATCTCATAGTCTAGTGGGACAAGTCGACCTCTCTACGAATTCGTACTGGTACAAACCCGTAGTTGGGATGTCCGATAAACTTGGCGCGCCCAGCTGGCTCGCCTCACACCAGTTCGACCGATACATTACGAGAACGGGCCCAATCACGGCAGCCCGTCGGGCGTACGTATGCTAGTGGGACGGCGGGCCCGCCGACGCGCCATCCTCCATGCTATGCTGCATGTATTCATCGACGATCAGCTATCAATCACGGTTGCATCAAGGGTGACGATCAAGCAAAGAGGATGGCGATGCACCAGGGGGGGGAAACTCCCAATAATAAGCACAGGCGCAGACGGGCATAAAGGAGACTGACGCAGTGTGAATATGTGCCCGCCTGGGGCAGGGTTGGTGCATCATTGCTCACGCACATCCCCAGAGTCATTGGTACCAGTACTATGTAACTAGCCACGTACGTAGGCTAGGTCCCCGCCTTTTTCTTTTTTGAAGAAGGAAAACGGGCAAGATAGGACACGAGCGTCGTCTACTAGTGGGGAAGCCCTACCAAAAGGCTTGCAGGCTTCTGGGGCCGGGCGACGGCGGCGCCCCCTCACAATTGTTGGAGCACAACGTCCACCGTCCACCATCGAGTCATCGGCCAACCAACCACACATGACAAGGACAACAAGACCTTCTTCTCGTTTATTACCCTTTCGCTGGCCTGCACTCTCTTCTCCAATCCCACCATCAGAACCCTCTTCTTCTCTGTTCTTTTACCAGTCCATCTCAACGTCTCTCGTTTTTCTGTTCAATCAATCTCTACAAAAAGACGCTCTCCACTCCCAACCTTTTTTCTTGCTTCAGCTGCTTCAACCGCAAACGGCAGCACGTTGTCAGCGAGCACGAAAACAACAACAACCTCGCCAAACCATACATAACCTCTGGCCTCGTCCGTACAAAAAAATCAAAAGACATACTCAAAAAAACCCACACCAATCACAATGACAAAGTCGGCTACTTCCAATCATCACCTCGACGAGCAGGAAACTCGCGGTCGCTCGGGCTACTACGACTTTCACGCACCGCCGCCGCTGACCCACGATGTACGTCAAAAACACCACCACCACCACCACCACATTCGGCCATTAGAAGTCTGCTAACCTTTCATCCCCCTTGCCGCAGAAGCGCACACTGTCCTACCCGAGCACAATTGCCTCCTCCTCCACCACCTCATCCACAACCTCGTCCGCCTCCAAGCGCGTCGCCTCGTGGCTCAAGCCCTCAGTAAAGCCTTTGCCCAAGGTCAACGTCCACACCACGTGCGGCCGCCACACCGACCAGCTGCTCTTTGGCGGCCCGTCTCTCACAGAAATGGCCCGCTCCGTTTTCAAGAAGAAGAACTGAGACATTGTGGTTTTTTTTTCTTTTTGTTTACTCTTATCGTTCAGCGTACTTTTTTTTTTTTTTTTTTTTTTTTTATACCTCGACTTTTCGGCGTTGGCTTATTTTAGGGGAGGGGCGTCTGCTTTTTTCGCGATACCATTCGGCGTCTTCACGTCCTTACGATTTACACCTCGGCACTTTGCCCACGCCTCATGACCCGGCTTGGCTCTGTGCGCTTGCGCACCCGCTACAGTGTACTATTCATTATGATTCAGCGATTGTCCACCGGTGGACTAGACTTGTTCTACATGTATACATAGACTCAGAACTTAGCATTAGTAATTATGATACCAGCATAAGTACATCTGACTCTCTTGTCCCCTCCTCCAGTCACCAAAATGCGGCATGCCTTTTAGGATTTCATGCAGCACACATGACCCGCCCCAGATTCACCTTGTTCATCATGCGCCCAATTTATCGGTAACCCTTGTTATCCGTCCGCTTTTCGGGATATGTCTGTTTATCCGTCGCCGCATATGTGCTCTTGAATCGATCCAAGCATCCCCGAATCCACTCTTGCGCTTCCGCGTCGGCCAGCTCATACGCGATCCGCATCGCATACCCGATCCTGTACGGCCCCAGCGGCCCCTGGCTAATGTCCTCGACCGACCGTAGGATGGTTTGCGTGTACTCCTGCTGTGATGTCGCAAACGGCTGCGTCCAGCCCAGCCGCTGCAGGAATTCCTGCAGCAGACCCATGGTCGCGTGGTGAGACAGTTGCAGCGTCGCCGCCCATCGCCGCTCGTACCGCAGGATGACGGGGTACGGAGACTGCGGGTCCTTGGACGGTGCTTCAACGGCTTGAGGGAACAGGTGTTTATACGTCGACCAGAATTCCGACATTCTCGCATGACAAGCCGCGGCGAGCCTGCAGGTCGTGGCGGCGGCGACGTGGTCAATGGGTAGACCTCTCTTGCCGGCTTCCATGACGGGGTAGCCAACCTTTACCACGGCCGGAATCTCTGCTAGTCGGTTATTGAATTCATCGACAGCCTCGATGGCTTCTTCATTGAAATCGGGCGCTTGCAACAAGTGCCGCCCTCTGTCACGCATCACCGAGCGCCATTCCGGCCGTGTGAGAAAACATTCGTCTGTTCTGGGAAAAAATAGGTCGCTCATGATCTAGTCCTCGCATTAGCATCCGGTATGCCTCTTCCAATGACGCAATCACATACCAAAACTCCTCGGAAGGACAGCAGCATGGCAGCATCCCATCCTTCTTGATGCGCCTTTGCGCCGCGCTGCTCCATCAGAATGCCAATCCCTCGCGCATGCTGCAGCCACGAGTCCGACGAGCTCGTTCCCGCAAAGAGCTAGAATACGATCAGCACTTGTTCCAGCATTGCACCAGAAAGGCGCGCTTCCCACCTCAAAGACGCACAGCAAGATGGCCGTGCACAGCATCTCCGACGCCCGCCACTTCGTGGGGTGATGCAGTGCCTGCTGCAGCTGATGCAGCGACTGGCCGTACATGGTCCGGCTCTGCGCAATCATGTTGGCATCGGCCACATCCTTGCCCACCAGATGCATCGCCAGCGAGCACAGCGCCCCGTCCAGGATCGCAAACGAACCCACCGTCCCGAACCGGACCCAGCTAAAGTAGCCGCTCGCATCGCGCTCTTCAATCGCCGCGCGCGCCGTCTCGACCATGGTCGACACAAACTGGCCGCGGTGCGGCGCAGGCTCCCACACCAGCAGGGATGCCGACACGGGGCTGGACCGGCGCAAGCTGTCGTCACTCGCCGTCGCGACCGATGCTGGTGTGCTGGGTAACCCCGACTGGTTCTTTCTTGTGCGCACATGGTGCTTTCCGCTGACAAACTTGAGGCTCCTCTCGTAGCCTGGGCAGTCCGCGCCATATTTCGTGCCTATGGGGTGTCATGTCAGAAGAAGAGTCTAGTCCGGCGTCAGAGACAGGAAGTTGTAGCGCACAATTACCACATCCTGGCTTCACTTCGTCACATTTGACCCGTCTCTTGCGGCACAGCTGACAGCCCGTGCTGCGCGGGACGCCGACCATTGTGGCAATGTTTTTGTCATTGAACGCCGCGCTTGTAAATCGGCCGTTGTCATATTCATAGCTCACGACGGTGTAGAGATGAAGTGGCAAGGTGCAGCTGAACTACCTCGAGTTCGTATCGACAGAGCCCCACATAATAAGCCATGTGTGGAAGAGTCAAGAAGAACAAATCTGTATAATAAGAGGAATAAATGGTTGGAAAGGATATAAGGAGCAATAGTATAACAGAGATAGGTAGAGCAAAGCATATGAATAAAATAAAGGATGAAAAAAAATTCGACTACTCGTATTCTGTCTACCTACTCTCTCATACTCCAAGACTTCACCAATCGTTAGGAAGCGCTGGTAAAGTTGCAGACAGACATCTGTGCTTGTGGCGTGAGACCTTCTAACATGTCGTCGCTCGTAAACCTCTTCAAGGCTGGTTATAGCTCGAGTGAATTTCTGTGCTTCAGCTTCAGTATCTATAACTATATCTGCTTGGTATTCCTTGTTCCATCGGTGCTCAAGCGCCCAGTTCCAGACCAAGCTCCCACCCCTCTTGTCCGTGAAACGAGCGTTATAGATTGATACATTTTGATTGAGATGAAAGCCTCTAAATTATATACAGTTTCTATGTACCCATTCTCCCTTTCTACGCCGCCACAGCTTCCTTCACCTCATCCGCCGTCCCCTCCTCCTCCCCCTTCTTCTCTTCTTCGCCCCTCGTCTTGCCCTTGCGGTCCTTCTTGCTCAGCTGAATGGAGCCCTTGGCCAGCGCCTCGCTCGGCAGCGGCCGCACAATCGGCTGCGCCACCCACCACGGCCTCTTGCACCGCACCAGCGCCTCCATCGAGCTCTCGCCGCCGTCCGCCGTCTCGCGCGGGCTGTCCCGCAGCGCCCGCAGCTCGTCCGCGAAGCTTCCGCCGTCGGTCCGCGCGTACTCGAGCAGGCCCTCGGCCACGCGCCGCTCCACGGCGTCGAGCACCGCCTCGAAGCCCGCCACACCCGTCCGGCGCGCGCGCGCCAGCATGTCACGCACGTCCGTGTGGCGGCTCACAAAGTGCCGTAAGAGGTGAAACAGGTGTGGTTGCATGGCCGCAATGTTGGGCGACGGCGCCTCCTGCTTCCTAGCCACCGGTTTGCCGTCGGTCTCGCTCTCCGTCTTGCGGCGCTTCGACCCGCGCTCGTCGGTGACCTCCGCATCGTCCGCCGTGAGCCACGCCGTGTCGTCGCCAGGCACGAATAGTGGGCGCCGCGTCGGCGGCTCCGCGTCGAGCGCATACTTGTGTATAATGTCCATGTAGCGACGCATGACGGCGTCGACGCGCCAGCCTCCCTTGCCGTCGTTGCCGCGCCAGTACTCGCGACCCTCCTCGCCTACCGGTGGTGGCTTCGCAAAGACGGCCGGGTCGCTGAGGTTGCCCTCGGCGCTCATGACGCCGTCAAAGCCCGTGGCCGCGAGGCACGCATCTACGTCGCCGTGCTGCAAGACGTTGCCGTTGGCAAAGAGCACCGTCTCGGGCGGCAAGCTGTCGCGCAGAAACCTGAGCATCTGCCAGTCCGCCACGCCCGTCAGGTGGCCCTTTTGCTCCCTTCGCCGCCCGTGTACCGTCAGGATCGAGGCGCCGGCCTTGAGCACCGTCTGCGCGTACGCCAGCGTCTGCTCCTTAGTCTCGAGGACGCGGATCTTGGCGGAGACGGGCACAGACAGCTCCGTGTGCAGCGTACGGATGAGGCGGAACACGAGGTCCTGGTCCTCTTGCAGGAACGCGCCGTAGTGGCCCTTGCGCGCGATGCCCTGCGGGCAACCCAGATTCAGGTCGACCGCGTCGCAGTACGGCGCGACCTGCCGCGCTGCCGCCAGCAAGTGTGCCGGATCGTTGGCGCAAAACTGCACAAAGAGCGGCCGGTCGTGCGTCGGGTGGCCGTCGAGCCATCGGCTTTCGTCTGTCGAGGCGGCGCCAGGGCGGGTAGCCTGGAAGTGCGCCTTGAGGTACTTGGGGTCCTGCGAGAAGAGGCGCGCGTGGAACATGGGCGTGTAGGCGAGCATTTTGGATTTTTCATCGGCCGAGAGGAATGAGCGGGAGAGCATGCGCCAGGCCTGTGGGAGGTTTCCAGTCAGCTCACCACGACAGTTTGAGGGTTTCAGCGTTCGTGACTCACAAACTCGGACTGGTTCACCATGGGGGCAACGATATACTTGGGGCTACCGATGCTTTCGTAGAATGCCCTTCCATGTAGCTTTGTCGTTCCCGGAGTCGCAGCTGCAGCCGCCGCCGTCGCATCTCCAGCTGGGACGGCCACGGGATGCTGTGACTCCTGCGCCGCGGCCATGGCAGCAAGGTGTCGCAACCACCGGGATTGGGTGGTCAAGGGTCGCCAACAAGACAGTCCTCTGCCATGCGCGATGCGAAGCATAAATACTACTAGCTCTCCGGGCGCATGCAGGTATTGTGCGGGGGGCGCCGTGGGGGTTGTTTGGAAGGCAGCCTGTTGGAGGTGGTGAAGTGAAGCGACTCGGAAAAAAAATCAGGGATCTTTTCCAAAAATAACCCATGCCTTGTGTGCTGGTGCGAATTACACTAACTGAACATGGTGGGGGGCATCACCACTAATAATAAGTGTACAGACTTGGCTTTCAACATGTCACCAGTTGCATTCGCCATGCCATCAGTCCCGCGTCATGAGAACCTGCCAAAATTATAGCAGAACTATCACAATTTCAATTCCGTGACTCTAATCAGACTAAAACGCAGGTCGCCAGGCACATGTGTCAGAGGCCTCATTCATGGAGCCTGTGCGGTAGTTGCCACCGGAAAGCCGCCGCTCGTCTCCCCAGACCATGCCAAAAGCCTGTGGGCAACTTCCCTTCTCTTCCGCTCAACAGATTACACGCTTGTATGATTGCTGCGCTAAATTCCCTATGACAAATTCCACGCGTAAACGACAAATAAAATACTAATGATGGATAAAGGTCAAAAAAACAAAACACCGTTGACACCAAATATGCGGTTCCCAAACGCCACCAATGTTAAAACATGATTGAATACAATGTGACTCCGCATGTTGCCATGCCTTCGTCAAAACATCCAATTGTTCAGTCAACCAGACAACATGTCACAGCTGCCGTCATCAGAAGAAATGTGTGTAAATCTTGGAGTTTTCGTGCACTTCCATCTCCTACAGGCACTGTTAGCATATTCTGCTCTCTGAACAAACAAATCATAATCATCTGGTACTCACCATTTTGAAGCTGTTGAGTTCTTCTTTAATCTGCTGAGCCAGCATAGGAGTGAGACGGTTGCACGTAGCAATCTCGCCTCGGCGGTCATACTCCTGAGGAGGCCAGGTGTCGTGAAAGATGATGCGCGGAGAAAATGTCGCGTTTCTCTTGCTGCCAGAGGGTGTTCCCGGGGCACTCTTGCTATCAGCACGCATGCGAAGGGCATTCATGAAGTAATCCTCATTGCCAAGAGCAATAGACCCAGTCCTTCTATGGCCCTGGCCCTCGTCATTGGGTGTGCTTGGTGCGCTAGAAATTGGCGAGTCACTGATAGCAGGAACACTTGGGAGGATGAGTTCCGGGGACGCTAACTCATTTGGTCTCGTCGATGGGCTGGAAGAGCCGGGTCGCTTGAGAATGCCCTTACGCACGGCAGCCAACACTTCAGCACGCTCCTTGTCACCACCAACAATGCTGCGTCTTGGTCCGGACTGCTCATGAACAGGGTTGACCACCTGCTCGGATATCATTTCCGGGACGTGGGCAGCGTCAATAGAGTTTCGCTCGAGGTGAGGGAAGCCAGTGGTGCCGTTGGTAGCCACAGGGTCCGCCGTGACATTGACACGCTGCGTCTCGGCTTCCACCGTGATCATGGAGACGGTTGCCTCGCTAATCTCGGGAATGGCTGCCTCAGCCGCCGGTACGCCAATAACGGACTTGGGACGAAACAGGCCTACTAGGGATCGGGTACTCTTCTTCATGCCACGGCCCATCTTGCGAATCATAATGGAAGCCGATGAGGCGGTGGAAGATATGGATAGATTGTCGGTAGATCCGAAGAAGCGGGAGCCGTATATGCTGTTTCCAAGTCCGCTAGCCTCCTGGGCCTCTGCAATGCGAGCCTGCTCGGCATCGTAGGCTTGCTCGGGTGAGGGATCCTTATGAAGCTTTGTTGGCGATGCGGGGGTGACAAGGGGCTCCTCTTCGACAACCCTGCGAAGCTCGGCAGCGCTGCCAAACGAAAATGCACGGCGAAGTCTTGACGTCTTGCTCTTGGCCTTGGTGCCTTTTTGGTTGATAGCCGCAAGATGCTTCGCTGCCGGGCTGTCCAGCTTGAGACCGGGTGAGCCAGAAGTGGTGGCAGGACGAGGCTCGGCGGCCTCGGCAGGCATGGTTGCGGGCTTGGATAACGGCGAGGGGCTGTGTGTGCGCTTAACGCCGTCGCCAGAGGCTACGCGGGGAGGAACATTGAGTTGCTTAGACTGCTCAGTCTTGGAGGCATTGTCTGCAGGGAAAGAGAGGTTGCCAGTGGGGGGAGGCGTGGTCCGGTTAGCCTGTATGTCAATCCTTGTTAGCCAGTGTGCTGCAAGCTTGAGCGGGCCACACAAAAAGGACTGGGGCCGGCAGGGTATCTCGAAAATATGCTGACTTACAGATGACGGGCGCGAGCTAGCGCTACGGTTGGATGAGACACTATCCGAACTTCCCTTGCGCGTGTGCATGACACCAGCGGGTGCGAGCGTGGCCGAATTGATGTTTTGGTCTGCACGTCGTCCGGCTGACGATGGTCGGCCTGCAGATGAGGGTCGAGCGGCGGAGGATGGTCGTATGATTGGAGGAAGAGATCCTTGAGTATCTAATGAATGGATGCTGCGGCGGCGCGATCTCATGGCCTCGTCCTGGGCGGCGCGGTTGTACAGCTCCTCGACCGAATTCGGGCTACCAGCGTTCATGCCATTCGACAAGTTGGGTACTGACAATGACCCGTCTTGAAGCTGATACATGCCACTGGAGACAGGTAGGTTGGTACTCTGGGAGCGGTTGTGCTGAAGAGGCTGGGGGGTTGCTCTGCGATACCTGTCCGGGGCAGTTTTGCCGTTGGCCGCGGGATTGTAGCAGACCGGCTGTTGACCAGTGAAGCTTCGTGATATAGCGGAATCGTCGCGGGTGACGTTTGGTGTCGTGAAATTGAAGTTGTAAGCCGATCCATTGTTCGCAGGACCTCGGTACTGGCCTGTCGGATCGTATGTGCTTGTCGTAGGAACTGCAGATGATGAGTTGGCGCGGTACGCAGCATACTGCTGCCATTGCAGATTATGATTCAGCTGATTGAAGCTTCGGGGTTGGCCGGGACCGGAGCCGCCTCGGTAACCGGTAGGAACACTGCCATACGAGGAGGCTCGGGATGTGTGACCATACTGGTTGCCCTGACGGTTTTGATTGACAGGTAGCATCGCAGCGGCAGAGGCAGGACGCGACTGCAGCATGGTGGCTGTTGAAGTTTGCTGAGGATATGTCTGAATCATCGCAGCCATACTTTCTTGGCAAGTCGGAATATATTGGCTCGCCGGCGCACAAGTGCACTCGTCGTGCAGTAACTAGGTTCGAAGGAGATTGGGTGATGACTAAAAATCACCAAGTTCCAGGGATGTGGTGCGAAGTGGCTAATGAGTGTTAGCAATGATCTTCTGTCTCGAGATTCCCTGGCTTCTGAGTCGGTTTGGAAAGGAGCATTGCAGGGTGAATGGTAAATGTAGAGCACGTGCAATTGAGGTGAAAGCAAAGAGAGCGAACCTTTTATCGGCTTGTCCAAGAGAAGGCAGGAGAGTATGTGCCCAAGGGTTGAATGTGGGTGAGGCAGAATGAAGCAGGCAAGATACAAGCGAGCGACAGGCTGATGGGATGCAAGGATTCCAGCAGCAGCAAGTATAGAGTATTGCTAGGATCAAGAAGAAGAGTTCGCAGGATTGTGATGCGGACTCTTCCCTACTGGTAAGATTGCGGATAACAGAAGTTCTAGAAATCCGAAGGAGCAGAAGTGTCAGATCACCAAGCTAATGGGATCAAGATGGTTGTCAGACAGTTCACCGTGGACGGAAGCCTGAAGTGAACAAGATGAAGACTCCGAGGTATTACGTGTCTAGCAAGACTGTGTTGTCTCTATAGGCAGAAGAGGTCGAGGCCAAGGGGTTCGTTCGGTGCACGTACGTCAGACGTGCGAGGAGGCGGACGAGAGTCGAGCAAGGCGAGTCGAACAGTGCAGAGTGAAGTAATGCAAGGGGTTCGATAACAACGATGGACAGAACACAGTAGCAGTTGATGAGATGGAGATGGAAAACGAAAAGAGGAAAACACGAGGACAAAGTCGGCTGAGGCTCGGGGTTGACTGAAATCAGGGGCAGAGGGCTATCAGGCCTGGCTGAGAGAAGTCCTCTGCGGCGGGGAGGAAGTCGTCAGGAATACGGGCGGAAATGCGACTGGGAGGACGAAAGAAACGGATGAAAATGCAAGGAAACAAAAAAGTCCAGCGTCGAAGTAGAGGTGATTAGAACAGAAAAAAAGAAGAGGGGAGGGAAAGGAAAGGAAAACGAGAGGATCGAGAGGCGTCCAGAGGTTTGTGTGTGTGTGGTGGTGGAGAGTTTCCGGGTGGACAAAGGAGGAGAGGAGAGGAGCGAGCAGGCCAGGCGCGTGAGGTGAAGAAGTGCCAGGTGGCGCGCAAAAAAAAAAAGAGAGCGGCGGCCCCAGCTAGAGCAGGCACGCAAGCAGCAAGCAGCAAGCACACCAGCAATAACACCAATATTACACTAACAGGAGCACGCACCAGCACCAAAGCAAGACACAGGAGAAGCATCCGCAGTTTGAGTCTGTAGGCGGTTCGTCAAAGGGGTTAATTGGGCATTTATAAGGAGAGTTTGTAAGTAGACTGCCAGCAATAGGTCGAGCCTTCGTGGGACAGGTGGCTGCAGCCAAGCACAGCAGAGCGCTGCAGCAACTGTACGCAACGCCTTCGGCCGATGCCAGGCACAGTGACGACAGAGCCGCTGGTGCCGTTAAGTGTTGCTGCACTAACACTGCTGTAGCGCCCACCCAAAAAAAGAACGGTTCAACGAGCAACGGCACCATCAAAACGCGGTCCGCAACAAAGGCCGTGAGCGGACTAACTAGATTGGCGTCCTGGTACATAATCACAGCAAGCTTTCGAGCTTCCAAGCTTCCCAGATTACCAGGCAAGGGGCAGCCAACGATGGGTGGTCTTAAGCGGGCCATCAGCATGACGCTCGCACCATTCTACAACAATCACTGGCTGCCTGTCGACAGCCTGACCAAGGACCACCACCATCGGGGCTTCTTGGAGGGGCCGAGGGGCCAGAAATACGAGATTTTGCGGCGAAGCTCTTTTTTTTTCGGGGCACTTGGCAGGGTCTGGCCGGCTTTCTCTCTTTCTCTGCTCTATACGTGGAGAAGGCCTGCGTCACAGCCTGCCTGTTGCCTGTGCTTGCTTGGTACGCCAACAAGACGCCGCCGGGTCATCAAGGTGAATCACGGGAGCCGATGCCAAAATCTTCACACGGTCTGCGTCGGATCGAGGACATGTACAACAAGCCTAGAACGGAAATCCGAAAGCAAAAATGAAAACAGAAATGTGTGCGCGATATTATCCTGCCGAGTGGCAAATGCTCCCGCATGAACTGCTATGGCTGGCAGGCCGGCGGCGGCCTCAAGATAGGAGATAGAAGCTTGGAAGCTGGCTTGTATTAGGGATAGCGCTGCCAGGCGTTGGTAGCCTGCCGCAGCCTGCGCTAGCCTGGCGACGGCGTTGTGCCATCAGCCATAATGTGTTGGACGGGTGGATGGAGCTGCTCTAGCGCTCTAGCACATCGCGACCTTCATCAACAGTTGAGATGCACATGTCTGCCACAATACCATCAACCCTGCTCGACAGTAGCCTCGTTTCTTCCATCATTCCTCTTGTCATCAATCTACGGCACTCCGCCACGGGTCTAGTAGAGGACTTGACACTCGACAATCCAAATTCTATAATACGTGTTTGCTAATGCAGTCCCCGTCGCTATACATATCCCACAAAGCCACAACTACGAGACCCTACCCAGACCAGAGACGGCTCCTCATCATCGTCATCGCGTCCTTGACTTGGCCTCGCAGTCCACCAGCGTTCTGTCCCTTGCGCACACCATCGGCTGGCCCCCTGCCACTCGCTGCTGCTTCTCGTACGGTAATGCTCCGTCTGCCCGTCAGCGATCCACCCTCAACATCATCCCACTCGCCTGCCCAGACACTTCATGCAGCTCTCGCATGCATGGCTTGTCCCTCTGGCGGGTCGCGTCAATGGCGCAGGCTCTCTTTGCGACTGATTGGCCTCGGACAACCTGCTGGCGAGCCTGCCATTGAAGCCGGCCCGCGCTAGTTAGCCAAGGGGAGGTGAGGGGAACCGACCGGGAGCCACGACGCCCATGGATATTCCGCTACGAGTGGATAATTATGCCTCGAGGGACGAGTCGAGCAAGACCGGCGACCATTGAAAGAGTTTAATAAATGTGCACAAACTTCAAACGGCACGAGCAGGGCATTTGCACTGGATGCGGTCGCTGGCCAGCTCAACGACCAGCACAAGCAGAGCAGGCGCTCCAGCATTTCCCGCTCCAAACGCCAGGCTACCCGTCCGTGTTTTTCTCGTTGTCCGTCTTGGGACAAGAAAAATAGTCACCCGCATGTCTGTTGTGACACCTTGGAATTTGCTTGCGCAACCCGGACGGGATGCCAGGCTTTCGGAACTAGCCACACCACTAACTAACTAGTTGGCACCACAAGACTTGGGACGCGAGCCTCTTGGAACCCCATGTGGAACTTGTCATCGAGGCAGATCCATTGCGAACCAGCTGGGGCACGCGAGGAACAGGTCAAGGACAAAAAGGAACGAGGCCTTTTATTGGCCCAGATTCTAGTCCATTGGTCGACTACTAACTCCTGTTACTGATCTGAAGCACGGATACAACATTTGAAATAAGACGGCAGCAACATGTGGCCCTATTTCTCCACCAGCTGCTACAAAGAAAACTCTCCAATGACTAGCCGAGACCTTGTTATACAACTTAAGGGCAGTACTAAGCTTCTTTGCTTGAAACTTTTCAGATCGTTGCTGTTTCTCTTCCCATTTTCCCAATTATAGGGAAGATGGTGGCACCTCTCTATCATCTTCCCCAAATTTTGCTCTCCGGATCGCCTGCACTGCATAAAAACAACCAAATTGCACCTATTCTGCTAGGCAATAAGTTGGCGGACTTGCCAGACTTTGAAAAATGCCGTTGCAAAGGCTAGCATTTGGTGAAATTGTTCATTTCCCTTTTATAACACTCGACGACGCTACACTCCCAGCGACCCGCGCGCCTCGCCTCGCCGCTCCGAGACTTGTCACGCCAGTCTGGAATGATGGCGCGGAGCCAGTCAAACCCTCCGTACGACATCATGACAACGAACCGGCCAGACGGTTGAGTTCCTTTCTCCATGCCATCTCATGTGCTCCCATTCCGCGCGGGTCGCACGGCAGTGCCACCCATCGTACATCTGGTCTCGCGGCCAAGGCCGGCTCCGGACCTGCGATGATCGGGTTCGGCCTAGTCATGTACATGAACCCACATGGCTGCAAGGCATCACAAAGTCGCCTCCATGATAGCAAAACACGGCGCAGAGTACTTCGTATCGAAAAACTGGTCGAGAATTAGATGGCCGCTTGCTGCAGAATACAGGCCGTCGGATAAGTACCGCATTCAGTTGTGCCGTAAACATGCGCGGACACCGAAGCAGAGCCACCAAGAGAGAGGCTTGATCAAGTCCCTCGCAACTCAAACTTTATCGGCGGAACGCTTCGAGAGCCATTTTTGGAAGGCGGCGATTCTGCGGGCCCCGTGGTTTCACGATGGCATTTGCGCATGCTTGTTCAGCTGGATTGGGAACATGGGCTCAGCTGGCCGCCTGTGTTGAGATGGGGTTTGGGAGGAAAGATAGGGTTTTGCGCAGGGCAAGCCATACAATGCATGATGCACGCGACGTCAGTAACTACCGCTTTGTAGGCTCACATACCAAGTCGTCCGGAAGGGAGCGGTGGCATTTGCAGCGGAGGGCCATTGGTCATCAACTTGAAACGTCTGCATGCAGGAAGCACATGTCATGCAGACACTGATCTCCTTTCCCTTGCCTTTTTGCTTTTGCAACCCTTGTCCTGATCTCACAAATATTTCTGCATCTCATTACCCTGCGACATCCTCGCAAACAAACCCTTACGCCCTTTGAATCTTTGATCCCCGAACCCACGCTGGCTGCGCCCTTTGGTTCATTTTAAGCTTTTCTCGTCTGGTCGGGCCAAGATGTTGCCGCGCCCGCTTTCCGCTTGTTTCGTTTCGATAGCCTCAACAGAAAATTCCGAGAATAAAATTGACTTTTTCCCATAGTGCTGTTTTTTTCTTAGTCGTCCGGCCCTGGACTAGGTTCGGTTCCAGACGTCGGCCGGGACAGGGCGGGGGGGGTTGAGACGGATATTATTCACTGACTTAACTAGTCCGAACTCCATACGGATTAGTTATTAGGGGGGAAATGTCTGCGGACTAGGCTTCACATGATGGTTGCGGGCAAGTTCGTTGGATGGCGCCAAACTTCCCACACCTTTTCTATTTATTACCTAGATACTGTGGAAACGGGGGGGGCATCGGAGGCCTTGGCTGGCCATCTTCCTCCTTGGACGGGGGCTTGATAGGGCTCTCGGCTTGGCCGTGCAAAGGACAACAACTTGACACACAGCGCACACAAAAGGATTGAGACTCGTATCAGATATTGGCAGCGTGACATTATTTCGTACAGAAAAGGGGCCCCTGCAACCTCTCGTCTCAAACGTCGAGCATGAAGAAGATATAGAATGGCAATATCAGATGATTTAATCTCGTCATCCCCAATGTCCCCCATGTCCCCTGTTCTCCTCCACAGATTTGAAACCAGCATCAGCTCGACGTGCATCAACGAACAAAGCGCATGCTGTGCCTTTGCTAGCCGTGTCGCCGTGGCGCTGCCAATCCGGAGCGACGACTGCCAATTATCTGGTACCGAAATTTCTCCTAACCATGACCTTATTGGAGCAACTTGTCTCCATATCAATAAACCCTATCAATAACAACGGCATCATCACCTTCGAGCTTCCCCGGCAGTGCCGGACGTCTAGACATGCCGACTTCTCCACACAAATATCCTGGTTATCTTTCGGAGACTTGGGTGTGATTATCTCCTGTTGGCTACCTGTCCAGGATTTTTTTTGTTTTTTTTTCACGTGTTGAGACAAAGGCCGCGCGTAATAATTAGAGGCCCCCCTCTCTCCTGATGGTAATAAAAGGCAACTCGCTCCGCCCGTCGCTACGCAGCAAAATATGGCAGTGATATTCGTAAAATCCGCCATGCACCTAGAGATCTCCCAAGAACCACAAATTGACAAGGGGGTAGGGAGGCGCCACAAAACAAAAACGAGCCCTTGTCTGTAGTTGGAAACCGGGGTTTACCAATAGTTATGAAGTTGTCATCATCTTTGCCCACCAACAATCCGCTACCCTATTGCCGGTGCCTGCCCGCTGGTCGATGCCCTCAGCCGCGTTGGCCGCCGCTCCAACATGAAAGCAGTCTAACTCGTCGCCGATCTATTCTCGTAACGGCTGCACCATTTTTATTATGCATGAGACAGACGATGAATGCAGATTGTGGCAGGTCTTTTGTGTGGGAGGAGCACTGCCGCAATGGGGTGGTGCAGTGAGACGGCGTGCACGGTGCAACACCAGCTAGCCTATCGCCGTCCGTCCGAAGATCAGCCTCAAACCCGCGTATTCAGGACAAAACGTCCTATCTCTCTGACCTCGAACAACACGCGACATTCACCGCCGATTTCAACAAGACCCGATACTCGCTCTATAGTTGGCATCCCGCCGTGACTTGGAGATGATCGGTTGCAGCCCATCGCTCCCGGCTTTTCTCTGCCGTTGCCATTGCTTGCGACGACATTCGGGTGTTGTCTGAGACAACTCGGCTGCCGTTTGCGACATGGCAACGGCATGCAGCCTCGATCCACGCAGCCTAGTGAGCAAGCAAGCAAGCAGGCGAGCACGAACAAACTGGGGACGGGAAAAAAGGCGACTTGCGTTTCTGTTTTCATCCAATGATAGAAGAATAACGCCCCGACTGCAAAATATGGTAAACGGTCTCTGCTACCTGGAGCTGGTGGACGACCAAAGCAGCATGTCGAAGACGGCGCGTCGTTGCCAATGGCCGTCTACCGAGCCCCTCGAAGAGAACGGCCGTGGCGGACCCGGCGCCGCCTAGGAGCCTCGCGACGATGTGACGACGGTCCTCGCCGCCGCAGCTAGGCTCCATACTAGACCTCAGACACCGCTCCGAGGCCGTGCAAGGTAACATCACTCACTCGGTCTCCCGGGCTGATTCAAGAGTTCTGAAATAGAGCCGGAAAGTGATGGCAAAGACAAGACCAATGATTCCAATGTTGCTTGTGCTTTCAGTTGCTACTACTGCATGTTAAGCTCTGTGAGTTTTATACACACAAGGTAGTTACTCAATTTGTAGAGATGGCCCAACTGGCTTCGATATGTATTCAGCGCAACTCGCTAGGCTTCAGACCACTTGCTTCTCGCCTGGCAACCAGATCATAACCATTATCACTCAGCTTGAGTCTCTCGAGCTCCTCAAACACGAAGACCTTTACGAGTCGCCGCGTAGACACAATGACCTGACCATCTGCATCAGACACCTCAAACGAGACGCCGCGGTCTGCCGTGTCCAAGAACTTGATGGGCTCCGGCCACGCCGTGTCTGTGACCACGGTGTCGGCCCCATCCAGAACCAGCCGGGCATGTACCACGTACGAGTCGTATTCGTCCGTGCTCGTCCTCTGCCTGCGGATTGGACGCGACGAGCAGACCCTCGTCGACAATCTCCGTCGTGCCGTTGGCGCCCGCTGTGACGCGCCGGTGCGTCGCCGGCTGTCCGCCCCGAGATGAAGCGCACCACGACGATGCCGCCAACCTCGTCGACGCTGCTGCTGGCCGCGTCTGGTCCACCTGGCCGGTGCACGGCTTCGAGTTGTCGTCGACGCAGTGCCCCGTCTGCGTCCAGTCGTGGCGTGTCCGGGCGACGCCGACGTCCACCAGGCCGCAGCGCCCGCGCCACCGAGTAGTACGCGGGCTTCCTGACCAGGTAGGAGTCAACAAGGGCCCATGATCTAGAAACGTAAAGTGGTTTAACGTGTTTTTACAAAATGCTCCTAATATGCTGCTGCTGTGAAGGTTCAATCTTGCCGCTGGCGTGACCCTGTTCTCGTGCCTCGCTGCTTGGCGTAGTTGTGTGAGGGCCTTTTGGCAGCAGAATGACTGCAGTCAGCTTGACGATAAAAGCCTCTAGACGGGTCTACGGTGGTTCGTGAAAGTACATAATGAACCCCATGTACTTGTTTTACTCATACGTTGAGATCCCTCGCTCAATGCCTTTGCTCTCGTCACTCGTCACCCGTGCAAGCAATTATTCGTAGTATTTCAAAGACAAAGCTGGCTTAATGAAGCATGTATTTGTGGTTTCACTGAATTTCTCATTCTAGTTCGCTATGGATACAAGAAAATTGCGAATATGCGCTACATAGTTATCCTCGCTTTTCCCACCTCATATTCCTCCTTGCTGGGGTATCAAATTATGATATCAAAAGTACAAATAAATAAGCATGACCATAGTACGGCCTCCAAAAGTGGTATAGTTGTTGTATTCTCTCCCTTTCCAGAGGCACTGCACTCAATCGCCACGACGGCCGCGCTTGATTGGTGGTGGTGATTGCGAAGCGCTGGAGCTGTTCGCCCGTCTTCTCTTGACCGCCGCAGGACTTGACGACCGATTTCTGCCGTTGCCGCGCGACTCGCCGCGGCGTGGGGGAAGCGGTGACCGGCTGCGGCTGCGATCCTCCGTCTTGATGGGGCGGGTTCGTGGTGGCGGGGAGCGCGAGCGCGATCGTGACCGGGAGTTCGAGAGCGCGCGTTCGCTTTTGCGGGGCGGGCTACGGCTGACAGACGAGCTGTTCCGGCGTTTGTTCCGGGGTGGGCTGGCGTCACGGGCGCTGCCACGCGGCGGCAGGTTTACCGAGCGCGAGCGGCTCCGGGAGCGGGATGCATCGCTGTATGAGTCGTAGGAGCGGCTGCGCGAGCGGCTGTAGGAAGCGCGGCGGCCGCGGCGGGGAGGGCTCACCGAGGGGGAGACTCTGCGGCGGCCGCGACCAGCGTCAGAGACGGGACGGCTCCTGCTGCGGCTGCTAAACGAATCGGAGCGGGAGCGGCTGCGCCAGTGCGACCTGCCCCGGCTGCGATGGGAGGAGGAGGGGGACAGTGAGCGGCCGCGATCACCGTCGATGCGGCGCGGGCTACGCGAGCGACTATATGAGCGGGACCGTGAGCGCGAGGATCCGGAGCGCGAGGAGTAGCTCGACACCGTGTCCGAGTCCGAGTCGTCGCCGCGAGCTGCGGCTGCCGCAGCTGGGAGCGCCGGCTTAGGCATGTTCTGCAAAAACTCGCGCATTTCTTCGGTGAGGGCGCCGAGGCCGATGCTGGTAAAGTAGTTGATGGAGAAGCGAATGTTGCGAGCGCTATCTCTGGGAAACAGCCCGGCGAGGCTGGGGCGTAGCGTTTCGTCGGCAGCGCGCGCCTTGATCTTGGGCAGGCCAATCTCCTCGACGATGCTCTGGAAGAGGATCTTGATGAAAATGCGGCTGCTCGACGTCGTCTCGTCCTCGTTGAGGTGGATCACGGACAAGCAGTGCCAGCCAAGGGCGTCGGAGCCAAACATGTGGCCAAAGAGCATGGCAATGTTGCGCAGCTTGTTGTTCTCGTAGCGGTGAATAGTCTCGTAGTACTTTTGGAACGACTGCTCAAACAGGTCACACCAGAGGCGGTTGATCTTGGCGAAGCGTTCCGCAATCAGGCCAAAAAATTTGGTGTACGCCTTTTCTTGAGAGCAGCACTCTACAATCATAGAAGGCATCTCGGCTTCTTGGCCCGCGGGCAAGTTAATCTTCATGAGCTTATGCGTAGCTTCTTCGGGGTCGGCGCTTGACATGATGGTCAGGTAGATGGTGCGGCGCAGGTTGACCAGGTCGGCGTTTGACTGGTCCTTGATTTCCATGGCCTTGGTCTCTGGGTCGTCCTCCTCGTCGGAGCTCTCATCTTCGGCCTCGTCGCCGTCGTCTTCGTCATCGCTGGCTTCACCGAGGATTTCCGCCTTGAGGCTCTTGTAGGCCTCCTCGTTGTCCTCGTATTGCTCGTCAAACTTGAAAATGTTGAGGCTGTCCTGCACGTTGATGTCACCGTCGAGTTCGACTTGGTGCGTAATTTGGTCTTCTTCCTCGACGAGATCGAGTTCCTCCTTGACGGCCTGGTTGTCCTTGTAGCGGTCCTTGCGCACCTGAAAGAGGACTTCAATCATGTACTGCGTTCGCTTATCGATGCCAGCCTCGTGCAAGATGTTGCGAAACTGGTCAAAGATGACATTGGCAATCGTGGGCCGCATTTCTTCAAGGAACTGGCCGACTTCGCGGCAGAAGCCAACAGCAATTTCCACGCTGTCGTCCGTGGGTTTATTGAGCAGAAGGAGCAGGATCTGACCAGCCAGCATCTCGTGCTGGACTTGCTGGTTGATCAGGTGGGCCAGAAATGTCGTCGAGGCCAAGCACACCGACTTGTCGTTTCGCTTGAAGCCCTTGCGGAACTGCATGACCAAGCGCTTGATGAGCAGCTCGCCGACCTGCGGAAGCTTGGTATTGACAATGGCCACCATGGCTGCGTATATGGGCGTAAAAGGCAGACTAGCCGCCTGTGCTTTCATGATGGATCGGCAAAAGAGGCCGCGGCCGCGAATCAGGTTCTCGCTAAAGAGCTCGGGCACAATGTGCTTGATGTTGGCGGTATGTACTTTGTTGATGAGGCCGTTGATGCTCTTCTTGAGCGCCTCCCAGGCCATGCGCTGGTACTCCTTACTGGTCTTGTCGGTGATTTGCGACTGCAGGGCTCGCAGGCGCGCGGGAGGAATGTAGGTGCCTCCAGATCGCATTGTCAAGAGCTTTTCATATTCGGCCTTGGCCGCCGCTTGCTTCTGCTCCTCAGTCGGGACGGGCGGGGGGGTGCGCGATCGCGGGCGGCCGCCGGGACGGTACGAGTCACCGCCCTCACGACGAGAGGCACCGCCGCGCTGGCTGCGATCACCGCGATCACGCTCGCGGCGCGGGATGCCTACTTCGGCCGACGCCATGCTGACGTTATGGGTTGCGATGAGAAGCCGCAGAGGGGCGCGGGTGAGTGTCGATGGATGTGCGAGAGGCTAAAGTGTTGAACGCTGAGTTTGAATCGGATCCTTGTGAGAATGACGACTCTGGTTAGGAGAAGGCAGCAGGGCTCGTTGAGCGGTGTTGTGCTTGGATACGCAGAGAAACTGCTGAGGCTGAGAAACTGATGAGGTTGGAAAAGTCGAGGGCACGCGCCAGACTAAAAGAAAATTAAAGCGGGTCTCGACACAGGCAATGCAATCAGGCAATCACTCCCTCGTGGAGGGAGACACGTCTACCTTTATAACTTCACTGGCGATATTTGAAAGGATGATTAGCTTTTCCATTTGAAAGTTTTCCTTCTTTAGACTTTCCTTTACTAGACTTTCCAGAGATTTTAGATTTTTGTTCTAGATTTCTCTCTAGAGTTCTTCTTAGATTTTTCAGAGTTTACAGGTAAGGAGTGCTGCTAACTGCAAAAGACTTGCCTCTGGCTGCCGCGAGCCACGATATTGACTTTCAAATTGTACGGCGAGGAAGTTTAGTAATGTTGTGAAACATGCGTCTATTTTTGTAAGGTTTTGAATAAATTAGAATTGCTAGTTGCGCTTTTTGTACAAATTCAGTTTTCTAGATGTGATTCAATCCAAGTCACGAGCCCTCAGTGCGCCACATGTGGCTGCTGCCACTGGTGTAGGGGCCACTGCCACACCTCTCGCACGCGCCTCCTGAAGGTCGCGTTGACCGAAGAAGCATAGAGTGAGCTACCGAGTTGCGACGACACCATCTCCTCTCAACCACGCTCCTTTTTTAAACAAAATTCGTCCTCGAAACGACTCCACGACCTATTGTACCACCACTCACCTTAGTCGCATTCTCCTTCTTCGATTTCGTGCCCACCACAATGGTACGTCGTCCCCCCCGCGCTGCCCCTAGCAGCGGCGACGTCCAGTCGACACATGGACGCACCGCCTCTCCCTCCCCTGAATGCGCGCCTCGCAAGGACGTCGAGAAGAAGACGCGCGTGGCTAACTCGCTCTACCGTGAACCAGTTCGACAAGCTCGTCGGCCTCGCCATGCTCGTGGCCGCCACCGTCGTATTCCTGTACTATACCGTGTGGACGCTCTTGATGGTACGTAACAACTTCTCCTCCCCTATAGCTTTGCCATTGCGCTCCGACGCATGGCCGACATTGCGTTGAGAGCCCTCGACTGATCGCTTTTCTGATTTTCTTCCGCTCGCGCAGCCCTTCGTCGACGATGACCACCCCCTCCAAAACTTCTTCCTCCCCCGCGTCTGGGCCATCCGCATCCCCGTTATTCTCATCCTCATCGGTTCCGCCGTCGTCGGCTCCTTCCTCGGCATGGTCATGATTCGAAGCAACCGAAAGAAGGCCGCCAAGGCCAAGGCTGCCGCCGCCAGCAAGAAGAAGGCGTAATTTCACTACCGCAAACGAGCTCGCTACGCTCCAACAAGTGCCAAGACCTCGCACGTACAACACCATACTTCAGGAGCCGGGAGAGGTCAGGAACCAGAAAAAATCAAGTCTTTGTTTTTTGCGGCCAAACTGAATTGGTACTATCGGGGGTATCTAATATGGTTTCTATTCGGTAATGAACAAGTGCACAGCTTGCCGAATGCAAGTCGACGACAAAACGAGTTTGTTATGGATCCGGAGGATAGAAATGACAAAATAATAAGTGAAAAATACCATGCAAGGCATCGTGGAAATAGTGCAACGTGTTTGTTTGTATAATGTCTGTGAGATACCAAACTAACAAAAGAGCTGAGAAGTGGCACGGTCAAAGACGATCCCAGAAAAAGCACACAAGGTTCAAAACGCCGTAACATTCCGGTACCAAGGAACTCAAATCCTCAACTATACCCTTTGATCGGCAAAATCAAGCACCTCACAGTCGTCCTCGAAGAATCCGTCCTCATCCGGCTCGCCATGGCGACCTCGTCGGCGTCTTGTTGTCACCACAATCTGCTCCTGGTCACCTATCTGCATAAGCCTCTCCATGGCAGAGGGCGGTAGTGCCTGGCTGTCATCGATGCCGTTCAAGTCATCATCTGCCGATGCCATGATACCCATGTGCAACAAGTTGGTGGGAATATCAAGACCAAAAGCCCAAACACTGGATTCTGAGTCATGAATCGCACCTGACCTCTGCTGTCGGCTCTTTTTCTTCTTGAATGACTGCTGATGATCATCCAGACTAGTCTCCGTGAGGAGTGTTGTCACCGGCTCCACCTGCCCATCTCTGCCGTATTCATACACAGCAACTCGGCGATCCGAATGAAAGGGTTGATAAGGAGCGCTAGTCTCTATCTCAGCCTGCGGAATAGCAGAAATCATACCCTGGTTTCGCTTGGCCTTGATGGCGTGGCGGTTGAGAGTCATGGTGTTACCCGTGTCCATCTCCAGGTCGGACAGGTCCAAGTGGTCCTCTGAGGTGTCACCCTCCAGGAATCGCCGAACAATAGGCGCAAGCCTATCATGGGGGAGAATGGGAACGTTCATGTCCTTATACTGGCTCGCGCGAGACAATCTCTTATTTCGCTTCGAAGTAACGCGCCGACTTCGGCTGGGATACTTGCGCACGATACCGCCACCCAGAGTATAGAGGTGCTGTGATTTGCGTGTCGAGTGCCATCTCACACACTGGGGCGACGGAAGACTCCGAATCGAGGGCAATGACACTCGGTTCTCCCCCGTATGCCGAAGTTGATTTATGGCGGAGCCAGTTTTGCCAAGAGAGCTGCTAATACTAGCGGCAATGACTCGCCCTCCCTGTGCGGCTGTGTCCCGAAATGTGCTTGTGGTCACCCCAGCACTGTTACTACTGCTGCGACGGGAACGAGCGACAAACGGTTTTGCAGCCTGGTAGGCGGCACCGATGGCCCCAGACGCGATCGAGACTGCAGAGCTGGTGGGCTCTGACGATTCGGCACCAGCCGTGGGTGCAATCTTACGCCGGCGAGGAGGGGGCCACATTGATGCACTGAAAGGCATGTCCAGAAGGTGTACAGTGCCGCGCTCAGTTACCATCGCAATGTGGTCTTCTTGAGGCCCTGTCCACGACACATCAACAATGCGCGCAACCGTCATGCGAGAAAACTGTGCCACCTGCCTCACTTGCGGTCCGACGTTGGCGCTTGGCGAGACGGAGGCCTGAAGGGGAGATGAGTGCGTATGCTGGATCCGGAGCAAATCCCAAACGGTTTGGATATCGCCCTTGGTACTCGCGGTGAACAGATTCAGCGATGAGGGTGAGAAGGATAAGACGCTGCACCCGCCGGGAGGCGCAAACGTAGCCAGCGGATGGACCGTGGAGGATAGGGGTAGCGACATAGTGTCAATGAGGGATACCATTCCTGGATCCTTCGAGGCAGCATTTCCGTTCGTACCGTGGGTGGGTGGGAACTGTGTCGCATCCTGCCTGGTAGCCTGCGTCGCGGTCCATTGCTGAGGAGGCGACCGAGCCTGCTGCTGCGGAGTTTGTGTCGTGTTTCCCTTGTTCCAATAGGCGTTCCATGCCTGCAGTCCTTGCTTGCCAACCCATTTAGCACCTTGAATAAGCTCCTGTGTTGTCTCGCGCATGATTTTGTTCACCATGCTGTCAGAGATGGGCAATTCCACAGACAGGCTTGACTGGGGTATATGAGGTGGCGCCATTGAACCGATGCCAGGGCCGCGGCCGAGGATCGGTACAGGGAGATGGGCACGAAGAGAGGTTTGCGACGAGGGAGCCGCTGGACAATAGGCAACCCATCGACCATTGAGAGCGATGACGGGGGTCTGAGGATTGAAGCGAACCTCGATGGTCGACGACGCGGCCTTACCTGTCTCTTCCACAACTTCACTACGACGACTGTGTTGAAGCGACGTCCATAGTTTTCCAATGCAGGCAAATACATGGCCGTTCTGAGGTTCTGGAAGGTGGGTGTAAGCCCAGCACTCGCCTGTGTTACCGGAACAAACGAGGACGGTTCCCCCATCTGCTTTGATTGTGAAAGCGCCACTGGGCGATGGAGGCTTGAAGAGGGTGCTTGCTATCGAGACGCCGGCATTGACGGCAATTCTCGGCGCCTCGAGAAGCACATCGATGGCCTTGGAGGTTTTGAGGGAGTACACTTCAACAGTGGTTTGGTAAAAGTCGATACTGGGTCCTGTCCGGTTGAAGCCTTCCTGGTAGGTTGTCACCGATCTGGGGCTGGCCGTGCCCTCTCTCCTAAGATTGTCCGATGCATCCTGTGTTGCTGCATCACTGGCATTTCGGGTGGGAAGCACGGGTCCATGCACGGTCACGGCAATTAAAGGTCCGACAATGTCCTTGGTGCTGAACGTCCAGGGCAAAATTTTGGCGTGATGCACTGTACCACGCAGACCTCTGAGACATGCCGTAGGTTCCAGTCCTCTTTTAGTGATGGCATAGACGTCAAGGCCACCATTGTATCCCGCCAGTACCACGTCATCCGAGCCAGCAGAGACGTCATCCAACCGGGGTAGGGTATCGAAACCAAAATACAGGCCAGCATCGCCAGCCTTGAGTCCAGTCTGTGGTGTCGAGGTCATATCAATATCTGGAGCTCCATAAAAGTGCGCCTGGGGTTGGTGAGGGAGTGCTGGTTGCGAGGCTAGACGACTATGCGGGAACGGGGAGTGCATCGAGGTTGGCCTCCCAGGAGCACCTGCCGCGCGTGGGGGTGTCTCGCCGGCCGGGAAAGGGGCATCCATATGGTAGCTGAGGGGTCGGCGGCTGGGAGGAGACGGAGAGGCCGGCGACGGGGTCATGAAGTTGCGTTGACCCCAGCCCTGGTGAAGACGACCAGAGTCCTCATACGAAGAGGGCTGGGTCGGGGGCGACTCGCCCATCAGACTAATGAGGTTGCCAGGGGAGCCGGCCATGGCACCACGCGCCCATTCATTCATCATGCTGGGGGCAGTGCTTGCGGAGATTGCATCCAGCATAGGTGATACCTCGGCGTGGCCATTCGGGACGGCGACGGGATTGAGATCCGGGGTGTTCATGGAAGGTGACGACTCGTCCGAGGTCGGTTGGCTCTGGTTCGAGGGGGTGCTGCTGGCATTATCAAACCTATGCATGACGGAATCCAAGTCAGCATAATGAAAAGGGCGTTTTACCATGAGGGAATATATTGTTGTTGAAGATGCCAGCAGAATAAGCGGCAGGGTTGAGGTCACGGGGCGGGGGGTCGGGGGACTAAGGGAGGGGGCGGGCGAGGGAAGCTCACGAGAACTGAGCGGCACCGTGCTCGGTCACCGCAGTTGCGATGCCTCCAACGGCGACTCTGGTACGTTTCTTGTCTTTTTTGGCCATCATTGATATGCTCAGAGACCTGACGCTGGGCGGCCTTGGAGGCCGAGGCGGCCGTGTTGGTGTCGCGATGCAGTAGCTGGCGTAATGGGCATAGAGCCAGTACCTATGGTGGGGTGTAATGGAGGTAGCTACCAAAGTTGCAGGGTGAGTTGAGGAGCTTCCTGTCGGGTATTATCGGGATGCGGTTTGAAATATGGAAAGTAGTCGAGGGTGTCGTATTAAGTATATACACACTTCGAGTTCGATCTCGTTGTACGCGATACAAGCGTGGTCGGCGTGGGTAATTGGAACCCTCGAGGGATAAGGAACGGCGCGGTGGGCTTGAGGTAGGTACTGGAAGTGGCGGGGCAAACGGCGCAGCCGCAGCAAGAAGTCGTCTATGAACAGAGAAGAAGGAAAGAGAAAATATGGACAAATAAGGAGATCTATTGAATAATGCGGTGGTTGAGATATCGAACGAGCGCGAGATGTTGATTTGGAAGCGTTTGGAGATGGTCAGAGAGTTGGTTGGAAAGAAAGGGACAAGACAAGAGACGGGGAGAAGAGCCAGGCCGAGCAGCGGCGAGGACGTGACTGATGTCACCTGTATGGCGCTTAGAAACGGGGGCCATCAGGTGCGTGGCAGGCTGCAGCTCAGGCGCTGGAGCCTGCTGAAGGACGCCGGAGCACGCTGGACAGACCGCGTGCACCGCTAAGGACTGCTGTAAGATTGATGTGGGGAGGGAGCGGGGGATGTGCTGGGACGCAAGGGTGGGCGAGACCATGTACCGAGTACAGAGCATCCATACCTCGAGAAACGGCAACCCGACAAGCTGCTTGCAGGATGCGCGCTGGTGCGGGCCAGCGCAGCTGAGGCCGACTCCCCGTTGTTCAGAGACAAGGATCCCGGCCACATGGGCTGCAGCTCTGGCTGAGATGGCCTCCGTGAGTCCGAGGCGCATGTACCCGGTACCTCTTGGCCGTGTGCAGGCTAATGACGTGCAGCTTGGCCGCACAGAACTCTGGCCAGCAGCGCCACCGGCCAAGTGAGTAACAACAGGCTACGCGTGCTGGAATTCGTAAATTGCCGCTAATCTCTTTACAGCCAGCTCCCGTTTGCTCAGCCTAAAAGAGTAGGTGTGTATCACGTGGAACTCCTAGCCTACAGCCACAGCCACCCGCTGTCAGAGGGAGGCAATGTCCCATCATCAATATCGGGATCCCATGAGTCAATCAGCACAGTCATGACGACAGGCCGTGACATATCGGCCTCATTAATGCGCAAGTCTACAGGAAGATGGATGCTCAATGAGGCTCTTCGGGGCGGCATCACACAGCAGGTTGTTTCATACCTCATCACTTCGCGTTACAGTATTTACTGCCCGTTGTTTTCACCTCTGCATTCTCCTTTTTACTCTATATTTTGTCTACACTCTTCGCACTTTTGCTATATTCTAGAGTTTTCTTTTTTTTATACGCACACTAATTGCGCTGCCTGCCAGAGCCGTGTCCTCCCTCAGGCGTCGCGCAGCAGCCTCATAAGCTTACTAAAGTCCCTCGGCTCTCCCAGACCGGTGAGGGCATCCCAACCACGCGCAGCCGTCCAGCCAGCCGTCGCAAACTTGCACCGATAACTCTTGCCCTCGGTGACATCTGTCAGCGCAGCCACGCCCTCCTTGGAGTACAGGATCTCGTTAAGGAACCCAATCGACTGCTTGCCGCCGCGGAGACGGGCATCATTGACCAGCGCAATCATGGCGGCAAAGGTCGGCGCGCTGGCGCTGGTGCCCCAAACGCGCTTGGACGTGCCGTTGACGATGATGGAGTACTCGTCCGCCACGACCGAGACATCGGGGATGCCACGACCGTTCTTGTTGTAGTACCCGTCCAGGCGGCCGTTGAGACCCTGGATGTAGGCAGCCGCCGCGCCCGCCTGCCACGAGGGGCGGCCAAAGTAGTACGAAAAGCCGCCGGAGCTGAAGATGGCGCCCTTCTGCGGGTCGGTCCCGTGGGTGGTGCCGCCGACCGTCGTGACCCAGGGACAGCTGGCAGGGAATGTCGGCATAGTGGTGTTGGTGTTCTTGCCGTCGTAGGTGCGGCAGTTGCCGTAGTGGCCGCCCGTAGAGCCGCCGTCACCAGAGGCGTGGATGATGGTGGTGCCGCGCTTTGTCAGGAGACCGTACGCATCGCAGACACGCTTTGCGTACTGCTCGGGGACGCTGAGCTCATCCTCGCCGTACGACACAGACAGGACGTGGGGGATTTGGTCATCAGGCTTGTCAAGGAGATGGTTGACAAAGTCCAGATACGGCTCATTGTCGGACTTGTTGCTGGGCAGTAGCTGCCCTTCAGGGCCAATCATGGCTCCCCGGCCACCGGTAGCGTAAAAGGTGACGGCGGCCGGGTAGCCGATGCCCATGCCATACTCGAGATCCAGCACGGCCTCGACTCCGGCCGGCGTGCTGGGATCCTCGCCTCCGTTGACCTTTTCGACGGTAAAGTCATAGTTGGTGATGTTCGTCTGCTCCATCAGGAACTTCTTGACATCGTCATGGTTGGCGTTTTGCTCAAGATAGCCAGAAATGCCAAAGCGCACGGGAGATTTTCTGTCCGGGGACTTGTATGTGATGTTGTACAGCTGCTTGAGACAGCTGATACCAACAGCATCAGAGCAGGGGACCTTGGCCGTGGCCTGTGTCCTGTTGGCCGCCGCGTGCTTGACAAGTTTACTAGCAACGTGAGCGTCGCTCGGCGAAGGCCGCATAAAGTTGGAGACGGGATAGACGAAGCTGATGGCGTCGACCAGGTCCTCCGGGATCGAGTACTCGCGGGTGCGGAGCTTGGCCACCTTGCCGCCGTAGGCGTAGTGATTAAACTTGCTGTGCAAGAGCTTCTCCGCCTCGGCCACGGTCGTCTGGACGCGAAGCACGTCCTGCTCCCGGGTGACGTGGAAGATGTTCTCGTCGCGGAGCCACTTCAGGACGCCGTCGACGGCCGACTCGTCCGGCGTGCGCAGCGCGTGCACCTCATCCAGGCCGAGGCGCCGGCCGCGCTCGGCCATGAGCGCAGGCACGTCCATCTTGGGCTGCTTGAGCGCAATGGAGAAGCTGATGCCACGAGCGGCGTCGACGGCATTGTCCAGCTGCGTCCAGTCGGCGGGAAGCACGGGCACCTGTTCGAGCACAACACTGCTGGCGCTGGCACTGGCCACCAACGCAGCGACGAAGAAGGAGAAGGAGGGCATAATGGATTAGTGCGCCGATTCGGATGTGCGGCGTGGAAGGGACGAGAAGCTCATCAAGACGTCGAGGATGGATGGCCCTTTAATACGAGACGACAGGGAGCAGAACCGCACACAGACAGCGTGAACCCGGAAACGAGATCACTGCACCCATTATAGTTATAGCCACCCTGCTGGTTTCGGAAATTGAATCCGAGAAATTGTGGTGCATGTCGTGAGCCTGGTTCACTGACCAGGTGCCTCCGGCGGCCAGCCCGATGCGATGCAATCTGGAAAGCTAGAAAACGAGGTGGGCTTCCTGTGGTGTGGTCTTTGGCCAAAATGGCCTTTCGTGGTTCCTGCATGGATCCGGCCCTGCCTGGAGGATGAGAAACCGGGCAGGTCCAATCCTCACAGACCAGAAAGCCCGATGAATATAGGCCAGGGAGCGTTTCCTTTCCACGCCGGCGGGCCTTTGTGATAGTAGTATACGAGCGATATATTAGGACCACTAAATTGATAAAGGTGCTATTTATTGTATATTGCAAGTTAAAAATCCAGCTTATACCTCTGACTCCGTAAATAGCCCTGTTTAATTTGGTTAATTTCCAATTTCCAGCCCATGTTACACGATCGAATGATGCAGCGTCTCTCTACTGTTGCTGACGCTGTGGCGTTTCGCATCTTGCAGAAGCTTGTACAGTGGGTCTCGGTACTTCTAATGCATTATTATTGAGGTAAATGGGCGCGGCCACACTTCCCTCTGAATCGAACTTGATCATGGTTGGCCGTGTAGATCGCGCTAGGCCTTGTTTCCAGTGAGGTTTTGTCCAGAGCTGCCTTGGGTCAGGCCATGTGCGTCCGTCCCAAGTAGCATTTTTATATACTGTCAATTATGAGCAATCACCTCCCTACAGGGACATGAGTCATTCGGCAGTTCTCCCCCCGCTTCAAAATGGGTTGCATCGCATCGCCAAGTAGATGGGACGTCCCGGCGCCGTCGGGATGCCGGTGGCCGGCGTCTTTCTTCCCTACACCCCAGGGAACACCAGGATATCGAACCATTACAGGTCAGCAAGCGCGGTTAGTCAAGATATGTCCGCTGGCGCTCCCAACATCTCATTTTGCTGCTGTTGCTATACAGGGTAGTGGGGGAGTTGAGTGGCATTATGTACCACGCTATCGAGTATTCTGAGCAAAGGGTGTATAGTTTCAGCTACGGTAGGCTCGTGGAGAAGAGACTCCTGTGAATAGGGCAAACAGTCGAAATTCCTGTTAGATTGCTATCGAGCCTTTGTGGCATCCATACACGGTCCCTAGCCTCCCATGGAGAATGGCCAACATTTGGAAAGATTCACCTCTGAAGCCAAACTCGATATTGCGAAAATTTCCACTCCTCTTTCGAACCGTCCACAACCCTGGCAAGAGTAGCATGTCCCGCCCACGGCACGACAAGCGCCTGCCCCTCCCTGGTCTTGAGGTGCACGTCGCCAAACAGCATGCACTCGCACGCCGCACCATGCTCGTCCTGGAAGCTGGCCGGGAACACCTTGTGCACCGTGTGTCTGCGCTCCGCCACGACGTTCCACATTCTGCCGCGGAGCTCTCGAATCGCTGCGTTGTTGGCCAAAGTTGGTCATGTACAGAAGGGGGTCAAGTTGGCCCACGAACCTGGCAGGCCGCGGCCCGTGTCGTTGCCCATTGTGACCTGGGCGTCGTTGGTAAAGTGGCCCACCCACAGCTCGTTGGAGGCCGGGTCGTCGGAGATGCGGTAAAAATTGGTGAGAAAGGTCCGGATCGCTGGGTCTGGGAGGACATCTCGGACAGGGTAGATGGGAGAGTATCCGCCTTGCTCCGAGGACGCCATGGTGAGGGGTGCAAGGTAAAGCAAACTAAAGTTGTGTCTAAACCGATGTAGTGTCTTATGATCTATTCGACAACAACTGTGAGAGGCAGAGTATATATGTAACGCGCCAGCTTCGGGTTCGCGGATGACAGCATCGGCGGGGCTCCCATACCCGACGCGGGCACCCCACATCCGACCGCCGCATCATCCGATCGGTGAAGTAGAGTTGGCATTGATTCCTAGTCGACGTATGAATCATGTTTATATTGGTTTTGATATTCGTCTCCGTAACTTCTCGTGAAGCTGAAATCCTACATACTGCAAAGATGAGAAAACGCCAAACACACACTACGTAATAACAAAGAAAGCAACCGTCTCGCGCCACCTGGCCCGCTCCATGACTAGCCGTTGGACAAAAAAAAAGTAGTCGAGTGCTGCCTTGGGAGAAACCCTGCTGGAGTATACCCCAGGCAGCAGTGATAGCTGGCAAGATATTGCCAAATGTTTTCAGGACAAGAAGAGTATACCGTACTCGACGTGACCCATTGCTGCGGTTGTCTTTCCAGGTAGATCATGGCAAGACATATTGTATTATTTCCTAACGCCGCGAGCGCTCACCTCGCCCTTTTCACCAATGTTTAGGAGCCGTCGACAGTCCGGGCAGTACCATTTCGTCGTGCGTGCGGGAATGTCTTCGAGACCAACACACTCAATGTGGAACCACTCATATTTGCAATTCTAGCACACACGTTAGTAACAAGGACAAGAGATTCCAGCTAGCCATCACCGCAGCGCATACCGCCGAGTGCTCGCATTGAATCATGGTACCGAAGCTGACCCCGTTGCAGACACAGTAGCGCGGCTCGTTTGGGTCAATCGGCTTCCCCTCGTCGTCCACCTCCTCCATCTCAACCTCTGTCTCCAGCAGCCCTGTCCTGTCCTTTTTGAGAGCGCGCGCCTTCTTCTTGGGCGCGGCTTTCCGCTTGCCGACGGCGCTGTTACCGCCGCTGCTCGTGGTGCTTACTATTCCGGGAGCAGGACGCTTCGTGCGCCGCACCAGCGGCTTGCTCTCTGGTGCGGGTGTGTTTCTGGTTGTGCTTGCGCGGCGCGGGCGGTCCGACGCCAGGGAAGGTGGCTCTTGACTCGTAGCGTTGCCCCGCGATCCGGGACGCCGGTTCGGCTCTGCGATAGGCGTGAGACCGCGCGATACAGACCGTCGCGAGCCAAGTTCAGGCTGCTGCGGCGGCGGCGGCGCTGCCAGCTGTGTCTTTTTAGCCTCGCGCGACGGGACGTCCCGCATTGGCGGATAGACTGGCGTAATGGTATGCCTTTGTTCTGTTTTTGGGAGTGGGACCGGTGTCTGCGCTGGTGCTGGAGGTTTCACTGGCACCGAGGTGGTAATGGTAGGAGTGCTAAGGTCTGCCGGAGAGGCTGCGGAAGCAGATCTGGTATATATCGGGATAGGAACAGGTGTCTGAGTAGTCGGCGGCGGCACACTGCTCGAGGGCGTGGCAACGCTCGATGTTGCCGACGTTTCGTTATTGAAGCTTGGATGTCGCGGCGGCGGAACGGGTGTTTCAATCTTTGTGCGCTTCGTGTTGCGAGGCGTCTCTGCCGGCGCGGGTGTTCCCTTGTCGTCTTCAGCATCACCGTCCCACTTACGCTTCGGTTGATTGCGAGAGCCAGATCGTGATTTACTCGCTTGCTGATTCCGATCACCACTGGCCTTATCAGTGTGTAGGAACAGCTGAGCAGCTTCCCGCATTTTACGCGCCGATTCTTCAGCTTCCTCGGCAGCCTGCTTCGCTAAGGCTTCCCTCTTAAGTTTCTTAGCTTCATTCAGTTTCATGCCCTTGTTGCTGGTCGGTATATCGCTGGCATCGAGCAACTCGGCACTGATGGCGCCAGCAGGCAGCTGCTGAGAGCCCGACTCATCATCCGTCACCAGGGTCGGAACTTGGGCGTCGAATGCACGCCCTTCCTCCTCGGCCTTCTTTTTCGCCTCCCGATAGGCTTCCGGTCCACGGCCTAGGGATTTCAGCTCTCTGGCAATCATTGTCTCGCTAGGAGCCCACGCCGCATTCTTCTTCATGCGCTTCCTGAGCACAGCTAGTTCATAGTGGGTAAGCTGTAGCCAGGGCGCATCCTTGCTGCCAACGGCCACATTCTGCGGCGGAGGATTCAGCAGGGCAGCCGCATTCGCGGCAGCCGCGGCACTCATTGCGGCGGAAGGATATGCGAGCGATCGTGCGGGGCGGTTTATCGTCTTTGGCATCCCTCGACTGGTAGTAAGCTTGATCTTAGGCGGGCCAGGTGTTCTGCGGTTGGTGGCCGCGTCCGACTCTTCGTCGGTGCTGATATCGCTGTCATCGGAGAATGTGTCGTATTCAATATCGTACGGCGCCAGAACCTCGCCAGGAACTGTGATTCTGGGTACCCTACGCCGACTGATCTTCTTGCCATCTTGCCCGGTCGGGCGAGCCGTGAGCTTGGCGCGCGTCATTTGCGGTGACCTGGCGCCGGTTGGGCTCTTTTGATCTTCGACCGGATAGCTGTCCATCATTGTCTGTAGCTTTTCGACGAGCATCTTTGCTTTGAAGTAATGGCGATTGACGTTTTCCGACATGCGCACCGCCTCGGTATGGGCAAAGGTACGCGAGTCGACAGCATGTTTGAGGTGCTTTGATATGTCGGCACGAATCTGACGTGGTGCTGGGCGCTCCCGCGCTGGTATCGAGGGCAAGCGAGCCCATGTTGTTGTCAACTCGTCGACTTTGAGCGAGGCTTGGTGGTACCTCTCGTCAAGCTTGGCGATTAGCGTAAGGGACCTGACGACGTCGGCTGGCAGGTAGTCGGTGAAGTCGATGAAGTCGGTGACGGTGTTTTGTGCATCTGGATCGGCGCGTGCCTCGAGGGAGCTTCGTAGGGATGCGACAGGTCCGTCGCTGATGCCAGAGGTGTCTTTTGGTGAAACCACCTCAACTTTGGCGACGGGCGCCGTGTTTCCGTCCGCCATGACACCTCTGGGGGCCTACCCGATTCGCGGCAGCGTCGAAATACGGTGAGGCGCTGGAGAACCTAGTTGATCAGATCCCATCAGCATGCGCATAATGGTTTGCGTCTAGGTTGCCTTTGTCTCGCAAGTCGGCGTTGCCTCATCGCGTTGCGACACAACCCTCTGCTTGAGTGGGTCCATCTTTCTGCCTGTCGCGCCTTGGTCGCGGCTGGCGCTGGCTTATTAGCTAATCAATTTCCTGGTTGCGCAGGACACAGCCAGGACAAAGATCAATCCCAAACGAAAAAAAGATTTTTTTTGGTCCCCTTTCTTGTATTGTTGTCGCGATCGCTCGTCGTGGTTCTCTGGAACTGTTTAGGAGCACCTTGTGTGTTCGAACTGCAGTAACGCGATGCCAATATCGGCGGTATTCGTGATGCTTCATACGAGGATGCAAAATGGGCAGCAGAGAAAACGAAGCGGAGGAAACAAAGTTTATTTATAAGACCGGGCTGCTCACTACCCGAAATAGCAAATATGCACTGTACCACTGTGGAAGGTTGAACAAGAAACCCCTCTATTCGCACTTTTCAGTCTAATTCCTCTGCTTTCTATCTCTTGCCATGCAGCTTCTGCTTGATCTTCCTGAAGCTCTTCATTCCTTTGTCCAGGACAAAAGTAGCGTATTCTCCGTGGCCCTCCATTGTTTGTGAAGATCGTTTTTTTATGTTCATGTATTCGTCTCTGTCGGACTCCCGCTCTCCGATGGCCACAAAAATGCCCGTGAACCGGAAAAGAATGACGTTGAGAATCAGTCTACACATGCGGCCATTTCCATCCAAGAATGGATGGATTTGTACAAATTCCAGAGAGTACTTTGAAGCGAGAGAGAATGGGTCAACGCTCTTGCTTGCTTCAGCTTTGTCGATGTCTTGTTCTAAATCGACGCAGAGTTTTGCCATTTTGGACGGGACGTGATGGGGAACCACGAAATTCGTGTTGCCAGCTCCGACAATTTCCTTGCGATAAAGTCCAGCATACTGTTCATATGGGGTCTCGGGACCCACTCGGTGAACTACTGGGACGCCTTTGCAAAGGATCCGATGCGTTTCCTTGATAAGTTCTTCGGTCATTGGTTTCTTTTCAATCGCAAAGTTTTGAATCAGATGTTGAAATGCTTTCACGTGTTGGACGATCTCCCGTCGGCCTCTGAGTACAAGTTGAACAGACTTTTCTTTTAGGGGAGGATCGATGCGATAAATGTCTGCCAGCTTTGCGATGTATCCTGGTGTGCGTTCGTCGATTTCTCCAACGTCTTCGCCACGCAAAATCTTGCGACACAGGTGGAGAGTGATGTCAAGATTGAGGCCAGCATGTTCGATTGTGTTGCTTCCAAAAATGGCATGCATCATCATGGCTTCAACCTCGCTGCGAATAAGGGCTTGTTCCTCCTCGCTCCGTGAAATAGACTTCACGCTCTCCATGTAGGAGATTGCTTTGTTGAACAGAGCCGCAGGATCCTGGCCAGTCGCATATGTTCTGTAGATATTGTCGGCACGAATGGTTATCGAAACATCTTCCATGGCAGGCGATTCTGCAAACATGTTTGCCGGTGTGTTGATGGCTGATGCCAAAGAGTGGGTTTTCTTATTAGAATTATTAGAATTCTTATCATCCTTATCACCCTTACTATTTTTATAATTTTTGTAACCTTCTTTATTAAAAAAAATCAGTTAGAATATTCCGTTTGCACTGGCCTAGCAAACGCCGGCCTGCAAGTGGCAAGTGGCAAGTGGCACGATGACTCCCGCCACTCGATAAGGTTTTCTAACATAACCGAAAGAAAGTTCTGATAGAAGGACAGGAGACGCGCTATCCGAGACTGTTTGGATCGGATAGAATAAATTATGAATTGGGAAGATAAAAAATAGAGGATATTGCCACCGTCGCTAGGAGATCTCTTGCTACAGAACGGAAGGCGCGCTTTCAGGGCCAATTTAGGTCGGATAACATAAAAACAACTTGGGAAAATAAAAAAATGAAAATAGAGGGTTTGCCCCTCGTTCTAGTGACTCATCGCCTCAGTCGGTGGCCAAACACTAGACCAACATATGCCACGACGCGATACACTGTCCCGATACCAACCAGAATGGCCATGTTTCGCCACAGGAAGCTCAAGTGAAAGCCCGTCGCCTTTGAAGCCAGATCAACACTGTACAGATACCGCAAGGGCTCCACCAGCTGGGCGAAATACAGCTCTGCGAGCCAGGTACCGGGCGAAGCACGCCAAAGCCATTCCATGTGCCACTTTTTGGCGCTCGAGAGCGGCGGCGCCGACCCTGACAGGATGCCCACAATCAGGCTCATCATGGTGGCCAGCAGAGGGGCGTCTTCCCGGCGGACAACCATGCTGATGCAGCTGGCGAGGCCGTAGATGCAGTAAAAGTAAAAGACGTTGGCCAGAAACGCAATGCCCCACGGGATGATGGGCGTCGCGAGCAGCATGAGCGGCGTGGTAAAGTGCAAGCAGCCAAGAAACATGCGCGGAAAGACGCAGAGGTTCTTGGCGATGAAGTATGCGATGCGGGAGTGCCCAGCCTCGGCCTCCCGCTTGTGAAGCTGCAGCTCTTCCGAAAAGGTCTTGACACCGGGCGCGCCGGATACAAGGCCAATGGCAATGGCGATGAGCAGAGCGAGCTGTGGCGCCGAAACGAAATCGGTAGCGACGGAGAGCTGCTCGAAAGGAGAGTTGTAGAGCCCTCGAAACAGGACGCCGTTTCTCGAGTTCATGGCCAGCCCGAGTAACAGTCCAGCCAAGCCCGCCAGGCCCATCTCGGCGATGAAGGCGCCTTTCATACGGTATTGCTGCGTCATGGCCCTGGACAGGCACAGCCACATCTGCTTCCAACGTGGAGCGCCGCGCTGGACAAGGACCTGCCGGATGGACTTTTTGTTGTACACGGACGACATCTTGCTGTTGCGCTGGTGCTCTGGCAGAGTCGCCATGTGGCGCGCCCACTGAGCAATCAATGCGTCTTTGGAAACAGAGCCGCCCTTGTTGTAGTCGCGGCCGTTGCCGGTGATGATGTCGGTAATGACGTCGGCATGGTTGCTGTGTGGCGGGAAATGGAACCCCATGCTTTCAAAATACTGGCTGGCACCGGCTTGCGTGCCCTCGTAGATGATCTGGCCGTTGGCCAGGAGAACCAGATTGTCCAGCAGCTCAAAGATTTCCACGCGAGGCTGGTGGATAATGGTAATGACGGAGATGCCAAGGCGAGCCAGGGCTTTCAGCGTTCCCATGATGGAGGAAGCAGCCGTGGAATCGAGACCGCTCGTCGGCTCGTCGAGGAAAATGGCCATGGGCGCCGCGGCAAGCTCCATGCCGATGCTCACTCGCTTCCGCTGGCCGCCCGAGAGGATGGGCTTTCCGATGCTGCCGACGCGTGAGTCTTGGACGTGGGAGAGCTCGAGACAGTCAATGACGCATTCGACATGCGACCGGATATCGTGGTCCTTCCAGCTGCGCGGCAGCCGGATCCTGGCCGCGTGCAAAATGTTTTCAAAGACCGTGAGCTCGGGCAGGACAATGTCGTCCTGCGGCACGTAGCCGATGAGCTTCTTGTAGCGGGAGACCTTGCTGGGCAGGCCGTTGATGGTGACCATGCCGCCGGTGTGCGTGGTCTTGCCCATCAGCACGTTGACAAAGGTGGACTTGCCGGCGCCCGAGCCGCCCATGACGGCCACGAGCGAGCCGACGTCGATGGACCCGGTGACGTTTTGCAGGATCGGGCGCGGACTGCCCTTGGGGTGGAAGCTCAGGCCGTTGTACCCAAACGAGAGCCCAAAGTCCTGCGCGTCCGTGGCCCGCCGCATCGAGTCGACAAACGCCTTGAGCTGCGGGTTCAGCTCGACCGCGTTGGCGGGCTGGCACGCGGCCGCGCCGGCTCGCGCCGGCATGGCAAAGACGGCCTGGAACCCGCTGAAGCCGTCGCGCCCGGGCACGCTCGGCGATCCCAGGGGCGTCATCTCGCGCTGTCCGGCCTCGTTCTCGTTGTCACCGCCGAGACGCTCGTACTTGCCCATGGCGGCCTGGAGCCCGCTGCTGCCGCCCCTGGTCCTGTCCAAGAAAGCGACGCCCCGGGCCCTGGACGAGGCGTGCAAGCGCGAGCGGAACCGCACCAGCAAAACGCCGAGGACAAGCAGGAGATCCAGGATAATCATGAGGGCCAGAGGGATATAGTACGTTTCCTTTCGCGAGCCCTCGGGACACATGCTTCCCATCGCGCAGGGAGTTGGCGTCGCGGCGCCGGGCTGGCAGTAGTGGCCGGCGGGACACGGCAGCGTCTCCTTGCCATGCTTGTCAGGAGGGCAGTACCAGCCTTCCTGGCAAACGATGGGCTCAAAGTAGCCCATGGGGATATTCTTGCCGTCCAGCTTGCAGATGGAGCCCGCGAGCCTCCCCTCGAGGCATTCCTTGACAGGCGGGCAGAAGACAGGAAGCGAGTTGAGAGTATTGTTCTCACCTACAAGCACATAGTTAGCTCATTGTAACCCACCTAGTCAAGCTTGCGCTGAACCTACACAGAAAGCCTTCAGAACAACCGTTCTTCAGCCAGGAATCCGCATACTGGATCTTGAGCGGGATTGCGCCGGGCTGGAAACAGGGAACGCCCGATGTGGGATACTTCTTTTCGGCAAGCTGGACATTGGTTTCGTAAATAGATTGTGAGAATCTCGTGTCATTCTTGCCAGTGCAAGCAGCGTTGTAGACGCCAAGAGTTTCGGCGTCTTTCAGATCGACCAAGCTGGCGTTGCCGTCGTAAAACATGGGCTTATCCGTGTCGGGCGGACTGGTCGCGTCGCTGAACAAGGCTGTCACGTTTACGGTGCTATTTGCTCTTGTTGGAAACCATTTGCCGTCGAGGGTGCTGTACGCTCTGCTCTGTTCCCCCACGCATTGCCATGCCACGGCTTTTTTGCTCTGGCCGAGCTGAGCTGGCCGAAGGGCGCAGAGGCATGCTTCGGTATCGAGGAAGACGGGCCCTTGGAAATCTACCCCGGGAAGAAACGGGTCTTGAGGCAGTTGATCTGCCGTAAACTCCATGTTGTTGGGAGATTCGGTAGTGTTGCCCATCTCGCTAGTATAAAGACGAAATGGCGATTTTGCAGAGGACGACAAAATATGACCATCGTGACTCAAGATGGGGGTGGGCTGGGCAGAAGGCCATTATAACCTTTTTCTCGTCCATGTACAGTTTACTCTGCAGTCTTCACAAGGCTGAGAGTAATGCCCAATGGACGTACACGGAGTACTGCACTTGGTAGAGAAGCTGCCATGGTTGGTTGTGCCCAACATGCTTGCAGCCTGTTCTCGTGAGACATACAGTTCAAAGCTTGTCGTTTGATCCAAGCGCAAGGCAAGTCGGCCCGCAAACATGCATGAGGCTTCTATCTACTTGAAAACGCACAAAGAGTACCGTGCAGCTTGCAGCAATCAACTGCAGCCTTGCTGAACTGGGAGTGGCTTGCATGGGAGGGGGAGAGCCTTGTAAGTTGTGAGACTGACATTGTCCAATAAGGTCGCGCTCAGCTGTCACCCTTATCATGCTAATCAAGCAATCTGCAGAGAGAATCCGTAATTTGTAGCGATTAACATGTATGAAATGATGCCGTATCGACGAGTGTTCAAGTACGAGAAGAAACGAAAAGGAAGAGTTACATCCCAGCCTCCTCTGGGATGGCTGCAGTTCTGTGGAGCGGTGGCTGACAACGATCAATAAAGGGGCCAGCCATCTACAGGGGCCTTTTTATTAATCAATTTGCTACTATTCTAGTACCATGCGGGGTGACGAGAAAAAAAAGCAAAAAGTCTAATAATAGCAAGGGCCTTGGCAGAGGTTAAGCGAGGCGATGAGGATGGAGCCTCGACTACAAGACAGAGCCCGCAAGAGAATACAGAATCACATTGCAGAGTAGCAGCAATCGCTTCAGTATCTTGACAAAATGCATTACATGAAAGCTTGCCCATGATTCTGAGCCTACGAAATAGTAATCGCTGCTTGCCTCAAATACAGCTCGCATCAAATAGTTACACTGCCCATGTCCCGCCTCTACAAAACTCGGTTCACAGCCCACGACTCTACCAGATCCGCGAGCGTGTCGTCGCTGCCCACATTGCCCGGAAACACGACATACGGGACGGCGCGGTGGCGGCTCGTCTCCTCGGTGCAGACCCAGAGCGGGACGCCGGGCGCGGCCTGGCCGAGCACGCGGGCGCGGCGCATGCGCAGGGCCTTTGTGGCGGCGTCGGACGACGTGATGCCGCCCTTGGCAATGATGTACCGCGGGCGGACGTGGACGCCGTCGAGCAGCGCGACGAGCG